GGCAGCCTTTGAAGGCGGCCTCTTCCTCCTCCCCTCTAGCCATCGTTGACCTTGTACGCCGATGGTTCTATTTTTGTTTTTCGCATATGTGTATCTATGTTTTTTTTCCCGGTTTTCATGCATCCATAAAAAATGGTTGGATATAGCGAAATTGCTGCAGTAGAAACAGCAACAGGCGAATAAATACAGAATGCGTGTGTAAACCAGTTCGCCCACTTATTTTCTCTCTTCATCACATGTTGTCCGACAGTCCTTGGCACTCCCGCCATATTAACCTTTTCAGCTGGTTTTTTTTCTCACGAAACCATTGCTTCAAATGGTCACTTTTGGAATTTTCCTAATTACAATCTTACATCATTTTACTTCATTCGATATTTCCGCATTTACAATGTTGAGTGTTCCGTTTTAGGAATGGGGAATTATCGTTTTATCGTCATAATAACATGAGCACAAGGATTTTCAATAATTTTTCCGTCATTTTGAAAAATGTGCAGTTTTTCAAAATCTAGTCAATTTTCTATAAAAACGGCACTCTTAAAATTTGTAATATTCTAATATTCTTATGGAACGAATTAATCATAATCGGCCTACAATTATTAAAAACTCTTTTTCCATTATTTTAATTAAATTCCCCCCCCCTTTTTTTTTAATCATTCTTTTCTGGTCGAAAATTTAAAAAAATTTCGTTGTAGGAATCATCATTAATCTCCGAAAATGTAGTTTCTAATTTTTGGTTTCGCCATCCATAATCTTTTTTTTTGTCTACCTCCCCCATATATTCCTCATCGTTTTTTTTCTACAATGCTTTTTCATATTGGGTTTCGATAAAAAATATATAAATAACACAACGTAATTGTGTACTATTCGGTCGTTCTGCATATGTATATTGCTCGTCATTTATTTTTACGATTCGATTTGCTAAAAGTGTATCGGAATGATAATATAAAGATTTGTTGTTGATAAATAGAAATTCGGGGCGAGTTAATCTCCCGACTTAATTTACCTATTCATGGAAATTTCGGTTTAATTTTAAGCAGTCTATTCGAAATTTATGGCATAGCTATTCATTTTTTTTCACGCTCAATTTGGTAAATTGATTCCAAACTCAATAGATTTAGAGAGAATTATGATGTTATGCAAGTATTACGGATTTGAGATGTCACTTTTCAGGTGACGTTTTGGAAACAAATATTTTGCTAGAAACTTTATAAAAAAATATATTCCTCAGCTTCTGATGGACTTTTCAATTATTAATCGCGCTTTTCCTCACTCAACCAACTCTATCAACCGTTTTTGAAACATGCTTTCCGCATTTCTTAAACTTCATATCATACATGTATGAACAAAAAATTTCGGCCACCATACTACCTGGTTTCATTACACATTTTAATACATAGATAAACAGTTGAAAATAACCCAAAAATAAATTGGATATAACCTCGGTGGAAAGTGGTGGACCCTTGATTAATATTGGGATATTTCCTCGAGGGTGATATTAGGTTCCCCAATTCTGATTCCATAATTACGTAATTGTCACCCTTCAATCTCGGGTGTCATTATTCGATAGGGTCAAATTTCGCTGCTATAATCTGTTGTTCGCATTATATTTAGATGTTGTTCCCTTCAAGACCGTTGACCGTAAATTGCGATGGAAAAATCCGAAATGCCTAGGAAGTGTTTATTTATTGTTTTATTATATGATGGATACGAATATTTTGAATTTCGAAACACAATTGTTTTCTGACCTCATGAAATTGGCATTTGATTCATTTGTAGCGATCTGACTTATTGGGTTGAGTCACCCTCTGACGACTGGCGAGTCGCATCTGGTGAGAAAAAAATTAATGTTTCTTTTCCGGTGGTGTGTTATGTCAAGCGAACAGCAGACGCACGTTGACTGAGTGCATTCCCGCGTAGCATTTTGACCTCACTCAACGGACCACCGCGTAACTTTCTCATTCCGCCCATTTTTTCGTTTCGCTGATGCGAGTTGTAAGTGTTTTGCGTGCTCCGTCTTCCAGTGTATAGTTTACAACGCTGCTCTCGATGCAAAACAAATGCACAAACGACTGCCACTGATTCATTTTATATTTAACTTCCGATTGTTCTTTTGCATTTTCTTCGTCTTCTTGTTCTACTCATTTATGTATTTAGTTCACCTTCAAACTTCTTCGACATCGCTTTCTAGCCAACCCAGGCCGGTCAGCGAAGGTCATTTTAAACTCGAGAATTTCTGTGTAATGCCTTTATCGCCAGTGTTTATTGTTCTCTTTTTCTTCAATCGTTAAACAATACTTATTTAGTCAACTTTTAAATTTCAATTATATGCTCTTGTATTTGCGCTAACTGAGGGAACACTATTATTATTATTGTTCCGAGTGTTTTTGATTTCCCAGAGGGAAGGCAAACAAGCGTTCGGTGGCAATGATTTTTTTCCTTCTGATATACTTTTCACAATTTTTTAAGCATGGCAGCCGTTTTTGAAGCGGGTACATATTACTGTCAGATTTTGCATTTTTTTCCCCGGAAAACATATTTTGCAAAAAAGTCATAGAAATATATTTTAAAATTAACTTCACTTTTTTAAACTTTATTCATGTGAATTTCATGTGTAGTTTATTCTCTATATTATTTCCTGTATTTTTCTTCCAATTTTCTCAAATTTAATTTAATTTTGATTGGTTTTTTGTTCTTCCCATATTTCTGACAGTATTGTTTCAAAATAGAAAATTCTAGACATTAGGGTTCAATATTTGCAAGCTGCCTTCGTCATTTTGCCAATTACATAAGCTTCATGTTCTCTTTCGGTCTTCTTTTCATTTCGTTCGTCTGTTCTTCTTCCTCTTCTTCTTCTTTTTCTTCTTCTTCTTCTTCTTCTTATACCGTTTTGTTCGACATCAAATTCGTCGTCGCTTCGGTCGCTATATTGTTGTTGCTTCTCCTTTTCCTTCTTCTTCTTCTTCTTCTCCTGTGATTGTGGCTTTAGCGAAGGTAGGTGGTGTATATGACTGCCAGAATTGAGAAAACGATTGCTGCGGAGAATTAGAAGAAGGGGATGAAGAGGAGGGGATATCTGCTGCCCTTTTTGTACATATTCTGTACGCATGCGCATGTGATACTGAGAGACTTTCACAACATGGTTTTGATGATATAAACCTTGTTGTCAAATTCCATCGGCGAAAGGTATTATCGCATTTCTTTCTTATGAGGTTTTGACATTTTGAGAATTTAGCTTAAAATTTGTTTTCCCAGAAAGCATGAGTTCATTTGGAAATCGTGAGCTCAATTTTAATCGTTTTCACAAATATCTCTCTAACTTTCAAAGTTAAAATTACAGTTTTAATTTGTTTTTTTTTTTCGACAATGTTTTGTTGATTGTTTTTAAGGTGATCAGCGAATTCAGTCCATTTTGCGATTACCCTTTCTCTGTTTTGAAGTTCCTCATTGATATCGTTATTTGCATTTCATTTTCCATCGTTTTCCAATTCTTTTTTTAATTTTATTTGATTTGCTTCAATTTTCTCACACAATCCTCTCGAAGCGATCGTTCGTCCTCTCCCTTTTGTGATAAAATGGTTCGATATGTTTCAAAATTTGCGAGTTGGCAACGTTTTGTAGTGATTATCGCAGAGATTGTAGATGATAAAATGTGAAAAATTGTCCCATTTTTAATTTCCCGCATTAGCTTACCGGTCTATCTGCATCTTAATCGATACTTATCAGTCGACCCTTTTCTATTGTCGTTCCGTTCTGGAACCTCTTCGTGTGTTTGCCAACATTAGCGAATACTGATAACTTTCTATATGGCAAAAATAACATAAATTTCAATTATTTAATCGTGAATCATTCATTACACCGAACCGTCATACATATGTGTTCCTCTGATTCAAAAGCATTTTTCATTTATCCAGAGTTTGGTATTTTAAAACCAAAAACTTTTAAAACTTTACTAAAATTCAAAAAATAAAAATTGGCTATGTGCAAGTCGAGAGTTTCAAATAATTATGATTTAAAAAATATGTTTAAAAAATTACAATTCTGAAATTCAAAGAATTGTGCGCGTAATATGTATAACCATTGCAAAAAATTTCAATACTAACTGTCATTTGCCTAAACATTGCTGTTTTTTTAAGCTTTTCTTTTTTTAATCAATTTAAGCGATCAAACACGTGTGAAAGTTAGGATCTTACCGCGAAAGAAGCATTTTCTTGTATGCATCTTTGAACTACTGTAGAGTAGATTTCGACGGTATCCAAGTTTCGGAAAATATTGCTTGATAGTCACTTTTCGCATGATTATAAGTTCAATCTTTCATGCAAATATTTGTTGAGAATATCTATTTCCCGATTTTTTCTCGCCTGTTTCCTTGATATTTTTTATTCGATGCCAAACAATTTGAGATTTGGACTTCTTTTTAAACGAAGTGAATGTTTTATTACCTTCTCTTTGAGTTATTTGAGTTATATTTTTGAATTTGTGTTTTTTTTTCGAGAACAATCCGATAGGTTGCTAGAATTTTAGCGAACAGTTATACTTGTCGTCATACACATCGTCATCATTTTTGCGAAATTTGTTTTTTTTTCGATCATGTGATTTCATTCAGTTTTGAAAGAACGAAATCATAGATGAAAATTTCCTGATAACCGCGATAATTTAAAATTATAAATAATGGAACGGAACTATTTGTTTGGACGCGATTACCAGTGAGTATGCGACCTCCGACTGTTGATTCAATTGATATTATGCAAATAGGGCGGCGCGTCAAAAAAAAAAACCTGTCGCTTGCCGAGTGCTCATACGCGATCAATTCAAGTTCGATTTGATGTGCAAGTGTTTTCGATTTTTGATAAGAAACCGACGCCGTCCTCTTTGTCGTCGACGTTCTCTCTGAATATCGCAATATCTCATTGTCTGGCTGAAAAACAAAACAGCGAGCAAGATTCGCCAGTCTTATCACTTGTCGAAACCGATCGACTCAAACCGGCTCTAGAAAATTCGCTATGTCTCATTATACTAACTATGGAAGTTTTGGTAAGTGTTATTTGATAGTAAATTTGCAGAATGTTTCATTTGAAAAATTTATTGTAGTTATTTATTTCGGGGCTACATCGCGAATTATTATTTTCCGATTAAATAAATAGTAATGACGAATAGTTAAACGCCACATATGGGTTCCAATTGCTAATGTTCTATTTTTTTTTTAATTTTTGCGTGATTTGAATACCCACACCTTTCAGTTCGTCAAAAAAGAAAACATGAAAATTTAAAAGCTCAAATGGGAGTGTTTCTTTTTTGTATGTCTACATACCGACGTAATTCTGCACACATATTTTTACACTGACAAATTCCCTTTTAAAATTATTTTATTTAATCCTTGAACTAAATGAAGGGAAGAACTGATAAGATTTTCCCAAGATTCTCGCAAAGAGTCCACAAACCTCCTGACTATTCAACTCCCTTTTGCAATAATTTTGTGATAAAATTGTACGTTATCAAATTGTTTGTTGTAGTATTAATTCAGGTCCCGGTCATCATGAGCTACGCATTTTTTCTCTCTAGCTTCCTGGGACATGATGAGCTAGTGAAATGAAAAGGAAATATGAAAGAAAAATTTGAAAATTGATTGAATTTATGATACTTATCGAATAAATTTGATCTATCAAAACTCCCATTTATCATTTTACGTCACACTCGTACCGTATTTAGTGTTTCCGGGCTCATACGCGAACATTCTTTTAAAATTTGCATAATCTGCTTTTTTTTATGAAGTGTTGCCTCATGATGATTCTGTTTTGGACGAAAGCAAGTGCCCTATGATTGTTTTTTTTCGTTGATTCTAGTGTTGTTCATAAACAATTCTCGAATTTCATTTTGATTTCATTCTCGTGATTTTAGCGAGCGCCGACAGCGACAATCCGAGATCTTATTGTGCTACAGATCGCGTTGAGGAGGGGCGCGACGAAGCCGGTAACGACGAGCAAACGTCGGCGAATCAAACAGGAGACGTCGGTTCGACGCCGACGATGGAGGACGATGAAGTCATAACTACCGGTAATTCTAGAGTACCGACATTTCGATATATGATGCATTGTAGCGCGCACATCGCGTCGATTCTGCGGCTCAGCAGGTAGTAGCTCTGACTCGGAAACTGCTGACGATGCTCCTCTTTTACCCGGAGAAGGACCATCACAGCCGGTTCGAATTGAGATTCCTGGAGGTGACAAACCATCAAGTCCTCATGATCGTTTCCCGCCGCGTTATGGTCGACTATTTGTAAGTTGTTTTCAAAAATTCGACATTACGAAAAAAAATCAAGTTGTATCGTTCAGAAATTGGGAAAATTCTCAAAAAAGCTATTTAAAAACTGAGCAAAATAAGGTTTTTCCCAAAATCTGAATGATGCCCTAACGTCTGTGTTATGATAATTTTCAGTTTTCTCTGATATTCTTATTCTGTTCGGCGATTCTCAACGAGATAACCTTGTCTTACATTCACGAAAAGGTATGATTAAACCGAAATATTTTTTTATTCGAAATTATACGTTTTCATTGAAGTACCCACGAACTGCGCCTCTCCCGGATATTGTTTTCGACAATTTTCCATACTATCCAAAAGGATTGGCAATTTGCGAATGGCTTATGATTATCTTATTTGCCTCCACATCTGTCATCATTCTTTTTCATAGGTACGTGTTTGAACACAAAACTCTGAGATGAATTTCAATGCTTATAGGCACCGCTGTATTGTGTTTCGGCGATTCTTCACCATCGGCGCTCTTCTCTATTTTCTGCGTTGCATGACGTTGTTCGTCACACAGGTGCCTGTCGCTGATCCCAATTGGCATTGTGCACCGCGATTAGGCGAAAATGCGACATTCTGGAGGGTCGTGATTCGCGGTGTGAAAATGGCGACCGGCGTCGGATTGAATGTCGCCGGCGAGAATACGCTGTGCGGTGATTACATCTATAGTGGACACACGATAGTGCTCGTCACTTGCTCGTTGTTTATCGCCGAATGTAAGCTGAATATTTCATTTCGCAAAATCATAGTTTGTAATTAATATTAAATTATTTGCTTGCAGATTCTCCGCGCCGCTGGTGGTGGCTCCATTGGACGGCCTATTTCACATCATTTGTGGCCGTTGTGTTCCTAGTCATCTCGCACGGTCATTATACCATCGATGTCGTTATTTCATATTATATTTGCACAAGGATCTTCTGGATATATCACACAATGGCGGCACATCCAACTCTCAAGGTACGCAATTCGGTTAATGTGAAATGAGGAAAATTCTAGAGAAATATATGAATCCATGGCAATTTCAGAACTCTTCGCATAACCATCATCGAAAAGAATTTTGGTTTTATTTAATGAGTTGGTTGGAAGCCGATATTCAACGACCAGTGCCTCGTCGCTTCGAACCACCGTTTCCACTTAATCGTGCTTTGGCCTATTTGACGAACCGTCGTGATCGACGTGCCGATCGATACGCAATTGAGTGATTAATGTCGTTTCTGCCTTCTTGTACATTTTAGCTGATGCTGTAGAAAAAACACGCAATCGTGCCATTCTTGTTTTTTTTTTTTAATTTTTTCGTTTCCTTGGATGCTTCCAATTTGATGTCTTCATTCAGGAGATCTTCTATTTTAGGATTCTACTACTACTTTCATTGTTACGAAACAACTTAACTATGTTATTCTACTATCATGTTAAAAATTGCTAGATTCGCACACCGTATTCCTGTTTATGGGTTTTATCTTGTCTCTTTTCTTTGATTTCCCCTTTTTTTCACACTTTCATTCAACTGTAACTCTTGCCTATTTTTCTTCGTTTAGTCCCGATTTCGTTGTCTTTGTCACGGGTTAAATTTCATTTTTTCATTCAATAGAACTTTTTTACTTCCATGTTTTCTTTTCTTACTTTCTGTATTTTACATTCATCATTCACCATTCCATTCAAAGGTGCCACAAACAATTTTGGTTATTTTTTTAATAAAAAGTTTTGTAAAATTAATTATATATACAAGCAACATTCAAAATGTAAATCAAATTGTCTTTGGAGCGATACAGGCTGTTTTGAACTTATTTCGGAGCATCTGAAATGCGACAAAATCAAGAGAAAAAATGATTATGAAATACCGTCCATTGGTGATAATTGAGATTTGAAATGCCTTGTGCCTGGCTTGACTCGTCCATTTTTTCTTTCGTTTTCTCGTCAAGCGATTTTGCCGATTCTGTAAGTTGCTATAATTACGAGAAAAGCTTTTCGGGAGCCGTGTACTGAGCATTGGCCTGCCATCTTCAAGCACCAAATAAGCACGACGATCGCGAATTATATACGAGACGTAAAACATGTTCTCAACCTGAATCAATTCAACATCTATGCATAAAGAATATTAAAATTACTGTTTTGGCGAAATCATCCGGATTTAAAATAAACTCGTAATAGGGAATACTGTCAGTATTGCGTTCTTTCAGCGAAGAGCGTAAACTCTTATACACATGTTCCAACTGGAAGAAGAAACAAAATTTCAATTATTTTCGCTTTTTGAACCTCTTTCATAATGGACACCTCTTCATATTGGACAGTTGCATTTGATGACCTGTCTGTTAGCCTTACAAGCTGCGGTTTTTCTTTTTTCGAATCTCTCTCAATTTTTTTGACTGGAGGTTTTTTCGCTTTCTCGATTTTTTCGACATTTACCATTGGAAGCCTATTTGAAAATTCAGAAAAAGGTTGAGTTTTGAAAATTACATAAAACTGAGCGGAGTAGGATATTCCCACATTGTAGGTTGAATACTCGCTTTCGCAAAACGTTTCGCTTCGTCAACTGTGAACAACTTTTTCCTGTTTTCTGCTGCTGCTACGTACTCGAACTCATTGAAATGTTTGTCAAGAAATGCCAGTCGGACTGCAAATGAATCGGCCCCTTAATATTTTATTTAAAAATAACGAAATAAAATCAAGAGCTACCATGAAAATCGAAATTGCGCTCGAGTTCTTCATTATGCAGCCCTTCAATTTGATCTAATGCGGCAGATAAATATTCATTGACTTCTTCTCCTTCGATCTCAACTTTTCGCAAGTCCCTCGTGTTGGATTTCATGACTTCGTCGATTTTATGGGCAATTCTTTTTGCCGTTTCGACCGGATCAATTATATAATTTCCATTCATACTATGAAGAGTTTCTCGCGTTGTTGTTGCACAGATTCCGAGCAGCTCAGTTTCCGTTGCGAACAACGATGTATTCATTGACTTCTATACACATAATATTGGATATGTCTTTTTGGGCGATATTTCAACCTTCAGTTTTTTACCCTTTTGAGATAATGCATCAATCGCAGACCCAAGAGTATCTATCCGATTCGAAGCATCTGATGTAACTTTTAAACCAGCTGTAATATAGAATTATGAAACTTTGCCCAATCTGGAGTAATTTCTTACAAACTGTGTTGATCATTGTCTTGAGATCGCCACTCACACCAAGATTTTCTCTACAACGATCATCCACACTTTTCTCGGCAACTTTTCGCAATTGGTTTTCAGCATCAGTCGAGGAAATCTAAGTATTATAACTAATGTTTACTTTTTAAATAATTCTAACCTCTTTGTCGCATAATTTTAATACCTCTGAAGCACATAACAAATTATCTCCGTCATCGGCCATTTTCTTAAAATAAGATTAACCTAAAAAATATTTGAAATATTATTAAAAGTCCTAGAGTTAGAAATTACTAAAATTAGTTAAGTGAAAAAATATAAAATTTCCAAAATTGAGACTTGTAAGCGCCTCGAAAACTTATCCGCAAAAACTAACGACCCATGATTTTGCTGATGTTATATCCGTGGAAATATATAAATAGTCAAATAATAAAAATGTTAAAAATTTAATTTGAATCTCGCGGACTAGAAAAATAATAACAAGATTCTAGGCCATAATTATGATACTCAAAATAGTTCATTGTTTACGTTCGGTGTTTGCAGAAATATTAAGTTGTGGAGTTTCATGATACTACGGTAAGCAGAAAAGTTCATAGTGTGCGTGAGGTGTCACACGGTTGTTCATATTTTCTCTGGGTTGCCGTTTCTCGAAATTTCCACACGCGATTGCAATTCCTTTCTCCTCGCTAACGTGTTCGGCCAATTTTATTACAAACATTTCTAATTTTGTTGTTTATTTTTATTTATCTTTTGTTGTTTTATTTTTTCACACTTTTGATTTACACAAAGCATAAGTAATTTTTACATATTTTTTAGTTCAACGATAATATTGAAGCGGTATCGAATTCATTTATTTTTTCGACTTCACGGTTTTGAAACTAATATTAACTAGCGAATTTACAGTTTCAAAATGTCCAAGTATGGCTGCCCAACTTCCGACACTGATCCAAACTCGGTGACTATCATCACCAAGCGTGGACCAGTTAACAAGACATTGAAGAGCGCTTCTGCGTTGAATGCTGCTCAGCGCAGCGGTGCTGAAATAATCACAGAAAAGAAGGTAATGGCTGGCGGTAACCGTCAGCATACCGCTCATAAGAACACCTTGAGGTGAGGAAAACAAATTTTTTGCTTTAAAATTTTTATTATTCAGACTTGATGAAGAAACCGAAGAACTTCATCACGAGAGGGTGACACTTTCTCTCGGAAAAATCATGCAGCAAGCTCGTGCGGCCAAAAATTGGACTCAGAAGGATCTCTCGACGGTATCAATTTATTTTTTAAACGTTTTCTCTAATACACTGTCTTCAGCATATAAATGAAAAGCCACAAGTAGTATCCGAATATGAAAGTGGAAAAGCCGTTCCAAATCAGCAAATTCTCGCTAAAATGGAGAGAGCCCTTGGCGTTAAGCTTCGCGGAAAGGATATCGGAAAACCATTGAACGCCCCGAAACCAAAGAAATAATAGGAATTCAATGATTTCTCGTTTTTCGTAGTTTGGGATTCTCCGGTTTTCTGCCCTCGTGTTCGCATTATTGCTCGATTTCTTTCATTTCATTAAATATCTGTTTGAAAATGCTTCTCTCATCGTTGTTTCATTGTTTTGTACATACTGTTCTAAGCGAGCACTGGATGAATAAATTATTATTGTATTTATTAAATTGAAAACCAAATTTTCAATGCTACCGCTCCTTATTTTTGAAGAAACAACGTCCAGCGCGTTAGAATGATACTGATTAGTTGTTGTGATCTGATGAAAACTGAGAAGAATGAAATTCACCTTTATAGGGAGTCCTTGAAATGGGCGTCGACCAATTGGTTGAAAGTATAACACCGTATACGCTGCGCCCAATATGGCGACATACATATCTACCACCATTCGCATGTAAGATAATCTTCAAATAATAAATATAATTGTACGATAATCTGATATTTAGGATTACGTTTTAAGAGATGATTATAAATATGACAAATGTTGTAGTTTAACTAAAACTGATCATTTCATAAAAAGAGGTGTCAAAAATAGACTAAAGAACGAACAAAATGAGTACCCAAAAGCGAATTTCGAGAATAAAGAATTACAATCTTTGCTTTAAGGCTTGCACGAAGTTAGCGACAAAGTTCCGAAAAAATGTTACCTGAGTAAATAAATAGCTGAATAAAAGAAACGAAAACACTCATTCTTTTTTTTTAATTCGCATCATAGATTAATTACGCAAACACACGATAATATTTATGTAGAACTTATTGAAAACGTATAGTTCAAACTCATAGAAATGTTACGAATTTAGTGATTACCGCGATATGGTCATACGTTTGGGTGAATGATTATGGCGTCGAAGAGTATTATGAGCTTGGAATGATTGGATATGCAATCATTTTTGTGTTATTTGCTCTCTTACTCTTGTTTTGTCATTGGCTCATTGCCGTAAGATGTGCGTTGACGTGTTCGAAGGTATTGAAACTTCCTCAAATCAAAAATAAAAGTTTTATTTATTATTCCAGGAAAAGTATTTGTCCAAAGCGACATATGTTTGCGTGGTTCCTACAACGAATAATGGTTGGCCTGAGCTTGTTCCGCTAATGAGAACCAAAGTTAGAGTTAGTAAATTAACTTAAACAATTTTTAATTTTCAGAGAGATCAAAAAGTGAAACTTTGGTTCGAATTCCAACGCGTCCATTATACGTGGAATAGTGAAACTGGACAGTTTTCGACTGCAATTTTAGACACTGCAAAACCAATGGAATTCTTCCAAAAAGCGCATGGATTCGAAACTGATGATCAATTACAAGATGCGAAATATCTGTTGGGAGATAATCGCACTGAAATGGTTGTTCCGCAATTTATGGATTTGTTCATTGAACGAGCAACCGCTCCATTCTTCGTCTTCCAAGTATTCATATTCAATATATACATGCAATTTATTCAAATCACATTTAAATTTTAGGTATTCTGCGTCGGACTGTGGTGTCTCGAAGACATGTGGTATTATTCACTTTTCACGTTGTTCATGCTCATGACATTCGAGGCAACGCTTGTCAAGCAACAAATGAAAAATATGTCGGAAATCCGTAATATGGGAAACAAAAGCTATGAAATTAATGTGAGATTTTCATTTTGTTTCACGCTTATCTTTTTTTTTCATTTCATTTTTTTAGGTTTATCGCAATCGTAAATGGATCAAAATCAAAACTGAGAAATTAGTTCCCGGTGATGTTGTTCTTATTGGTTTGTTTTCAATTTTTTTGTTTTCACCTCAAATTTTTTTCCAGGAAGATCTTCCGAAGACCAGACAGTTCCTTGCGACCTTCTTCTTCTTCGTGGTCCATGCATTGTCGACGAATCGATGCTAACTGGAGAAAGTGTCCCACAAATGAAGGAACCCATCGAGGATGTAGAAAAAGATCGGATTTTCGACATCGACGCTGATAGCAGACTTCATGTGATTTTCGGAGGAACTAAGATTGTTCAAAACACCGCACCAGGTCTAATTTTTGTACAAATGAATTTTACAAGTTGCATTTTTTGTTTAGGAAAAGCCCCAGATGGTCAGATGAAATCTCCAGACGGCAATTGTGTCTGCTATGTTCTCCGCACAGGGTTCAACACGAGTCAGGGAAAATTGTTGAGGTATTTAGTTCAATTAAAATGCAATTTATACTATTACTTCCAATTTTCATCATAGAACCATCATGTTCGGCGTCAAACGAGTCACTGCGAACAACTTGGAGACATTCTGCTTCATCCTTTTCTTACTCGTCTTCGCCATTGCCGCGGCTGCTTATTTGTGGATCAATGGTAGGAGTTTTTTCTAAATCTGAAAACTAGAGTGCATTTCTCTCCTCATTTTCAAAGGATTATTACAAGCTTGAACTTCCGGACTCAATAAGTAAATGCTTGCTTATCGATAAAGCAAAAAATAAACAATTTTTTCAAAACCCCTATCTAAAACATATATAGTCATTTTATTGTTTTATAAGCTACCTAGTAAAACACTTAAAAATTTTGAAATTGAAATATTTAAAAAATCCACGAGACCGTTTCATTTTCAGGAAGTCGCGATGAGAGCCGTAACAAATATAAGTTGTTCCTCGAATGCACTCTCATTTTGACATCAGTCATTCCTCCTGAGCTGCCCATCGAATTGTCGCTTGCTGTCAATTCTTCACTGATGGCACTTCAGAAGCTCGGAATCTTTTGCACCGAACCGTTCAGAATCCCATTCGCTGGAAAAATCGATATTTGCTGTTTCGATAAAACTGGAACACTAACAACCGACAATTTGGTCGTCGAAGGAGTCGCGCTGAAAAATAACGAAGAGGGAATGATACGATCGGCGGACAAATTGCCCGTCGAAAGTCTTCAGGTGCTCGCGTCTTGTCACAGTCTCGTGCGATTTGATGAAGACCTCGTCGGAGATCCACTTGAGAAGGCATGCCTTTCGTGGTGCAATTGGTCGCTGACTCGAGGTTTTCATATAAATATATGTTCTAATAATAATTATTATTTATATAAGGTGATTCTGTGATGCCGCCAAAATCGCAGAAGGGTATTTCTGGAATGAAAATCTTCCATCGATTTCATTTTTCGTCGGCGATGAAGAGAATGACCGTTGTCGCCGGATATCAAGCATCTGCTGCCGCAGAAACTACCCTTGTTGTTGCCGTTAAAGGAGCTCCGGAAGTATTGAAAAATATGGTTTGTTTAAAACAATTTCAGTAATTATAAAAATAATACGATATTGATCAATTTTAGTACGAGAGCATTCCGGACGATTACGACGAGACTTACATGAAATTGACGCGACAAGGATCTCGTGTACTTGCGATGGGAATCAAGAAATTGAGTGAAACGAGACCTGGCGATATTCGTGATAAAAAGAGAGAAGATCTGGAGAATGGACTGTCGTTTGTTGGATTTGTTGTGATTTCGTGTCCTCTCAAATCTGATACAAAAGCAATGATAAAAGAAATCATCGAAAGTTCGCATAATGTAGGCAATAATTTAAAATTTGAAATTATAAACAAAAATTATTTAGGTTGTTATGATTACTGGCGACAATCCGTTGACTGCTTGTCATGTTGCTAAAGTGCTTAAATTCACCAAGAAATCGCTTCCAACTCTTGTATTAGATGAACCAACAGATGGCGAAGATTGGACGTGGAAATCGGTTGATGGAAGCATTAATTTCCCGCTGAAACCGAAGCAAAATAAAAACGAATTAGAGAACTTCTTCAAATCTCATGAGTTCTGTTTGACGGGAGCCTCGTTCCAACACTTGGTCCATCATGAGCACACATTCCTCCGGCAGCTCATCCTTTACGTTAAAGTTTTTGCGAGAATGGCACCAAAACAAAAGGTTATTTTTTCGTATTTTTGATATTTAAAATTTTGAAGAAAAAAAAACGTTTAGGAACGGGTAATCAACGAAATGAAATCGATTGGCAAGGTAACACTAATGTGTGGTGATGGAACGAATGATGTTGGAGCTTTGAAACATGCGAATGTCGGTGTTGCTCTACTCTCGCATCCATATGACGCGGAAAAGGAAATTGAGAAGCAGAAGGAACGGCAACAGAAAATTTCGGAAGCTCGGCAGTTGATCGCTGTTGGAGCACGACCACCACAGCAAATTCAGCAGCAGCAACAACAGCAACAGCAGCCATTGATAGGAAGACGTGACGGACCTCCTGGAGCACGTGCTAGGTTTTTTTTTTAATTAATTGTAATTTTAAAAAACCTTCATGGGAATATTTAGACCAAATCCTCCACCAGCGCTTACCGCTGCCCAAAATCGTTTGGATAAATTGATGAAGGAACTCGAAGAAGAGGAAAAAGCGCAAGTTATCAAACTAGGAGACGCCTCAATTGCCGCACCATTTACTTCAAAATACACGTCGATTGCTTCGAGTATGTTCCTTAAATTCGTTTCGAGACCCATTTCTGTTTGTTTGCAGTTTGTCATGTTATAAAGCAAGGTCGATGCACATTGGTTACGACTTTGCAAATGTTCAAAATCCTCGCTCTCAATGCTCTCGTGTCGGCTTATTCTCTGTCTGCTTTGTACCTGGATGGGGTGAAATTCAGCGATACTCAAGCAACAGTGCAAGGTCTTCTATTGGCGGCCTGCTTTTTGTTTATTTCAAAATCTAAGGTATGCTCGAATATAACCTTCACAGGAAAATGAGAATTCGATAAATACCACCCACTCTGGTAAATCAAAACCAATCGTATTCGACAAAATTCGGCTCTATAATTAACCTTATCCGATTGGAAATTCTACGGATAAGATTGTAAAATTGTCGTATCCGATTGGTTTTTTGGGTATTTTCGTATCCGATTGGTAATTTGTCGTATCCGATTAGATTTTCTTCGAATCCGATTGGTAATTATTCGAATCCGTTTTGTTTTAATATTTCAATTCGAATAGGATTCGACAAAAAACCAATCTTACCCGTAGAATTACCAATCGGATTTTGAGTTACCAGAGCAGCAAATCGTGTCATAGACACAGCGGACAAACGCGAGATTCGTTGAAACGGCGATGAAAACAAATGTGTCCGTCTTTTAAAATCATCCACTCTCTCAAATACCGTTTGATCGCTGATTCACCCGCGTTTCACCGAAATCTCCATCCTCCGCTGTTCCTACAGCACGATTTGCTGAGTGCGAATCAAACTCACCGTAAATCTCTACAAGGCCTCGTTTTTTTTTTACTACCGCTATTTATTTGAAATTGAAATTTTTTAGAATTATTTATATACATGCAACCTAGAGAAACAAATCTAGAAATAATTTCAGCCATTGAAAACGCTGTCGAAACAACGACCGATGGCGAATATCTTCAATGCGTACACACTTCTCACCGTCACTTTGCAATTCATTGTGCATTTCTCCTGCTTGTTATATATCGTGGATATGGCACACATAGCCGAACCGAGGTATCGTCTGATTCTGAAGAAAAAAAATCCGTTTTTGATTACTGTAAATTTTTGCCGTTGCCTAAATATCACATGCGCGTGCGTAAAAATGCAAAATGCGCACCACGCTGAGCACGTAGCCAATTTTGTAAATTTCGATCAGTCGTTTGAAAACGACAATAATATAACTCTTTTTGAACTCAATTCCAAATCGAAACCAACTCCGGCCGTCGCTTGTGTCTGTTCTGTTCCTCGGCGTGTATTGCCTCTTAACGTACGGACAGATACAAGGCAGCGGCGTGCATCGTGGTGTAGTGTGTGTGCGTTCGACTAGCGAACGAAAGGTCTTTGGATCGCCTCTGTGTTGCCGCTGGCCGTATGTTTGTTGGCGGTTAGGAACCAGGTTATGCCGGTGTGTAATTTGGGCCGACATCCCCGCCGAAATTGTACTTGAGGGATTAAGGTCGCATTCGATTAGATGAGCTACCGGGTGCATACCTCCGTCACGAACATTTTTCGAATTTCAGAGAGGGACCAATCGATTTAGAAGCGAAGTTCACTCCTAATATCCTCAACTCTACCGTTTACGTAATTTCCATGGCTCTTCAAGTGTGTACTTTTGCTGTAAATTATAGGGTACGGTTTATCTCATTTTTTTTCGAAATCTATTGAGTATTTTGCAGGGGCGGCCATTTATGGAATCGCTCTTTGAAAACAAAGCTATGCTGTACAGCATTATGTTTTCGGGTTCTGCAGTTTTTATGCTTGCTACTGGGGCTTCTGAAGACTTGATGAAGCAGTTTGAGCTTGTAACTCTTCCGGATGAAGTAAGAAATAAGTTTATTATTAAAACGAAACCAATGAAATTTTCAGCTTCGCAATAAATTAGTAATGTGTGTTTCCTCGGACCTAATCGCTTGTTATTTCATCGATCGCATCCTCAATTACTTCCTTGGAGACATGTTTTAGTGTTGTGGCGGCATTATATAATACCGCTTCTGTGATGCATTGTTGATTTTTTCAATTATTTATTTAATTATCGTTTTTAATTAATTTATATACAAAATGGGGTTAGAGTTTACTTTTCATCGAATTTTGTTGCAACGTTTGTACGAGATCGCACAACCACCGCGGCTTTTCGTTTGTATGCTTTCTAAACTCTTTAATTATGTTCTCATAGACTTTTCCATTTGATGATCCCAGGGCTGAATTTAAAATGAAGTCATGTGGAGCGATTGTGTCGACTAGTGCCATCGAATCGTCTTTTAGATTGGCAACAGACAGACGCAATTTTTCGCGGACTTGCTCTCCGAATTGTCCATTTGACGCATAATTACCTTTAATTTATTACATAAACATAGTTAATAAGCTGAAATTTACCAATATACAATGTTGCGAGATGTCTTTCAACTAGGAAAAGAGCAAATAGTTGGACAACTTTTCGAAGAATCTGAAAACAAAATTAAATTGAAATGAAATGGAATTCTTTTTACATCCTTCAATTGTATGTCCTCAACATTTCTGACAAATTCCTGACACCATTTGATAATCGTGTGCTCTGTATAAGCAATGGTCAAAGGAACGGCTCGGTGGATCTTGAATTTGCAAATATAAGTCTATGATGATACTGAAAAAAGAGTACCTGGGTTTCATTCTTGATTTCGAATGAGTTTTTATTCAACTTTTTCAATTTTTCGACTTCATCATTCGTTACTTTTAATAGATAATGGATAAGATATTCATAAGCACTTAACACATCTGCAAATTGACTAATTTTCTTCGGAAAAATAATACAGTGTTTACCTGAAATAATGCAATTTGACCATCCGGCAAAAGCTTTTGGTGTTTTATTGAGCAAATCCATGGTGTTCATTGGTGTGACTACGCGATCTCCTTTATTATATTTTCCAAGAAGAACATTGCTTGTCTGTTGAAGAAGCATGAAGTTCTCGCCTTCAAATGTCTGTGACGGATCATTGTCATCACGCAGTTTATTGAGTCTAGATAAGCTCAGAAATCTAAAAAAAATTATTCGCGTACGAATTCTGGAGTAAATTTTAGAGTAAATGCCTACCCGTGTCCTCCACACGCCTTTCGCGCTTCACCTAAAGCTTCAACTCCCAACCAAGTTGAGACCGGTTTAGCTCCTGATGATAAGGCGTGAACCTCTTTGGAGAATTCGGCGAGTTCGTCCGATTTTTCACCTTGCATCACACGCATCATGTATTCAGTGAAATGCTCATAGAATCTTAAATACATTTTCAAGAAATTTTGCCAATTTATTTTTTAAAACCTTGTGTTGAATATGCGAAGACAAATAGCAGACGCCAAATAAGGAAACAATCGGTATTGCTGAAGTGGGTACTCAAGAACTGCCACTTCATTTTCAGCTGAAAAAGTTATTTGTATAATTTTTTACTTTTTGCCTATGCACCTCCTTTCGTTGGTCCGAATTGGTGACGGGCAGCACTATAACGAATTGCAATCGTTGCTGCTGTGGCACATCCGAGCATGCCTTTGCCAATTATCGAAATCCTGAAGTTTATACAAATTTCTATAAAATTTGGACCCAAACCTTCCAATCGAGAGCGTTCCCAAACTAACACTTTTCTTCTCGCTGACAGTTTTGAAACTGCTCACATAGCTTCCATCGGGAGTTAATTGGCATCCTTTGTTCAACAATGCACTAGCAGGTGCTCGATAGTTCTACAATCAAAAAATTTAAAAAAAAACTTTGACATATTTCCATCACAAAAATTCTCGAACCCTGGACAATTGCAGGCCATCGTATTTTTTGGGGACGGAAATACATTTTAACTCAACAGTGGATATTCTTCAACCTGAGAATCAAACCCATCACAAAGGTATCAAAATGTTCACTTTTTAAATTCAAATTTGAATTATTGCTTCGAAAAAATATTTTGGTCCACAATTGCTCATGATTCTCATTTTTGCGATGATAATATACGGTCAACATCAAACTGTGTAATCACGCGACGAAATGTGACACTATAATGAGAGATTTGCGTAGTTTATTACTTCATCAGCAACATTTCGTCGTTTATCAAGCAGAAATATATATGTATTTTTTATTTTACCTTAAATTCCATCCAGCCATTTTCAACTCCTTGCCATGCGCCAGGTTTCGATCCCATATCACCAATAGTAATTCCAGGAAGGGTGTCAAATGTTAAAGGATCTCGTATTTGAATCACAAACCCATGAAATCCTTCATTTTTACCTTTGACAATAAGTTGTCCAAAAACGACAGCATGAGTGGCCGAGTGAGCTGAAAAATTGATTATCAAATTTCGAATTATAAATGTGAAAATACCTAGATTTCCAGCCCAACATTTGATTGAAGTAATTGTTGGTGAATTGAAAACGAGCTCTCCATTTTCATAGGTTACCGTGGTTTCAACTTCGGCAGTATTTGATCCGTGCCCGATTTCTGTCAAGCAAAACGCTCCAACAACTTCGTTGTTGTCAATTTTCTTTATTAAATCTGCGTGAACTTCGGTTCCCATTGATTTAACAGCGGCACCGAACACGTTTAAATGGAGAGAGAAACGCGCAGAGGTCGCTTGATCATAAAACTCCAAAATTTCAGATAATGCATGAGTCAAGGTAAGATCTTCGTACGGCTAAAAATACGGTTAATATCAATTTTCGAACATATATAAATTATTAAAAACAGAATGCAATCATACATCTGAGAACAGATTCCATGATTGAATGGCCTTCCACTGTTTGTGGACGACTTCTCTGTATTCTTCTCGACTTAGTGTATCATAATTTCTTTGAAAAACAGGATCAGCTTGCATTCGACGAATAATATCATTCTAAAGTTTTTTCTTCTTTTCAAATAACTATATATATATATATTACCTTTGCTTCGATTATATCTTCACCTTCTAAGACAATTTTGAGCTTCTTCCAATCAAAACTCGCTTTCCTACGATATTCATCAATTGAAGTCATTCTAAAATAGAGTGACAATCATTAGATTTTAGATATAAAGTTCACTTAAAAATAGATGTTTTGCGATGAAATATGCGGAACATGTGTTTATAAGGAAATTTCGTGGGCTGCGTTGCCTTATCATACGCTGCGCCAATGGGCTACGCTATAGTATCTGAACGAATTGATTAGGTCAAATTATGGTCATAATTGCCATACTTAAATTGCAAAACGATGAAGGTGTTATTCGTTTGAAAAATTGGGACCTTCTGAATATAAGGGATATGAGTAGATGATATTTTTCCGAAAATTTCGATATCGCTGGTGGATCAACATTTTCAAAAAAAAAGCATATACATATATAAATAAGCTTAAATTAAAATAACATTTAATAATATACGGAAGAAGTATTCTGATTTTTGGAAATATTTAACTAAATTTTAAATAAGAAACTGGAACATTCCTTTTTTATTTTTATTAGTTTAATTCTGTTTGTTGAATTTTGTGTATTTTCCGGCAAAAATGCCTCATTTTTTCCATTTTATTAGTTTTTTTTTCGAGTCAATTATTTCGCGTTACGTTTTTCGAACCCTTCAATCGCTTCTCTCTCTCCCACTTTTATCTTTACAATATAGAATAAAATGTTTGCGTATTTTTTGTTGCCCCACGAAAAACGCACCAGTGTCGCTCAGCCTGGCGCATTTTCGTCGAATTAGCCATTTTTGCTCATTCATACATCGATTGTCCGTGGTATGTTCGTATTTTAGAAAATGCTATTACTAGTTCTTCTTTTCCCAACAATATTGACGGCGAACGTGCTCTTCGGTTTCGAAAGTCTTTTATCTGTCGAAAAGGAAGTGCTGTTGCCGACGATTTACGCAGAGAGCGAAAATCCAGGAACTGATTGTCCAAGAGTGCCGAATTCGATTCGGTTGAGGTAACTTCAATGAAAATAAGAATATGTGAAAAATGTGTTTTAGTCATTTGATTCATCGAACATGCCCAACAAAGTTCAATGCTGCTTGTGATGATTCTATACTGTACGACCCATTCCATAAATTCAACTTCAGATGCAGCATCGAAGGTATTTCAGAAAACAATTATTTTAATTTGATGAGAACTTGCAGTTCCTCTTCCAAACTCCAAAGGAGGATTTGCTGAAATGAATTCGTCTGAATTGATCCAGCTGATCAAATTGAGAGATCCGTTGAAAAGAAATTGGTGTATGATCACGTTCGTTCTCGTTCATTCAAAATCGAGCTACAAGTTTGATTTTCAGATTTTTCTATTCCCATAACTGTCCCTTCTCTGCTAAAATCGCTCCCGAGTTCAATGATCTTCATCGATTGGTGCCGAATCTTTTGACAGTGGCCATTGATGCGTCAGAATTCAGTCGTCTTAACTTTAGATATGGTATTGCTGGTACTCCAACGATTTTATTCTGGGTCAATGGAATGGGTGTTGCGAGAATGAACAATAACGACTTGTCAATGAAATCATTACTAGTAATTGGAAATTGTTTAAGATTTGAAAACTAATTTCCTTTTTGTTCAGAAGTTCATCCAGGCTCATACCGATTTGGCGGAAGATGGTCTTCACAAATACGGAAAATTCAGAAAATATGTCAGAGATTTTATACTGGATCGAGATAATGTGCCGAAAGTTGGAGTATCGATCAAAATGGAGCGAAACAAGCTTGCCGATAGGACCTATACGGCTTTTTGTACGCTGATCTGCATTGGAAGTAAGTCATTATTGTGAATTTTATATACTTCTATTGTCGGTGTCAAACGACTGAACGAAATTTAAAACTTATTGGCGATGTACTAATGCGTTTCGAGACACAATGAATTTTTTATTTATTATCCAATCGTACATTCGGTTGCATCCACTCTTCTGGAATTGATTGTTTCCTTTCTTTCTTGGGGTCGTCTTCAAGCAGCATTTGAAATCCGGGTTGTAGCGGCAGGATCCTCTAGTATTGAGACATCTTCTGACGCACAACAAGATGCAGGTTCTGGGCAGCAGCGAAGCTTCGGAATGGGGAACAGCGTTGGATGGTCCGAGGATCCATTGATATAAGTTTTTCTCAATACTGGATGATTCTGTCGCTACAACGCGGATATCAAATGCTGCTTGAAGACGATCCCAAGAAAGAAAGGAAACAATCAATTCCAGAAGAGTGGATGCAACCGATTATACGACTAATTGCTGATTGAATATCGAAATATATAGTTTTTCATACAATTCAAACCATTATTCTAAACAAATCTTATTATGTTTTCTTTTTAGTGTTGCTGTACAACTCACGGGAAACATTCATCAATCATTCGTCAATAAACTCGTATTTGAAAAATAAACTTGGCGAGAATGGATATCGACGTTTTCTATTCTATATGTATCTTGATGGCGATAGAAACATTGGAGCAGCTCGAGCACAAGAACAAATTGACGATGATGGTCCACCAGATTTCGATGCTCCGCCTCCTCCAGAAGTAGAACCCGAGAATGTAATACTTGAGGATTTGCCCCCGCTTGCTTAAGAATAGTCGAGTGATTTTTAAAAACAATACGGGTTAATAAATGTACAATTATTTGTTGAAAACTCGTATCAGTCAAGTTTTATTTGTTTTATTAACCATGTTTTCGCGAATAATTTCGTCTCGTTCTAAAATATTGTCAAATAATAAATAATTGAATTCACGGCAATTATTGTTATCTTATTGAATTATTACCATAGCCGAAATTAAGTACTTTAAACAATTGTGTGCCATCGTATTTTTGCGGGGTGGTATTTAATTCACATTTCCATTTAAACAATGGGGGTTTATCGAGAAAATCTAAATAGGTTGCTCGTTCTTCGCACCTGAAATATTTGCATGTTTCGGACTGTATGAAAATATCAATTAATGCTTTATTGAATTAATCCGAAGTCCATTATAATATTAATCATACAGCCAGTCGTACATTCGGTTGCATCCACTCTTTTGGAATTGATTGTTTCCATTCTTTCTTGGGGTCGTCTTCAAGCAGCATTTGAAATCCGGGTTGACACGGCAGGTTCCTCCAGTATTGAGACATCTTCTGACGCACAACAAGAAGCAGGTTCGGTTCTCGGCAGCAGCGAAGCTTCGGAATGGAGAACAGTAGTTGCTGGATGGTCCGCCATTTACGTACGAGCAGAACGTCTCACAAGCAACTACGCTGACCGTGGAGACAGTGTAGACGAGAGACAAGAACACGAAGATACGAAGAAACTGAACATCGCATTTAGAATTTTGAATCTATCCTGAAAATACTTACCATGATTGATGAAGTCAGTCGAAACTGATGTCGATTTATCCCATTCCCACAGTATTTATATTCTTCGACTTTGAAAAGAAGTCGACATTAATTGAAAAAAATTCAATATACATGTATAGTTTGATGTAAATATGAGCTCTGCGGGACACTTCGAAATTAAAATATTCAAAAAAATAGAAGCGAAAATTATGATGATAATCTTTTGATCTGGGTCCTCATCGATCGCCGCTACCAGTCGAGAGACGTTCTGTTCGTATTGTTGTCTATTGTGCCCAGTGTATAGCTAGTGCACTTTATTGTAGATGTAAATATAGTAACAGGGGACGGTTTTTACACGCGTTATTGATTTATTTTGATAATGGTTATTCGAGATTCTTCCAGACGTAAACAAGTCATCTTTAATTTCTCAAATCCAACACTTACATGTGAATAGATCCTCGGACCATCCAGCAACTACTATTCTTCATTCCGAAGCTTCGCTGCTGCCGCGAACAGAACCTGCATCTTGTTGTGCGTCAGAAGCTGTCTCAATCCTGCCGTTACAATCCGGATTTCAAATTCTGCTTGAAGACGACCCCAAGAATAAAAAGAAACAATCAATTCCACAAAATATAGAAAAACAATTAAATTTGATAGGATTCATTAAAACTCGTAATGGTCAAGAATTGTTGGTTTGATTAATAAGATTCTCGCGAATAATTTCCTTTCGATGTATATAGTAAAACCAGTAAATAATCTGAAATTCGCATAATTCATCAAAAAATAATAATAATGAAGAAATACATACATTGAAGACGAAGAAAGTGAATGGGAACATGACACTTGATATTGCATCAATACGTTCCGGTGTCCAACATGAACTGGTGTAAAATGACATCGATTTCTAGATTGACCAAATTTTGGAAAAGACTTTTTATAGCAAAAAACCCACCTTGGACTTGGTGATTTCCGAGCAACCTGCAGGGAACATAAATCGACGCTCTGAGCTTATTCCATGTGGAGATTCTTCTCGTTGAATCTTCTTCGACTGCTTCTTCATGTTGATGGTCTCATCGCGAACCATAAAACCGACAATTGCCAATTCTAGCAGAGAGCAAAAAATGAATGTCATCGAAACGAGCATCCAAACGTCTGAATAGGAATGCATAAAATGAATATTGCATTCATCACCAAACCAATTCCTTTGATATATGAAACTCGCGGCAAATTCCGCATGATATTTCCAAATTGAAAGACAATGGCGAGCAGACTGTTGACACCGAGCATGGTCCTGGCTGGAATCGCTCGAGAACCCAATGCGAATGAGACCCAACTAAAGCATAATTACGTATTTGGAAGATTTGAAGAAAAAATTCACAACGAAACCTGATAAAAATAGTGAGATACGTTGGAAGATATGCCTGCATGAAGTACCAAATGAATCGTCTTTCGAAAATTATTGTGACATGCAATTCGTCCCACATTCCTGCCGGATAACTCTAGAAATGTTCAACGTGCTATCATCATCAATTACTGCGAACCTCCTGTTTTCTGGCCGTTTGAATTTCGAACAAATCAAAATCAGGAAGAACAATTTTCGATAAATTGAACACCGGGTATTCGGCATCAGACCATTTCATTTCAACTTCTTGTCGATTATAATTAAAACTAAACAAATGATCGACAAGCTAGTGCTTAATTTTCCGAATTACCTCTCATAAATTAAACTACATTTTTGAAGATCTAATGGAAAATTGGATAGGTCTAGACTACATGGTCCCTTCACGCGAACCCTGTAGTTTACCATTACGGTTCCATTTGGAAATAGCATTAGGAATACACTCCTAAATTGGACAATATACATAAATAATTAGAGGTAATTTAAACCTACCTGAATGGTGAATTGTGAATCTGTGCCACTTTGCTGTTAATGAAGCAGCTATTAGGTGTCCACAGCCTCTCCAGAACTTGATGATTCAATGACAAATTGCCTTCAAATCACATTCTTCGTTTTTTGTGAGATACTTTTATTTGCCGACCTTTACAAGGGCTCATCTGCTGGAAATTAAGAGCTGGATCTAACCAAGTCTCCGTTATATAAATATCCATTTCAAAATCATTTGTTAACTCGTCGATCGATGTTATTGCTTGAATCCAGATTTCGACAACTACCGTCATTCCTTCCTCCTCTGTTGAATTCAAAATATGTATAAAAATAATATTCGAAGAAACCAATAATGTTTCGCGGAAAAATGTGGGTTTTATTGCAAATGTGGGTTGTTTAAAAAAATGTTTTTTTTCGAAACATATGTCGAATTTTGATGTTTAATATATTCGGATGTGCACGAGAAGAAAAATAAATAATAAAAAAATCCTTTGAATGTTCGTCTTGAATTCGTGCACGTTTTTAAATATTCAAAGTGATTGCCTCATTTACTTACGCGGTATCCGGAATTTGTTATAGCCAGTCCCATTAAGGAGTCGATCGATTATATCAGTGTCTCGTGTGCAATTTCGAGTACGACGTGGAATTGTTGCTAAAAGACACACATTTCTAAAAGAAAACCCCATGATTCGTTTTTTTTTTGTTCAAATTATTTTCTATTCAATGGAACACTTTTGAAAAGTGGCCAAGTCATAATAATGCACCATTTATGGGCATTGAGAAACGCACTTTGGAATGTGCTCATTTCCGGAAAATTCGCACATAACTAGATTATATGAAATGTTCGAAGAAATACATATTTTAGATTGAAAATATGAAGAATGAAAATGTTGAAAAAAAAAACTCGCGACCAAAGTGTGGCGAATTGACAAGTTCGGCATAATCGAGCTCAGTTGTGATGATTAGAACTGGCAATGTCGATAATAGTGTGAATATCATCCTAAAAAGGGCATAATCGTAATAGAAATAAGGAACGACGAAATAAAAGAGTCGAGAACGAAATAATGAGGATTATGATTAATTGATGAATGTGACACATCCGGTTATAATAACACGAACATGGGAAGAAGAAAATTGAGAAGAAGAAGAAGAAGAAGAAGAAGAAGAAGTTTGAGAAGACGTATCCGGCGAAATCGCGCAACATTTTCGGAGAAATGCTGACGCGAGCAAATTGGCAATGAATCAATTATTTATGGGAGTTTTATAAGGTCGCGCGACTAACAATTTTCTCGTCGCACCTAGGCAATTTGCTGCTTTTCTTTTCAAAGAATCTCGGCACAAAGTTGCAAGCAAATCGAAATTGAGGAATTTCGAAAAAATGTCAACGCTCGATATTAATGATTCCATTAAAAATTTAATAAATAAAAAAATTGACGTTGATCCGATAATTCTAAAGAGCTTGATGTTAATTTTGTTTTAATTCCTTTTAGTTCATGGTCAATTTGGAATAATAAATTACTCGCTCTACCAAATTTTGTAAGAAAACACACATCGGTGTCTATCAATTTTACTGTTTCAGAAAACTATCTGTTTTAATATAAGTTCCAAATATTTAATTGTATCGAGATGGTCCTCTATTATTGAGAGATGTTCCAACTGTACTAGAAGTATCTTCATGGATTTAAAAAAAACTAACTGGAATTTCGCTATTATAAATAGTTCGAATAACAACACGACGTTCAATTTGTCGTTTCGGATGAACAGAGAACAAGGGGAAACTTGCGAAAAGGCGACGAATATCATAAAAACACAAGCACACACACACATATATATATATATATAAATATATAAATCCAGGTGTAGCCGATGTGCTCAAAAATAACATAATATTTGAGCCGACGCATTTGTGCATAAAATTCGCACCGGAAGAAGAAGAAGAAGAAGACGGCAGTAGTATAGGAAGGAGGGATTATAATACCATTTTCGACACACACATTTTTTAAAATTATTTATGAAATTAACCATAATTTGCACAAAACTGAACTCTGGATTCAAATTGTGTTTTCGTACAATTCGAATTCCGCCGAAACGAATGTGAAATAGGAAGAGACAAATTGACGGATTTGGCGAGGCGAATTCGAAGAGCTCGAAATGTTAAGAAGCAAGCTATCTCCGAAATGCATCCCATTTTGGGTTATTCCATTCGAAACTCATTGATTTTGTTGCTTCAATATTAGTAGTTCAAATCAACAAATCGTCGAGCTAAAAATGGAAAATTGCGAAAACAAGGAGGCGTAATTGCAAGTGACATATTCTGGGCGGCTCTTCAGCTTCTTCCTCTTCTTCCGAAATCACTTTTCATCTGTGTTCGAGAAAGGAGACCTTTTTCATTTTCCTAATGACAACAAAAAAAAACACAAAAAAGTGTGTTTTATGGTGCACACCACTTTCGCATCGTGTTCTTTCTTCTTCAACTATTCTCTTCATTTTTTTACGCATTGACTTTGAATTACCATACTTCGATGAAACCCCATTCTCATTGAATTCAAATAAGTCTAAAAGCTGATCGAAAAGTGTGTTTAATTAAGAAAAGTGACATGTTTGGTTGTCAGTGTCCGTCTTCATCGTCGATTTTTTTAATGTAACAGATCCTTCGCCGTCAGTAGTATAGGAAGGAGGGAGTATAATACCATTTTCGACATTTCAGTCAGTTCAACATATTTTCATTCTCTGATGTCAGATAATCAACTCATTTACAACATTTTTTTGAAAAAAAGTGAGAAGTAAGTGAATTTTTGAAGCACTAAAAAGTGCTTATCTTTAATAATTTTTATACATTTTCGATCAAATTTCTGTTGAGATGCCGATTTCATTTTTAATTTCCTATTTTCATGTTTAAGCAAAAAATGTGTCATTTTCACACTTTTTCGAAAATCAGTGGATGTCGAAGGATGTCGATTTTAAAAAGGAAGTGGTATTATATCTGAAGACAAAAATATTGGTTAATAATTGAAATCCTCAAAAGATCTGAAGCCTCTTACTAACTTCGAACTCATAGAATTAGCAGAAATATTGGGAATCAAACAAGTCTTTACAAGAAATAATTGATGTACACAGGTAGTCTCAGGCACAGTCCTGTATAGAAGCGGTTCAGAGAACGATATTCAGATTACACTTAATTACTTCGGACCAAGGCTTAAAATAACAAAACCCGTAGATAGCAAAGAGCCGGAGACACAAAAAGCGACCCCTTTTCAACACATTCAAAACAGAGAGCGTAAGAGAGAAGGGAAATAACTAGCGAAGTAGATATTAAACGTAGAACGGCTTGTGTTTGGCGAACTCAATGTGGCTGAGAATGGCTGAAAAAAAATAAATTTATATAAGACTATATATTAAATTTATACTCACTTTGAATTGAGACCATTTTCAAGACGTCTCCATACTGCTTCGTTTCCTTTCCGTCCCATTCACTTCCACGAGCGATGCCGAACAGATCTCCATTTGCATAGAACGCCCCTCCTAAAATGTGATAAATACAGGGTGGCTGAAAATTACCCGGACTAAAATTTCGAGCCTTCGTGAGGCGCACTGGTGCTTTTTCAGCGCAATGTTTTTTAATTTTTTTAATTAGCAATGCTTTTTTTACTATCTCTCAAATTTTCATGATAATTGGTTCGGTTTTAGCAAAATGGCGAAGCAAAATGCAAACCGACCCGCAATTATCGGATTGCACAAGTCCGGAATAGCCACGTATGCAATTTGGAAGCATCTGAGAATTCCGAAAAGCACCGTCTACGATGCGATTTCTCGTTTCAAGGATCTTGGCACAACCCAGGACCTTGCAGGCAGACTAAAAAACCTACGGTGACGACTTTTTCGAACGTTAAGATCGTCCGAGACAGAATCAGACGAAATGCTCATCAGAGCATCAAAAAGATGGCTTCCGCCCTGAATATGTCACGAGCATCAATGACAACCATTGTCAAAAAGAAGCTTAAGTTGACTCCTTATTGTGTCAGAAAAGCGGTCATCCTTTCTCAATCCAACAAGCTCAAACGGCACCAAAAGGCAAAACCCCTTTTGGCGGGCGCGCGGGTTGGGGAACATCTGTCGATGGTCTTTTCGGACGGGAAGCTGTTCACCGTGGAGACCGAATTCAATTCGCAAAAACATCGAGTGCTTGCCTGAACGTCCGAGGAAGCTTCAGAACTCGGCCGGACGATTCATCGTACGTCGCACCCCGTCAGCGTCATGATCTTCGGTGCCATCTGCTCCAATGGCAAATTTCCTCTGATCTTCGTGGAAAAGGGTGTCAAAATCGACAAGGACTACTATATCAATGAGATCCTGAAGAAGAACTTGCTTCGTTGGGCCCAAAAACACTTTGGTGGACAACGATGGGTGTTCCAGCAGGACGGGACGACAGCTCATACTGCAAAGTTTACGCAGGAGTGGTGCGCCAACAATTTCCCCTCCTTCATCAAGTCAACAGAATGGACCGCCTCGTCTCCTGACCTTAATCTGTTGGACTATTCCGAATGGGGGTCTTACAGAGTAAAGTCCGTGCTAGGCCCCACCCGAATTTGGACTCTCTAAAGAAAGCGCTGGTCGAGGAATGGGACAAATTGTCGGTGGAATACCTGCGCGCCACGGTAGACGCATATCCGAAGAGTCTTCGCGCCGTCATCAGAAACCGCGGAGATCGAATCGGACAACGATAATCAATTTATGTTTGTTATTGTAAAAATAAACTAAATATGAAATTTCAGTGTGTTTGAACAATTATTCACTGAAATACATTGGTTTTCATATAGTCCGGGTAATTTTCAGCCACCCTGTAATATTACTACTGCTACTACTACTACTACCTCCGCTGATTCCTGTATGTCCACCGGAATCGCCGTAGAAGTATCCTCGACCCCCAACAGACAGTGACGAAACATGACCGAGACTAACCGAAGCCTTCTTTTCACCAAACGGGAATCACCGAAAATAAAAACATTATTGATATAAATGGTGAGTTATAAAAGTATTTTTCAAATTTTGCTCTATTAATTACATCAATTTTTAATATAAATAAATAATCAAGTTTAAACAATAATAACCACAGTGATGTGTTCCGAATTCTTGAATTTGAAATGTTGATAACTCGATGACTGATTTTTTATTTTCCTCTTTTGATGTTTTCAAACATTCTTGAAGTTCTAATGGTGGATCTAATCCAAAGGAATCAAAGTAATAAATATTCTTATTCTTGGTGTCCTTGGAATAGCAGACCCAATGAGTGAGTACCTTTACCATCTGAAGAATCTAGATTGACAATACCTACTTGTTTTTCTTTAATTCCTTGTGGTGGTAAAGTGTCTCTCATGAAGATATTTCTGAAATTCTTTAACTGAAGTATTTCTACTAAAGCAAGAAGATCGAGATTTGTTAATGGCTTCAGATTATATTCTCAGATCCTCTGGATTTATCGAATTTCATTTATTTAGCTGAATTTTTATGATACCACTTCCTTTTTAAAATCGACATCCACTGATTTTCTAAAAAGTGTGAAAATGATACATTTTTTGCGCATAAAAAATTTTAAAAAATTAAAAATTAAGAAAATTAAAAATGAAATCGGCATCTCAACAGAAATTTGATCGAAAATGTATAAAAATTATTAAAGATAAGCACTTTTTAGTGCTTCAAAAATTCACTTACTTCTCACTTTTTTTCAAAAAAATGTTGTAAATGAGTTGATTATCTGACATCAGAGAATGAAAATATGTTGAACTGACTGAAATGTCGAAAATGGTATTATACTCCCTCCTTCCTATACTACTGACGGCGAAGGATCTGTTACATTAAAAAAATCGACGATGAAGACGGACACTGACAACCAAACATGTCACTTTTCTTAATTAAACACACTTTTCGATCAGCTTTTAGACTTATTTGAATTCAATGAGAATGGGGTTTCATCGAAGTATGGTAATTCAAAGTCAATGCGTAAAAAAATGAAGAGAATAGTTGAAGAAGAAAGAACACGATGCGAAAGTGGTGTGCACCATAAAACACACTTTTTTGTGTTTTTTTTGTTGTCATTAGGACAATGAAAAAGGTCTCCTTTCTCGAACACAGATGAAAAGTGATTTCGGAAGAAGAGGAAGAAGCTGAAGAGCCGCCCAGAATATGTCACTTGCAATTACGCCTCCTTGTTTTCGCAATTTTCCATTTTTAGCTCGACGATTTGTTGATTTGAACTACTAATATTGAAGCAACAAAATCAATGAGTTTCGAACGGAATAACCCAAAATGGGATGCATTTCGGAGATAGCTTGCTTCTTAACATTTCGAGCTCTTCGAATTCGCCTCGCCAAATCCGTCAATTTGTCTCTTCCTATTTCACATTCGTTTCGGCGGAATTCGAATTGTACGAAAACCCAATTTGAATCCAGAGTTCAGTTTTGTGCAAATTATGGTTAATTTCATAAATAATTTTTTTTAAACCCTCTGTCAAATGTTTTAATAAGAAACGATCGAAAAAAAGTATCAAACAATTTGGAGTCGTTCAACGAACATTTGGAATCGGCGAGCAAGGAACGCACTCGACACTGATTAGCCTCAATACGAGAAATTACGTCTGGAACTTCATTTAAAATAATTGACGACGAGAGATTCATGCCATTACTTCAATCGAATGTTTTGACTTTTATTTTCGAACATCTTTTGTTTACAAATTTCCTCCTTTCAGATCATTGAATTTCTCGAACTAAATTCAATTTTGGTTATCAAAAACAACAAGAAATTAATTGTTGAAAACTTGCAGCAATTAGAGCCAGAGCCGATCTTCTAATCATTTGAAATCATTTTAATTTCACATGTTTGCTCATTTTTTTGCCCACTGACGGATGAGTTCTTCTGATATTATTCTGAGTTCTAATGGACTTCGCAATATTTCGTCTATTTCATAGTTTTTGCATAAATGTTTCTTCGAAACTAACGAATATTACCAAATTTGAAATAATTGTTCAAAATCTTTAGCAAGAGGGTCTCTCTAAGTTTTAAAGACTATAAAAATGTCGAATAAAGGGCTTCAACCTACTTTAGAACCTTTTTTATATTACTTAGTCGAGTATCATTATTTTCAAGCAAATTTGGATTGATGGCAATTCAATCAAAAATTTTACGGAGGGTCTCAGCCTCGTGAGACGCCGTTCTTGAAACAATCTTTTAAGTTGACGAACCGATTTTTCAGAATTTGTGGAAGTGCAATAAATGGAAAAAAACGCGTCAAAAAATTCTTTAAAAACCGAACTAATTTTTCTTTTCAAACGCACATTAATCCGCGGACCTCAGAATGCCGAACGGCTCTTGGGCGACCATTTCTTCACATCACTTATTATTTCCACACATTGCTCAAAAATAGATTTTGCACAACTCTGTATCTTGCTTGAACTTCCTTCTCGAATCGTTGAAGTCATGTCCCGCTGGGAGCCGTGATTGGCACATCAGCTAATTGTTTTTCAAAATTTATTCAACAAAATCGCACTTGTCTTTCTAACACTGCCTCATCTCCCTATGGGCATTTCTTCACGAGACCCTTTTAATTAGCGATTTCAATAATATCAGTATATAAATATCATTCTGCTCATGACGCACTTCGAATATTCTCCAACTGCCAAATACTGAAGCTGAACAGGGTGCTTGGGTGCTTTATAATCAGTGTCGTGTCAATTGGTATGTGCATGGTTAATAATAGAATTCGTTTGCATCATTACACATTTTCAGTCTGTAATTAGAGAAGAGAAAACTTGTGTGTATTTTGAATCACACAATAACACACAGCTTCTTTTTTTTTGAAACACTAAACCATTGGCTAAAATTCTGATTTTTTTTTAATATCTGCTATCGACGGCGTCAGTTGTAGATTTACGGACGTGCTTTTCGAAATGGTCTTGCCGAGAGAGGGACAACAGTGCCCGTAAATCTAAACCCATTGTTCAGTCACCCGGACTAAATTCTATTGCAAAAAATGTACAAAAATCTATTTTATTTGGTGTTTTGTAATTTCTTTTACTCACTAGGAAACATTTTTTTGAGAATTTCCCCCGACACTTTTTCTTCAAAATTTCATAATTTAAAAATAAGAGCAAAAAAGAATACATAATAATTTTGAAAGTTTCTTTTGAAAAGAACCGAAATTTTCAAAAAAATATTGAATCGTCGATCAATTAAACCCAGAATTGCTATATCTCAGAATATTGGTAAGCATATGGTTTGAAACCATAGCTTGTTAGACTACTAGTTCAGTAAGTCTAATTTTTTTTGTAATTGCCTTTTGGATCAGGCCGCATCTGCATGGATCCATTGGAATTTCCACCATTGTCCCACCAGAAAATACTTTAATTGAAAGTATTGTCGGCGTTCGGCGATTGTTGTACGCGGGTAGATTTACGCGCATGCGCCTTGAAAAGGTCTCGCCACGCGTGAATGCTTATTTTGCTGTTTTCACGTGAACTGCTTCATTTTTCTCGATGAGTTTCGCATTTCTTGGAATTTCTAATGTCGTTCGATTAAAAAAAATTATCAAACCGACCCATAAAATTTGAAATAACCTGTTAGTCCTTGCGAGACCATTTCGAAAGGCGCATTCCCGTAAATCTACCCGCGTACAGCAGTTGCCGGACGCCAACTATATTTGATCACGAGGATTTGTCATAAAATTAATGATAGACTCGGCCAACTAGCCTTTATGATATGTTTATTTAGATTTTTGGGTTGAGCTGCTTTTTTCCAATCATGAAAAATCTGTGCATTCAAAATGAGAAAGCATGGCGTTCGATTTTTGTAAATAACGACGATTGGACAAGAAAAGACGAGATGATTTTTCAGATTTTTTTCTTTTCTCCACCTGAATCGAGTTCTTCGTTGGATCTCATATTGTAAAGTACCCAATGCCTTTTTTTAAGAATGGCTTTTCCAAATTGACTTCCACAACGCTCTTCCAAAATATTCGTGAACATTCTCGATTTTTAATTAATCTAATTTCATTCACAAATTCGTTTGAAATTTCCATGAATCACATTGTTTATCGCAATTGTTCTCATGTCATCCTTCTTCTTTTTTTTCATTTTATCACGAATTTTCAGATGTTCGAAATATTTGAGGATTTCAATTCATTTCACGTGAGTATGCTTACTTATATAATATTAGGTTCGATTAGTTTTTTTTTTTTAAAAATGTAATTCGTTTATAATTTCGTTTCAGGGAGCATAATTGTTGTATTAAACATGCCTTTATTATATCTACTCATATTTATAAAGCAGAATAGAGAGAGAAAGGAATTTGTGTTAATTGGTGAGAAACCCAATTATCCGAATGCTAAATATCATGATTTGAATGAGTTGTCTTTTTTCTGTGAATCATCCAACATTGAATTCGTAACAAATTGCAGCGATTATCTGTTCTGTGGATTTACTATATGTTGTCGTGAACAGTTATAATAGCATCTCCCGTCTTATTCTAGGCACCTCGACAAACGGTAAGCAGGAGAAGCTGACCTCTTCAAATCGCCGAATTTCGATGGTATTGCAGTTGTCGCAAAAATTGAATGTGTTCTAAGGCCAAATCTATTCATCAGTCTCGTAGTTATTCAACTAGTTTGTATGGTTTCAAATAATTCTCATTTGAAATCTCCCAACCATTTTCAGCCCAAATGCCGCTGTTTGTGGCTATCGACCGATTATTCGCCGTTGTCTACAGCATTTGGTATTATAAACGCGGGGTCTGCTATTCATTCTTTTTATGTTCCTGTATGCAATTTTTTTCTAATTCCAAAGATCATAACAATGATTGTTTAGTGCCAATGATTGGAAGTGTTGTGACGACGATTGCAAATGTCATTTCAATTTATAATGGTCCCGAAAAAGAATCACAGGTGATGGCTGTATGCTTCTCGTCGAGTAGGGACCATCGATTGATATTCAAAGTTAATATTTCAATAGTTTTCAGGTCTCGTCGCGAGCTCTTTCAAACCATATTTTCACGGCACAAAATGGGCGTGTCTAATATTGGCGACAATTGTGAATGTTTTTGTCGGCATAATTCTTCATTGCGTGAGTTTCGAATTGAAGCCAGAAATGATAAGAATGTTCTAGAATACGAAAATCAAGCATCAAAACACAACGAAAAGATTAAAAAATGCAAATATGGTAATATTCTCGAACACGGTAAACTCGCTGGTGTTCCTTATGATTCCTGATATGATATTGGCTTATCCGCCGAAAATGGACAATTTTATTTATCTCCAAATCACAATGTTTTCATTGATAATGAGCAAAGTATTCCGTTTTTCTCCAATTGATCTTATTTTTAAACAAATTATTTCAGATTATTTTCAATATAGTTCTTTTTCTATTTTTCCACAAAGAACTGCGAACGCTTTATCTAAATTTATTCAAACGAAAACTGTTTTACAATGGTGGAAGAATGAGTGGAGGTTTGTTAAATTCGAACCAATCATGCATTCAAGATGATCGATTTAGTCCGAATTGTTCCTGTCCCGCAGCAGGAGCTCAAAACATCAGCCCATAACGCTTAACGAGGTTCGATTATTCACTTTTCTCACAATTTGCGGTTTAAAATATCGCTTTGTCAACTTGTTAGAGTGATCTGTGATTTATCTAATTATGTACATAATTATATATTATACGTTTAAATAAAGCGTTTTGAAAAATTAGACGCGAAACGCAACGCGTCTGGCGACATAAAATAAGTACGATAGTCGCTGTTTTTTTTTTCGAAAACAATCTTTTTATAAACATGTGATCGTGATCTGTGATATATGTACATACAGTGCTGGCCATAAAGAAATCAAAAAAAGGTCGTGCATATGTTTTCCAGCAGGATAACGATCCAAAACATACTTCACTTCATGTGCGCAATTGGTTCCAACGGCGCCGTGTGGATGTTCTTGAGTGGTCAAGCCAATCCCCGGACCTAAATCCGATTGAGCACATGTGGGAGAAGCTCTAGAGACGTCTTAATGGGGTCAGAGTCCACAATGCGGATCAAAAATTCGCTCAACTCGAAGTTGCGTGGAAAGCCATCCCACAGTCCGTCATTACCACACTTCTGGAGTCAATGCCGAGAAGATGTCAGGCTGTCATCGATGCTAAAGGCTTTGCCACGAAGTATTAAGCCTGCGTACATCATTTCATTACCTGCTTGCGACTTTAAGGTCACTTTAGATCGTGTTTAAAACGGGTCACTATTTACCGGTTTCTGTTGATTTTTAATAAATTGATCTTTTCTTTTTAATTTTTCGAAAAAATTAACAACTTATGTGTAGAATTTATCACGTTTATTGTTTTATTTGTTGTCTAAAAATTTCAGAGTGATTGGACTACTTTTAGAAAAGTTATGCTCAAAAAACCACTTTTTGATTTCTTTATGGCCAGCACTGTACATTACGAATTACTACATTCGAAAAAAAACGAGCACCCTGAACCGATTTACGGCGAGTTAGCTTCGCAGGTTATCCAGAGTACGGTATCCGAATTCTCAGTGTTTAAATTCGAATTTGAGTGGCCGACTCGAAAAAGTGCGATGGTCCACAATTATGCAAGGTGTTCGATTTTTTCCGATGATAATACTGATTTTTTCTGTATTTTGTATAACTTTTCAACAGTCTTGTTTTTACATCCAATGAGCGATCGTCTGTTTCAGTTTTGGTCTGAAATCAGGCCTTTTGAACGATACGCGCATGTGGGTTTTCTATGGTCCTGAATTCGAAAACCCAATTGTCTTGTCACCAATTTATATGGTTTTCTCGATACTGCGAAATTTCGGGATGGATGGCATATCATTTTGACGCGGAATTGCCGTACATTCCACTGCCGCACATCCCTGATGTACTTACATATTCAAACTTTCCTTCATGTTCAATTATTCGTCATATTTATTACAATGAATAGAATAAAGTTAAAACAAAAAAAAATAGAAATAAATTATTGCGAACCATCGGAAGTGCTTCCTTCGTCGTCTTCGGTCACAGTCGACAAATGACGATCGAATTTGTTGCGAAGTTTCTGTTGCAATTGCAAATTTTTTGGATGACGCGGCTCTGAAATTCGACGCAATTCAATATTGAACGAAAACAAAGAATATTATCAACTCACCATACTCTAATAAGTCGGCATGTTCATTGTATGATCTGATTTGCACCAATTGCGGTCTTCCGCTGTTGCGATAGATTGACTTCTTGGTCGAGGTGGGTGTCGAGGTGCTCGATTCCGATGAAGTGCTTGCTTCGTCGATCGTCTCGTCCGCCCATTGCACTTTTCTGTTTGTCGATCGTGTCATACTGTAGCTGGAACGCAATATGAATAATAAATGATAAGCGGCAAAAAAACAACAACAACGACATGAGTGAACTGGTTTGGCGAATGATTTCCAAGTGTTGGGTAACTGATTGAAATGAGATGAAGTTGAAAAAAAAATGATCGTCCTCATTTGCATTGCGGAGGTGGGTGTTGAAAAATAAACAAACAACAAACCAATAAAGGAGGACCAATTTTTCAAAATTAGTCGTTTGGTTTTATAACTTTTAGTTCGAGTTTATGACCAAAAACAGGTTATTAGGCAAATTAGCCGAACCGCAAAACATTTCCGACAAAACCGATCGAAGGGCGATCTTTGAAAAATATGAAACGTGTCGAAATAAATGAAACAACATTTACCGACTGTATTGTTTTTGTGAGCGAATGCAGGAAACGATAAAATATGTGAAGCATGACACATTTTTATTATATATAATGGGTCTTCGAATGGAGAACGAGTTCAAATATGCATTGCAAATCGTTGAGACTTTGATCATCAAAAAAAAGCGAAGAAAGAAGTTTGACCTTGGAACTAACGCGAATTATCGAGTAGGAAAAGCATTTTCATGACTGAAACGATATTGATTGCACTCCAAGTTTGCTGAATAAAAATGTGTACAATGGACTATTTGAAAGTTTTTTTTTTCTGAATTTGTTGTAATCGTTGTCTTTCGAGTTATGTGAATTTCTAGCATTCAGAAGTCTTTGATAATATTTCTACGGATTTTTACATCAAAATGATTGGTCACCAGCCATCTCAATCTCTTGTTTTATGCTTTACTAAAGAACTGAGCATTTTCATTTAATTCGAATTCAGAAATGAGAAGAGATTAGAAGACGACTCCATGTTGGTCGCAGACAGACGAAAATCAAATATTCAAAAGTCTGGGTTCAAATATACATACATCGGCATCAAATATGCGAAATTTTCCGATTTTTATGGGGGGAGGGAGGTCGAATCTTAATTGCCCAAACAATGCTTGGAAATTAGGGAAACGTTTTCAATTTTTAAAGGCACATTCGGAAAACTTTAATCTTTTTTGCCGTTTTTTTTAATACCAATAACATTGGTTTTTGTTGGCTGAAGTAGAGTTTTGTCACGTTTGTGACAATGAATAAACACAACGGTTCAACACATCAAACAAAAGCGCATTTCTCGAAATATTCCCATTTTTACGGCGGTTTTAAAACCGTAAAAAATGACAAAAATTTCGTGAATTGTTTTTTTTCCACACGTCTTTGAGATACACCGTTCTTTTTCTCAAAAAAAAAACTGCTGAATTTAAAAGATCAAAATTAGAAATATTAGAATTTGCAATGAGAATGACTCGATTCAAGTTTAAATAATGGTTGAATTTTTTTTAGAATTGCCGACCTCGACAAAAAGGTTTATATACATATATGGATGGAAATTTGCATAATTTTTTTTTGAAGAGAACTGACCATTTCTTCAATGTTTTTTTCCCCGATGAATGACAACATTCGAGGGCATTCATAGATCAAATGTTGAAAAATTGATGGTTTGTAGTTGGATAAAAAACGAATGAGCCCGTTAGTTGATGTTATCATCACTTGTACAGTTGTTTAGCAATAATGAACAAGTACACAAATAAATTATCAAAAGTCAATTCATTTCCGACACAAAATACATCGCTGCTGATGGACAATCACTCACTGATTTGCGATCATTATGGCAAAAAAATGGGGCAATCAAAATCAATTTTGAACACAGAAATGAGCGATAAATTTGCAGACTAGTTTATCATTCCTGAAATGATAAGATTCTAATGAACTCCTCGAAAAAAAAATGAGAAAAGGAAGGATTGGTTGACTTTTTTTGGAAGATCCCAGGTATTCACAATAACTGATTTATAAGGAATACGAAAAGTCGAATCGGCTGACCTTGATGACAAGCCAACATCGAAAAGGATAATATGAATGAGAGAGTTTGCGGAGGAAGAAAATAAATTTGAATAAAATATGAGGACGAGGAACGCGATTTTTAATTCAGAGATCTCGTTTTTGGCTTGAAATTTCCCGTTGACAAATGTTTGATCAAAAAGTTTGATTCGACCATAAAAAATTAGAAGAAATGATAGTATTTTTTTATAACAATGATATGGAAGCGTGCAAAATGTTGATAATATATTACACATAATCAATTGGCCGAAGAATGGTTGCAATTTAATCGAAAGAGACAATAGCGTCATGCTTTTTTTCTGCATTTTCTCTCTTTCGAAGCAATTTGAACTGACAATTCATTTGATGATCAAACTTTCTTAAATTCACGTGCAAATTGAACGTTTGAGGACAATTCGAAGATTTTTTTAAATTTATTTTTTTTCGGGTCGAATTGAATTTCCTCAATACTAAATGATACAGATTTTTAATAAAAATGAGAATTCTGTGAAACGATGCAACATAAATAGTTTTTAATATGAAAGCAACTGCACGGAAAAGGGAAAAAATTGCTTCCGCCCTCATCTTTGTTTACAAACCAACGAAATCGATTAATATTTGGAGAAAAAAGAATGCATTTTTATTTCAGACCGAGTTCAAAAATGATGCGAATATTTGATGGCACAATTTGCGTGGTTTCAATCGTTTTTATACGCGTCGCCCTAACCTTTTGTAAATAATCGAAAATCGTTTCCCAGGCATTTATTTCGCATCGTTATTAGTTTCGTTTTTCATAAATTTCAATTGAATTTTGTGACGTAGACCGATGAGGAGGAGGACGACGAATTTCGCATACAATCATCGCTGGTGTGTCTTGTGTCAAAGTACCCAAAAAAGTATTGCAATCGGTTTTTACCCGGTGATAAGAGTCCCAAAATTCAAAACATCTCCATCTCCAATTTTATGGAAAATTGATTATGTACGTCAAAAAGAATATTTCATATGTAACTTCTAATTTGAAAACCGCAATAAAAAATTTAGAGCTGGAAATTTAGGTATTTTTCAAATATAATTTCAGACTTGTTCGCTATATATTCATGAAATTTTTTTAAAAATGCAAAAATTACACATTTACCTATTCTTAAAAAAGCACACATTCAATGTAATTTTTAAAATATTTTTTTGTAAAGAAAATACATTTCATGAATTATTCGAGGTCGCTTAGAATTTCGAATCGAATCACATTTGTCTTATAAATATTCGACATCTCACAATTTTGCGCCCGAGCTGTGGAGCTTTGGGCATAATTAGTGGGCCAATAATAATTAACTAAATATTTTTTTAAACTAAATCCACTAATTATGATTGATAACTAAATATAATTATTTATTAAATAAATAATCTTTAACTAAATTCATATTATATTTAGTTTATAATCATATTTAGTAAATTTAGTTTGAAAAAATTGTCGGAGTCAAACGACTTGACGAAAATTAAAAAATGATTCGCAATGTGCCAATGCGTCTCAAGGCAGCGAGAAGTACGCAAGACTGCGTACATTGCATTATAGTGTACGCGCATTTAATATTCAGTCAACGAAAAATTTAAATCTACACTGATTTCGCGAATTTGAAGGTCCCGACTTTCTTTAGTCGTTTGACGCTGACAATATTCAGTTAATAATTATTGGCCTAATTAGTGCGTTAAAAAAGAAGTGAAATTTTCTAAAATTATACATTTTTGTGCATCTTGATATATTGTCGGCGTCAAACGATTCAATTAAGGCAGGGGCCTTCAAATTCGCGAAATTAGTGTAGATTCAAATTTATCGTTGACTGAATATTAAATGCGCGTACGCTATAATGCAATGTACGCAGTCTTGCGTACTTCTTGCTACACATATTGGCACATTGCCAATAATTTTTTAAATTTCGTCCAGTCATTTGACTTGGACAATATTTAGATAATATTGGATTAATTGCTGTATGGCTTCAAAATTTGAAAAATCGCGTGTTGAGAAGACGACGAATTATTGAATTGTGCCATGAGATTTTTTGAAAACGACGTCATCCGTGAAAAAATGTTCGAAACACGCCACTTTTTAATAATTATCTGCTGTCAAAACCATTTTCTTCAATTCTTCGCATTCATCGTCGCCGTTTTTTTTTTCATTCGAAGATCTCTGCAAACTGATTTTCCAATTCTAAAAATACCGATGAGAAACGCGCGGAATTACGAGAATTAGCGACTAATCGCACCAACAAGCGCAATTAGTTGGCAAGCTTTTGTGTTAATTAACAAGTGACGCCGGTTCGAATTGAATTGATCTGATGACTTGAAATTGTGCTGATTTTCACTCGCTTTTTTTTTCAATTATTGTGAGCAAATAGGATTAGATGTTTTTTATTCTTTTTTTTTCTCTTATAGAGTATTACTTACATATTTCCGAAAAAAAACGGGCCCGTCGGGATGTTTTCGGACCAGAAATTCAAATTTTAATTTACGGCTTTTTGTGGGAATACAATGAAAAAGAAAAAAAAATAGAAACTCATAACCAATTAAATGAATGCATATTGTATATTCAATTGGACCATATCGTTGATAATAATTATTGGCGTTCCTCTCATTTGTTTTCCATCCGAATTCCAACATCAAATCTATTTTTAAAAAACATTAGCTCTTGCTTGTCATATTCGCGGCTCATAATATATTCGAATAAATTGGTTGGTTGTAACATGAGAAATGAGGAACAAAAAAGGGAAGGGAACTCAACGCGAATATTCGATTATACGTCGGATCAGGTGTCGGTTAAATCAAAAATCGGCACGTATGATCGCGGATTCCGATAATCGGAAACACTTTTCGAAAAGGGTCGAAATTTTGAAAAAGACTACTTGAGGTTAGTTTTTTTTTTTAATATCTTAAATTGTTCAAAATTAAAAGGCTTTTTAAGACCGGAAAAAATAATTTAGTCTTCAGATAAAAAATTAATGTGTTAAGAAAACACTAAGAATTATGTATATATATGCTTGAATTCGAATGATTCAGTGATTCGGACTATGTGCCTTTAATCATGGTCCCGCCGTGATGTTTCCTATTCACCATATTTCCTTCTAATGCAAAAATGTGAATTAATTATCTTTCGCAAAATCAGAAAATCATTAATACGATTGAATTCTTTCATAATTAATTCGAAATATTCTTTTCTGCTTAATATTTTTCCCTGACTGCGTTTATTTTACATTTTTATTATTATTTTCCTTTTTTTAATTACTTTTTTAGGCATAAAATGTGAATTAAATTTGATATTGTTCTATATTTTTTGAATGTGTCGTTGCAATTTCTTTCGTTTTCTTTTCCAATGATCAAATTAGGTTTTGGTGAAGGACCCTTTTGAATTCGTCTCGAAATGCTCTCGAATCTCAATTTTTTCAAGAGCGGAATTTGTTGTAGAAAACCCAATAACGAATCGTAAATGTTTCATTCGACTGGAATTTTCGCGCTTTGCTCAACGCCAGTCTTTTCTGCAAATTTTCTGTTTTTTCTTGTTTCCGGAACGAATTTGTTAAGGATTCTTGCGAATCACCCGATTTTCATGGTCGTCGTTTATACTTAAATATTTATTCTTGGTGAGAAACTAATTGGAAACGAAAAAAAACACGGTTAAACATCATTTTCTCGCATTTATTAATTAATTTTCTAATTCCAATATTGTTTTTTTTTCTTCAGACTGAAAAAAAAAAACAAATCGAAGCGGTGATTAAAAATTCTGAATAAAATTAAAAGGGATACGAAACTTGGATACACATTTTCATTAGAAACCCTATTTTGTTTCATTTTTTCTTTTCTTTTAAATTTAAAGAACGACGACCTTGGGATTAGGATTCATCATCGAAATGCGCAAATATTTTATTTTTATCTTTTTCGAAATGAATTAAAATATATCATTAGGAATTATACAGTCGAATCGTCCTCAACAATTGGTGGATTAGTGGGGGAATAATCTTTCAATGGAATTTTTCATTTTAAATTTTAGACATTTTCAAACCCAAAGAATAATCCTCAAAAATGAATGATTTTTATTCGAAAATACATTTAAAAAAATTAGTCTGCATATGGGACTTTTTTGAGTTTTTCGATAGTTTTTAATCCGTTTCAGAGTTTTTTGTTGCGAAATCTGCATGGTGTCATTAATCTGAATTAAGTTTAAATTATCGGTCAATGAGATTTCGAACGGCTCACGTTCTACAATGAGTTGCAGAATCATAAGGCGACCCACGAATTATTTCGGTATTTTGAGACCAACCAGTATTAAAATCGTGTTCAGCATAAAAAAAATTACCTATTCATACTGGTTTCAAGCTAACAGAATACAGTGCGTTTCACATTTATAAAGCCACCCCTGTTTTTGAGTGTAACTTTGTCAATTGTAAACATTTTTAAATTCTGTTTTCAAAATTGAATTCAGGGCTAAAAAATACGTATATCTACCAATTTTCATTATGATATCTGAAAAATTGGCCGAGTGGCATTGAAAACGCTGAAAATTGGTCACTTGCAACCGTTTCACATTTATAAAGCCACCCCAGTGAAATGTCTGAAAATGTGGAGACCTGAAGAAGAATGAGCAGTGTAGTTATAAATAGAGTACTGTCAGATATTTTTCTTTGTTTTCGCGTATTTTAACCAACATTTGAACATGTCCCGGGGATTTTTGCTCACCGATGCCGAAAAGGCTACCATAGATTCCTTAAAATTTGCTGGATGGTCTAACCGAAGGATTTCTTCGCACCTGAAGCGACCGAAAACTTGCATTATTAATTTTGTCAACAAGATCGACAAAAACCAGCACCCAAAAAATCCCGGATCGAAGGCGAAACTGAATTCCCGAGACCGAAGATTGATCATCCGAGTAGCATCCAACACGATGAAGTCATGCAACGACATCAAAAACGAGCGGAATCTTGATGTTAGTAAAACGACGACTTGGAGGACACTTAATGATGATCCCAACATCATCCGGGCAGTTACGCGTCCAGCTCCGAGCCTCCAGGACCATCACAAGTTGCGTCGTCTCGAATTGCTCGAGACAACATGGCCACTGATTGGACAAAGGTAACTTTTTAACCAAAATTTTCTTAAAAAACGATACGATTATCATTAGATCATTTTCTCCGGTGAGAAAAAGTTCAACCTAGATGGTCCCGATGGAAATAAGTGTTATTGGCACGATTTACGGAAGGACAACCCCAATTTTTTCAAAGCGGGACATTGGTGGCGAGAATCTCATGGTCTTGAGAGCATTCTCTTCTTCGGAATTTCTCAAGCTAGCGGTTGTCAACTTTCGGATAAACTCGCAGGACTATCAGCGAGTGTTAACGGACTATCTGTTACCATTTCGATGACGATTTCGGCTAAGAAAGTTCGTATTCCAACAGGCAATGCCTCAATTCATGCGAGTCGATCAATTTTGGCTTGGCTCAGCAAAGAAATTATCGATGTTTTGGGGTGGCCAGTGTGCTCACCAGACTTAAATTCGATGAAGAATGGTTAGGGAGAGCTGGTTAGCAGCTTTTATCGTCATGGCAAGCAATATCGTCCCATTGATAAATTGAAAACGGCGATTACCGACGAGTGGGATCTTTTGGAGCAGAAACTCAACACCAAGACCACCCAAAATATGGAAAACCTGGTCCAATCGATGTCAAATCGTATTTACGACCTTATTACTTTGAAAGAAACCGCAACTAAATAATAATCTGTTTTTATAATAGAGTTTTTACTGCGTTCACGGGGGTGGCTTTATAAATGTGAAACGGTTGCAAGTGACCAATTTTCAGTGTTTTCAATGTCACTCGACCAATTTTTCAGATATCATAATGAAAATTGGTAGATATACGTATTTTTTAGCCCTGAATTCAATTTTGAAAACAGAATTTCAAAATGTTTACAATTGACAAAGTTACACTCAAAAACAGGGGTGGCTTTATAAATGTGAAACGCAGTGTATAAGTATCTATTTTTTAGAAATCGAGATCCATTTTATTCAAATCACCAATTTTTCACCGAAAGAAGCTTCTTTTGTTAAAAAAAATATAAAACTTCTCCATTTTATTTTTAAGCAAATGTTTCTTTAGATTTCTGTCTCTTTTTCATAAATTATCATATTCTCAGTGTACAAAGAACTGGCGAAATAGGGAAACTTGAGGTCGAACAGCATCATAAAAAATGTTTGTCTATTCTCACGGGGACCTCTCGAAGTTCCATTTTTGATGGAAATGTATTCTCAAAACTTCCTCAATCTGTCTTCGAACAACGACAATCACGTGACTTTTTGAAAAAGAACAAAAAACGAAAAACTCTTCGCCAAGATAAATTGTGTTTCAAGTATAACCTATAAAGTTGAACAATTCAATTGAACAATAATTTTCTTAATTTTCTGAAAATCATCGCATTGAAAATTCCGATAATTTCGTGTCGAGTCATTTGATTTAAAATCTGTTGGTTGTTTCTCAATTCATTCATTCATTCATCCGATTCCCCCTTGTTTTTTTTAATGAGAGAAACTCATTAAAACGCGAATAATTTACAATTTCCGTTCTTCTAATCCACGTATTAGCTCACAAGCCACGCCCACAACAAAAAATGGGCGGAGTCGGCGAAGAGAGATGAATGAAAAAAAAAAACACGAAAGGCAAAATGCGAATGCACGCTAATTTCTTTTGATTTTCTTCATTTTACATTTTTGTTGAAAATTCCAAAGATTTATTGATTTTTGAAAAATGGGCCTCTATATTTGAACCGTGCAAACATCGAAATATCTGCTAGGTTTCCGCAACGGCTTCATCGAAAATCTAGCTTTTCTTCGAAGGTCACCAACATGTAGTGTGAAGAATTTGGTGTTCGATCTTCCTTAATATTAATCTGTCTGTGAATTTTTTCGCCAACCCGCGCTGGACCCCCCCCGGGATCTGCGAGAGCGAATCGGACGTGATCCCCCTTGCCGCAGATCTCGAGCGACAAATTCGCTGAGTATATATTTCCGACGACATTTTTGCGCGATTTGCAATGTTTACGAAAATCCTTTCAAATGCCATATTTTAGCTTCTGGTCTTTTATCGAAAATGACAGCAAAAAGAAATTAATAATTACGGTTTCAGAATGTCGTTATAACCAAACGTCGTTGTTTATTATTTTGAAGCGGAATTTCAAAACGAAAAATGTATTTAATCTTTGCAGCTCATCGAAACGAACCCTTATCTTGGTTTTGCCCTTTTGCCTTTTTTAAAATGAGAAGTAATGCTCGCGAATATCAATCATAAATAAGAGTGAATTCGTTTATTGAATATTTGTCAGCTGGCGCATTATTATTACTATTACGATTTGATTTGTGCACCTTATTAATTTCATGAGCACATGATTATTTTGCCGAGCCCCATATATTTTATACAAATTTTCAGCAGAAAATGGAAGCTCTTGATAAATTGACGATTGATGAGAAGGATTTGTTGCGGAAAAGCTGGAAGGTGCTCGAGAAGAGTTTGAACAACACCGCTTATAATATCTTCGAGATGATTATTAATCAGAGTCCTGACACGAAAGCGGTTCGTTGGGATTCGTTGTTGATATATAGATGAAAGTTCATTAAAAGCAGTAGGCGGAAATTGAATTTCAAAAAAAAACAAGATGAGAAAATTGAGTTTCGAATTAGAAAATTCGATTTGTGTCCGCTTTTTGCAGAACAAAAATGTTGAAAAAACAAATCTTTGCAGCTTTTTCCATTTATCAAAATGAATCAAGGAGGAAGATCGAGAGAAATGGAGTTTCATGCGCTACGTTTCATGCAGGTCTCACATGGAAATCTTGTTTGAAAAAAAAAATAAGCATTGTAGGTTCTCGAATCAGTTGTGAAAACTTTGGACAATCCCGAATCTCTCAACCCACTTTGTGATAATCTCGGAAGGTTTTCTACCTTTCTTATTGAACTCGTCCGTTTTCATTGATTTCTATTCAGGGTTCACGGTCGTTTGAGCGAGTCTCGCGGATTCCGAACCCATCACTGGGCAGTATTCATCGAATGCACTCTCTATCATTTCAGACGGGTTTTGTCGCAGGTTTGAATGCTACGATTCGAGTCACAACGAAAAATTGCGATAAATCATAGTGTTGTGGTAAAATTCTGCAGAATTTCCGCTGATTGATTCCCGAGAAATCGGCGACCGCCGCGAAGAAATAAAGATTTTTTTTTGGTTTTATTGGAAACTCCGCGATGTTTGCACGATTGCCGAGTCGGTTTTTGCATTTTGCATCGAGTGCTTATTTCCTTTTGAAAATATGACGAAGCTTCGAGAGTTTCCGCGCGCATTTAATTATTCGAACAACAACCAGGAAGATGATGATTTGCAGGATAGCGCATTTCATCGAATGGAACCATTGGACAAGGTCATTATTTTGTGGAGAACAATCCTCAGACTTCTTATTAAACAGATGAAGGTAACATTGGCGTGGAATTGCGTTGAAACGCTGAAAATCCATTTTCCAATTACGACATTTTGTTTCAATTCAAGCGTGGGTTCAATACGGACATCCGCAATCGTGCAGCCAGTCGCGAGATTGAAGACACCCAGAAGGCGTCAACTAGCAGCTCTCCAGTGAGCAGCGACAATTCTTCATTGATAGGTACTTCACATAAGTGTTTCTCCCGCTCGTTGTTTCCCCCTTCCTCTGCACGTTCCTCTATTCTTGTCTGTCTGTCTGTCTTTTTTCGAATGATTATCAAATAACTAGCGCACATCGTCTAATTTTCAGCCCTTCCCCAAACTATCACTCAAAGCATCACATTGCCAAACATCAGTAACAATTACAAAAGTTTGGAGGCGGCGCGAGGTAGCGCCTGGCTAATTGCGCCTTTAATATCTCGCCAATTACAGTAACCAATGGCGACCGCAATCAATCGAGCACCGGCATTTTTCGTCCACTCAAAGATTTCGCAAGAAGAAAATTCATTTCGCATTTCTAATTTCGTTTCCTCTTTTCATTTTAATGTACTTATTTTTATTGTAAAAAACGTGCATGAATTGAATTTTAAATTGTAAAATAATTATAATAATTTTAATATAAATAATATATTAATCGAATATGAGGCTCCTGGCACGAAATTTAAGCGTCGACGGCTTTCGAAACGATGCATGTCTGTTGGTCAGTTCCGTCAGCGCAAAAATCGGAAGCCGATGAGGAGAATTGATTCTCGCCTTCGAGGCATGTCACGAGGTATCTGAAGGCAATCAGATCTAGAGAGAGAGTTCTTTAAAGGCGCATTTACCTGACTCCCTGGTATTTCTCATTAAGACTTAACACAATGTTATCGCGAGAATCCTTGGTGTTCGAACGAATACCCTAGAAAAAAATTTTCAATCAAATCTCATTTCATAAAAATCTACAAATTTGAAGGAAAGTTTCATAATATGCTTAGAATGTTAATATTTTTCAATTGGAGAAAATATATTAAAAGAAATTTCAACGCTAATTATTATACAAATAGAAATGAGAAATGCGATATTTCAAAAAAGAAAACTCTTACGTTTAGAATGATCTTTCGAAGCTCCGGATCGGTACATTTGGGGTCTTGACCGGCCTCTCTCTTCTTGCGTCCACCGCATGGGCATGGACATGGTGGTGTTGGCGGTGGTGGCAATTTGAGTGTTGGCACATTGAACGACACCACCGAGCATCCGAGAGTTGGAAGGCAGCCGCCACCGCCGCCACCGCCTCCACCGCATCCACATCCGCAGCCGCCGCCGCCGCCACCACTCGGGAACAAAAACCCGTTGGTCGACGCGACAAGAATCGCAAATGCTATAAGTCTCTGGAAACGCGCAAAATGAAAAAAGAAAGAAAAGAAATGAATCAGTGACAAACCATGCCGTGACGAGTTTCCGCTCGAACAGCGATAAGGAAATGCGAAGTTTCAAGACATACAACTATTTATAAGATTAGTGAACACAACCAGTTTGAGCCGTGACAATACACGCCTTCTTCGACTTCAGAAGACCGGCTGCGATGAAGACACGACGGCGAATAGCGGCGTTGTATCTAGGGAAGAATGATTACATCATTTTACAGATTTACTATGTCTAGTATTTCAGAGTTGATTTAGATGAAGTACAATCAATCACTCATGCGATGCTGGATTTGCTTCAAATTCAAAACATGTGAATAAGAAGAAAAATAAGAAAGCTTTCGTAATCAGAAAATATACTTCGAAATAAGCATTTGAAGGGATTCTATCGAAATGTTTATAATTCGTCAGATGAACAGCTCAAAAAACATTGGGCTCGCAAACTTATATTCTCTTATTTTTATAAGCAGTATTCTAATCAAATACCTTTTCGTTTTTTTTTTCTTTTCCACTTATTCTTTTTAATCGAACAACTAATGTCACTATTATCACTTTTGTTGCGGAATAACGAAATGCGTGTGTCCTAGTGAAACGCGAGTATAACAACCAGTTGCTTTTTTCGCAGTCACGGCTTCATCTCCAAAGCGTATCAGATAAACAATTGGCAAAATAAGATGATGTCGACACTTACGCACACTAAATAATCGAATGTTTAATATTGAAAGGGACTGAAAGCATTCAATATAATTTATATATTAATTATTCCCGGAAAATACAATGCAAATACCAGTATGATGGACAATTAAAACAAGAATGACCTGCTAGTCAATCAAAAAAAAATTAAATTAGCGAATCTTTGGTAATCCTAAAACGCGGCACCCTCCACTATTCGATCCATTGATTAAAGAAATCGATGAGTGTATCAGTGTCCCACTGCTCAACATTCAGTGTTTCTTTCGTAACGCCAGAGATGTCCTGAAAATTAGTTTATCAAACAATTTTTCAAGTTAGATTTCATTTTTTTTTTCAAATAATATTTACAAACCTTGAGTAAGACTGTAGGGCGGACTCCGCGAACTTGTTTAACTTTGACTTTTCCGTACCATTGAGATGCCATGTCTTTGTGGACAAAAGCTAAAAAGTTATCTTTATTAAAAAAAATACGAGTATTCCACCTTGAATCTGGGGGAATCGAGCTAAGTTACAGTCGCAGACTTCCAGAACAGCAAATGGGTACTTCTGAAAATAATAAATAAATAAAAATGGTTTGAGGGCGCTTACGTTATGGTGGAATTCCTGCTCTTTGGTGCAGCATTTCATACAGTCAGTCATTAATCTTTCAAGATGAAAATCGCCCAATTTTTCGCATGTGCCACACTGAAAATTCGAAAAATTCTCTTAAACTAGGGAAAATAAGTGACTGAAAATATTTTAAATAAAAAACTTTTCATCATAAAAATTAACAAATAACATTTTTTAATGTGAGACAATGAGCACTTATTAAAAATAAATTATTAAATATCAAACAATGATAGAAATAAAATTTACCTGTAAATCTTCTGGTACGAAGCCCGCTTTTCTGCATTCTTCCTCGTTAATGTCATATTCTACAAGCTGCGCACTCACAGCTCCAACGAACAACAGACAAACTTTCCACATTTCAACCAAAACTGAGCCAACTCCAACAAAAGAGCTCAATTTCGACGTCAGCAGTTGAATTATGTGTGCGTTCACAGCGTGTCCGCAAACACCAAATTATACGCGCAAGACAACATAGCCGATGTTGGATATTAAAACTTTTATGTACAAACAGAATTAATTATGCGAAAAGGGCAAGAATTATGCTGACTATTATTATAACGAATACCAGTAAAAATTTGTATATCACACGAGCTTCATATTTGTGCTCTGCCCATGGGTACTATAAACACATCCGTCTGTCCATTATTAAGGCCAAATCTGAAAAAAACTAAAACATTACAAAACTTGAGACGTGATTTAACCTAAATATCTCATTTTTCTTTAATACTTTTGGTGTAAAAACATATTGAAGGCAATTGAAGAGTCGGTCCAACGTGTTTGCGCTTCTATACGTAATAGTGACTACTTTTGTTCTGAAAATAAGACAAAGCTGGTTTTACTCAAATAAAAAATTACTTTTTTGAAATTCCATTCTTCCATTTCACACACCCCGTGTTAATAACATCATTAGATGTTACGTTATATGTCTGAAAAAAAGCGAAATAGGAATATGTAATTAAATAATTAAATACCGATGATAAAATCTGTTCATCAATAAATTCTTCATATTTTTCCTTTGTTTCGAATTCCATTGTTAGCTTAGTGCCGGTTGATCTAAATTTAAAATATCTTGGAAAATCTTTTGTATAATTATTGGATCTATAAATATAATTTTCTTTTTTTTATAAAACACGTATTATTAGTTTTCAAATATCTGTTCCACTTTAAAATGTTCATTTTTTTCAAATACAATTATCTCGGGATTATGTGGTTTATGATCGGTGTTTCATTGTGATATTAAAATGTCAACATTTCGATTCTGTTATTTAATTTGTTTCGCATATGTGTCAACTTAATTCAGTCTTACTTCGATGATAATCTTTGCTGTTTGACACTATCATCCAGTATTCCTCCATCCTCTTGCAATTCAATTCTCGATAACGCAGGAACAAAAACAGTCGAATCTCTCAAATCCCAATTTGACCTTTCAAAGCAACAAACTAAAAAAAAAGAGGCATTAACTCAATTTTAAATCAACAATTCTACATTCTCTGAGACGAATATACTGCTCGAATAATTCTCTTTTAATGATGTATGATCCAATAAGATTTTGGCCGTTGATTCGATAGACAGTAGAGGCAGGTCCAGACGTTTCAATGAATCCTATAAAAATCAAATTCGAAGAAAAAGTATTTGAAAATATAATTACCATTTGGATTATAAGCCAATGCAAAATCGACAGTTTTGTCGTTTGTGAAACTCTGATAAATTGCCGAGAAATATTCGAGCCAATCATCCGAAAGTTTTACATCTTCTTCAATCACTATCAGCTCTTTTGCTTCAGGAAAAACTGAAAATGCATTCGCAAGAGATGACAATAGAAAACCTAAACAATTATTGCATTTGAATTCACTTATTTCTCCAATTTTACCATTATATGAACGATTTTGCGCAATTCCAAGACTTTTGACGTGAAATAATGAGGAGAGATCGGCATTTTCTGGATATTCTTTGTCATAAGCAACAATAACCAATTGGGTATTGATCCCTTCCTGATTCATCAGTGTCTGAAGTGTTGATCGAAGAGAATCCGGCGCTAATCCAGCGGCGACAAGAATCGGAACATTGAAAATCGGATCATTTGCTCGGTTTTCGTTGCGCAATATTCTCGGCACAATTCGATCATCGAGTTTCTCATCATTACAAAATTCCTCATGTCGATCATATTTTGCACAAAAATGACGTTTCGGCAAATTCCGAACATCATTTGCTGACGCTGGGTCTTTTCGACCGGACCATTTACTCACTAAATTAAGCATTTGATATGTGTTATTCAATTAAAACGTCTTTTCAAGTCTTACAGGCTTTTGGCAAACAGAATGAAGTCTTGATAGGGGTCGCCCAATTGTTGCCCGATGGAATATTTAAATCCTCGAATGGTGTGTACGCTCCAATTCCTTTCTGACCAATAAAATACCTAATATTGATGAGAAAATTAAATATTTCGAATTCAAGAAGCCCTCACCAAGAAGCTCTAAATTTCATTCGATCAATCATACTCGATCCCATTTCGTAGAATATACGACGAGCCATATCAGTAAGCCTAAGATTCTTATGCTCATTTTCAACCAAAAATCACAACTAACATATTTGATGCTTCATCAAAGCTAATAACGGCTACAATATATCCTGTCGGAACTGCATCAAGCCATTCTTCGAGTCCATGGGATTCTGAAAATAACGAATCCAAATTTCATTTTAATCAAAAAAAATGTCTCTCACCATCCCTATAAGTATCAAAATGAACAACGGCAGTGACACGTCCAGTTTTCGGCTCCATCATTGCCAAATTCAGACCTCTTCCGGCATCATTCAATTCCCTACAAACGGTGTATTTCATATATTTCTATTTGAATGTCATACTCATCAAAAAGAAGTTTGTCGCCGATGCACATTTTTGGTGAATCTTCTTTATGTTCCCCGGAATAAAAGTGAACCGCAATCGAATCTGAATACAAATAGAATGGAATCAATATTAAGAAATTGTTCTTTTGAAATCTTAAAAGTTCGATTCAAACCTTCATCACACGGTTTCTTCAATCCGCAATCTTTCCAATATTTCTCCTGTACTACTTGGTTCTTTTTCTTCACCAAATCATCGTGGAATGCTCCCAAATTTTCAAGGCGACTTTCATCAGCTCTAAACCGAAACAACCTCTTGCTTCAAGGAATTTTTTTGAGTAATCGAACCTGTGAACCTCCGACTGATCAACCTTCAACTCAATTCTTCGAGTTTTTGCGAACGGTAGATCAATGCAATTTTCGATCATTGTCATTTCCGTTGTTCCACTGTTGAATTCATACATCTTAAAGACAATTTTCTAAAAGAATGGGCTATTCATTTCAAATACCGTTTCAAAACCATCTCCCGGCTGAATTCCTCGTTGGCCGACAATCGCATAAGCCTGTCCGCCACGCCACGAATCGATCTTCCTTGCTCCAAATGCCTTGAAGAATCCGCGAGCTTGTCTTGAGACATGTTCAGCAACATCTCCAAACGAAGCTGCCATCAAAATCGATTTATGTGGAAGATCTCTAAAAAAGTAAACCAATGGTCATTTTTTATTTAAAAGAAAATGAAAATCATACGCCATCCATTGCATCAATTTCTCATCAGAAGCGGTAACATCGAACACTTGCGTGCTCAACGTTTCGCCGGTTGTTCCGTTCAATGCAGCGACGTTCATACCTCGTTCAATATTCAAATTATGCAAAACTCTTTAAACAATTGAATTTTAAAAACGTAATTATTCATCGATGAATTACTTGATATCGTTGACACAAGCGAAAGGAGGAGCAGAATCGGTTTCAGTTTGCATTCGAAACAACAGTTGAGGATCGGGACAATCTGCACTATAATAGCACTTGGTAACTGAAAATGCATATTTTTATGAAACAATTTGAGAATAAGACACACCTTGATCATTTTTATTCAGTTTTTCTTTCCCTTCAGCTGTTAAAACTTTTGGCTTTATTTCGGCTGCAATAACTGCGGCTTTAGACTTTTTGAATAATCAATTACCAAATTTACCGCTTATAACATTGTCATGCTTCACATTTTCAGGCCGAAGAATTAATTGAAAAACAAGAAAAATTGAAAATAACGCGGCTAAACCCAGTACGAGTCGCCTGTTTACCCGCAACATCTACAAATAATTCGGTATTATTCGGGGACCTCGAATTTTCGAAAAAAAAAGTACAATGGGCTCATAGGAAAAGCCTTTCTCACTCAAAAAATTGAGATCAAGCTGTTAATCTCTTATTATTAAAGAATGGAGCAAAGTAAAGTTGGAAAAAGTGAATGAATAATGATTACTCGACTGTAGTAAGGGCAATTTTAAATGATTATCAATAGCAGCGCTACTCGAAATACAATGGCAACCCAGTAGATGAAAACAAAACAAATGTACATAGATTATGTCTTTAAAACAAATGATTGATGATAAAAAAATATGGATGAATATACTTGGTAAAATCAAAGTACAGTAGTGAACAAGATTAGGAGATGCGTCGGAAAATATCATCACCACGATTGTTGAATCTGCTTCGCGACGGTCTATTCGGTCGAGATTCGGTCTCAATCCATGGCTTCATTTTCGATGTTCCCGACATCTGAGCGTACACGAACTTATTGTCTCCGCGCAAATCGATAATTATTCCATGGCCTCTTTTGTTGAAGAAAAACGAGCTCATATAAGGAATTGGGAAATCACTTGATATTCGATGAAGGAATCTCAAGCTAGGATCATAGAGCTGAAAAAAAAATAGCCAGCTTCCATAAACAAATGTCGAAAAGAAAACCTTGACAGTATGTCCAGAAGCATCACCAACTAATAAATGCCCGTCTCGATCGAACTGCACGCCGGCAACAAATAGGAATCCTTGTTCATTGGCAAGAGATTTTGCAGTTCGTGGAACACTTATATAGTTCTGAAACACAAAAAAAACTCCAAATTTCCGAAATTAAAGAAGCCACTCACGGAATCGATAAGGTTCAAAAGCGAAATATTCGGATTCGAAAAATCAATATCGCTTATTTTGTAGAGAAAAACTTTTTGAGTCCCAAGATCGCTTATGGCCAATTTATCGTCACAAGAGCTAATAAAACTTGGTCTTCTGGCTCCTTCAATATCAAAATTGATTTGTTTTGGAAAATATTTTTGGAATATTCGAATTCGGGGCGATCGCGGTTGAATTGGCATATCAATGGTTATTAAATTGCCAGCAATCGATTTGGCAATTCCTAAATTGATTTACGTAAATTATGTTCAATATTAAAAAAGAAAAACCTCGGCATTGGAAGAATAATTGATATTCGTCGTGTTTCCATGTTGCAAATATGTCAATTTTACTGTTTTTCGTGCCATATTTCAACAAAACTATATAGAAATTTCGATTAGTGTGTTCCGAACACAAAATTGCAGCACTTTTGCCTTCCTGAAACACTTCAATATAAATTATGCAATTCATATTATGCTATGAAAATATTGGGAAAAAAATGACTAAAATTTTTTTCAATATTCATAGGATTTTAGGGCTTTCAAAGATTTTTGGATCGTTTCATTTTTCAAAATATGCATAGAATTATATAAAAATGGAGGGAATGGGGAAAAATAGAAACTGGCCGATCGAGAACCAATGCATTTCGCGAGACTCTAGCGAATGAATGCTTTGAGACTGCAAAACCGGAAATGCGAGAAATCAAAATTATTGTTAAGTTGAAGTGTCTGCGGAAACTTTGGAGGTTTGTTTGATTATTCAAGGTTCGAAACATATTTACTTATTTTCGTTTCCCCACAAAAAAGGAGAGTCATGAAATTTGAAATTTTTTGAAACATTGAAACACATATACTTAAAATCATCACATATGTGGGTAAACGACATTTTTATGTAGAAAAAAAAGATATAAAACATTGCACATTTCATTTTTGTTTTATTAGTCATAAAGGAGATCCTGCACAATAAAAAGAAACCTGATAAATAGCGATTGCAGATGGATTCCTGATTTTATCGTGACTCAAGCAATTCACTTCGCTTTTTCCGCGCCTTTTTTTTATTTGTATGACCTAAATTTGATTTTAACAAAAATGTGTAAAGTAGTGAAATAACTTTATCTGATTGGCAACAAATCAGCCAATGCTTCCTGACTTCATCATAGACAACCCCGAGTGGTTTTCGGTATTCTTCATCGGATTCGAATTTATTTCCGCAAAATGGTGGACATTTTTTTAAGCGGAGGTCTATAAAAACGATTAGATAATTGAATATAGGATACATTGAAAAGATTACATGATCTACCGTGACCGAGGAATTTTTTCAAATCGATTCGTGAGCGCTAAAAAAGTAAAATGAAGATGACATTGATGATAAGATAATAATGTTTTTTAATCGAACAGAGTGGATTTCAGAAAAACTTGTATTTTGGCAAATTAAATCCACACAACACGAATAAGTGTTGAACTGTTTTCTTTTTACAGTAAAAATCATTTTAGATTTTAATGCGTTGCATATTTCTAACCAAAAGGGAATAAATACAAGCAATACACCTACATTCGTATTTTGAGTGGACGAATATTGTTCTTCGTCATCGGAGAAATCCTCTTCATCGCTGTCTGATGACGCCGATTTACTATTTGAACGTGAAGCCGGAAAAGATGGATCACTATCGCCCATAGTATTTAGAGAATCTAATTTCTTGTCATTATTAATATTATCGCTATCCTAAAAGAAATTATATTTTTTATTTAGAAAGAAAAGTGACAAACCAATTTCATCGAGCCAATTTCTAAAATATCCTCATCTTTTAATACCGTTTTCTCAGCACATTTTATCTGTGTTTGCAATTTTTTCAACTGAAAGTTTGATAATTTATAAAAATGGAATGCAATCGCAAAACAAACGAACACACTATAAAATCTTACACTATGCAGATTTTATAGGTAATCTGTAGTATGGTGGCCAAGTCCCACTATTTAAATCAAAATTTAAATTACCGACCCATACGATACTCCACAAATACCCATGGTACTCGTTTTTATTGTATTAGCTAAAAAATTTAAAGTTTTACCATAAGTTTAGCCAGTTTCACATCGTCTTCCGTAAAACGAAAAGGTGGTTTTTGTTTAAGTAAAATTTCGATTAATCCTATCCCGTTTGCAATTTTTTCTTCGTGGGTTTCTTCGGCTAATAAATCATCTATAAATTTAAAAAGAGCAAGTTGAATATTTAAACAAGGAAAATACCAATGCCATCCATTTTGTAAACTTTTCTCGCATAACAATCCTGCAATATAGTTTTTTACGATTAAATCAATTCAAATAATATCTAATCCCATGAAGAAAAACCAACACAAAGAGTGTTATTAATAAGCGGATTGAGCAACAAATGAATACAAGTGCGCTCTATCGCAATGCAGTAATGTGATTTTACGCGAGAATTTGTTCGAAATTGGAAAGAAGTAACCTGAAATAAATACGAACGATTGGAATTTTACAATATAAATGCGCAGGATTCGTTTAATTTCTTTTATTTATTTAAAGAAATTATTTTTCTAGTTCAGGAATGTAAAAAAGTACTCCTATAAACATGATGATGTCATATTTTACATAAAAAAAAAACATTTAGTGAATAAGTCCATAAGAAGATCGTTAATGAAAAGCCGCAATTCATTTCCCTTTTAACACAAACATTGTGACATCCCAATTCTTACAGCTTGGGATTAAACTGTACATGACAATTGATTTGACTGGATACGCTTTCTTCAAATTTTAACAAAAGGAAAATGACATTTGACCGAATAGAATGGAATAGAATTGTTAAGGCGGAACGTCACAAGTGGGATTTCGAAAAAACAAGAAATCCGCCCGGCTTTCGGTTCGTTCGCGAAATTGATAGGTCCGTCCAAAACACTGAAAATTAAAAATTACCGTCGTCCTTAACAAATCGCTAAAAAGAGGCCAAAGAATACTATAGATTGTCGTCCATGTTTAAAAACAAAAATATTTTCGAAAAAACGTCCCATAAATATTTAACACGCTGCTGCAACATTCAACAGAACAAAAGATTGAGTTTGAAAGGTTCTCCTTTTAAAATTTAAAAGGGAGCGAACCTTAGATTATGTCTTAATTCTCGTCCTTCTTGCATTCCATTCTGCCGCTTTTATCGCTTTAGAATTCTTCAGATACTCACAAAAGACAACAAAGCTGTTGTGCATTTGATAGAGCGTAGTGTTGATCGTCTTACTCCGGAATAGAATGGAATGCATTGAATACTAATCGTGACGAGGTTCTGAGTAATATTCGCAGCAACCATATGACATTCAAATGGAGCCGGTTCACTCCACGAAACCTCGCTAAAAATCTGTTGTGTACGCGTAAAACCGAGGCGAGTTTTTGCTTGAAAGTCTAAGCAAAAGCATTCGTAGCAATAACTCGAATATATGCAGGAATATAAGCAGCACACCATAGGCAGTGTGTCGTTTTGGTATTCACCTGAATGAATCTCTCCCATTGTCACTACTTGCGTAATAAGTAGAAGGAGTTTTGAATTGTCCACCCAATGTACCACCAATTTCCACTCAATGTACCACCAAGTACGAAGACTTGCGGAATACAAAACAATCGGTGCCACGTGTATCGTGGTACCCTCTTCTAATAGTTCATTAAATTCTCAATTTTGGAGAAACCATATTATTCTAACAGCATTACTCTCGGATTTGTTTTGTCGAATTAGCAAAAAAATAATAAATTTCATAAATTTCAAAAAACTAAATAAACCAAGATAGTGGATTGAGTAAAGAAGAGGATCAACCATCATCAAGAAGTAGGTCTGAGTGAAATATCTAAAAAAGGAAGCCCTAAAAAATCAATTTGGGCGATATTGACACAAGACCCCAGTCATTTTCATTGTCATTTGGACCTCACTAATAAATATTTTATGATGAAGCTTAGAAATAAAGATAATTTGGTATTGGAGGATTAATCAAAAACTAATAGCCTTAAAGGGGGTCGTTGGAATTCGTGTACCGATTAGCCTAACTCGACGCCTCCGAAGGGGGACCGAGTCAGTTGATCTCCTTCGCCACGTAGAGGCTCGGCACTTGAAGGAGAGGCTCACCAACATCAGGCCGAAACCTGATGTGGGTCATCGCCTATCCCACCATGGGGGATCACCCAAGGACATCCCACAACTATCATCCGAGGATAATAGAAGTAGAAGTGGTTGGGCAAGCCACGTCTGGCTGGGCCCCGGGTCTACTGGTGATATGGTAATGTGGTTTATTGTCTTCTCAGCATAGCATCTTGCTACAAAGTAGTAGCAAGCCACTATGCCAAGAAGCACTGGTCCATGTGCACCCGAAAGGCTGGACATATTGACATAGCTGGCCAATCCACGTCAATATAGGTCTGGTCCAGATGACGTCCTGACTAGTATGGAGGACACCCGGTGAAGCAAAATTCTAAAGCATAACCATCCATAACGCCCAGTAGCAGTTTCCAAGCACTCGAGAGTACTTGAAACGGGGGCGTTTGGGTAGGGTTCGATGCCCGGCTACGGAATCAGGGCTGAAAGGCTTGCCAGGCCAATCACCCGAATTTAGGATACAGCGGTTAAACCGCCATCCAGCCAACGCCTCGGAACTACGGGGGTATCAGGAAGCCTTGGCGTTTCGGAGAATGGCCGACTACGGCGGATTAAATAGAAGAGGGGGCCTTAGTATGCTTAATGGTGGGGCAAAATTTAGTAGTGGTGGTGAATTGATTCACCAGCAGGGTTCTTCCGTCGGCGGCAGCAGCAGAGACGATACCTAAACACCTAAACAATTATGTACACAGAAATTAATACGAAAGAAGAAAAAAATACAAAACAGAAGAGGGAGGAAGCCAGTCATTAGTGGAATGACTGGCATGGCTGTAAGTGGTACGACTTTTCCCCCAAAAAATAGGAAGAGATGGTTGGTCCCAAACGGTAGGACCGAGAGAGAGAATCCCAAGTGGTGGGATATAGAGGAGGAAGCCGCTAGTGGTACGGCAGGGGATCAGTCGACTGATAGAGAGAAGGGACAGTCGCAAGTGGTACGACTGGTGGCAGAAAGGGGGAAGGGGGAAGCCGGCGTTCCCTCGAAAAAGAAAAAGAGATGGTCCCAAACGGTAGGACCGGTAGGAAGTACAGACGTAAGTGGTACGAATGTACGGAGAGGAGAGAGGGAATCCCAAGTGGTGGGATATAGAAGGGGATGCCGTAAATGATACGACTGTTGGAAGTGAAAAATAGTAGTAATAAAAATAATAATGAAAAAAACTTGGACCTGACTAAAAATTACCAAATACCCGATGCTTTTGCTCCTTCGACGTCGCTTCCTCGATCCGTCGCCTCCGATTAGATCCATTGCCTGCAATGATCCGAGTTATTCTAATAGACTCTGACTCCATCTTTACCTTTTGAATCCGCTTCCTCTTTCGCCATTCCCCCATTCTTGCTCATCTTCACGTGATATGTCTACTCATGCAATGTGGGTTTAACGTCGGCCTGGACGCGACACTGCAGTAGGGTTAGTACTGGCTGACCGAGTCGCACCAGTCGAGAATCCCTGACACTTTCAACATAGCACATCAGAAGAGCTAAAATGAGCAATGACTGTGGCTCTCATCGGATCAGCAATACGAGGAATTGAGAAGGATTGCGATGAATGTGACATACCATGTGGATCCTTGGCCTTGACGGGCCCACCAGGATATGCGAGGCACGCGGAGCCCGCAAGATAGGCGGGCTTCCCGCATCTCGAGGAGCTGCGAGAACTGACGAAATTGCGCATTCGCCGGCCTTTTATAGTGCCACTGGGGTCGGTGAACAACTTGCAGTAGAGCGCATTTTTCGAAAAAGAACTGCAAATTGACGCCAAGTGTCCGCTGGTTGCTGAAGAAAATAGTGAAACGTGTTGATTTATGAGCAAGATTTGATTCAATTTGAAACAAACTGCGGTTTTCTTCAATATTTTTCAATAAATATAAGATTTCTTGCAGAATGATTTATTAAGAAAATTCCAAGCTAGAAGGATTTAAATGTATTTAGTAGTTCCATCCGGGCATCGGATGAAAATGTAAGCGATTTCCGTGATTTCCGGCTTTGCCTTCTCGAGAAAACTGAAATTAAAATCGATCAAATAAAAGTTGATTTTCAATTGGCCGTCGTTTCCTACGCGATTCCCTTCTGACAACGCTGCGGCCGGTCCGGAACACTCGTGTGGATTGCCAGCTTTCCGCCCATGTTCACCGATTTGTCGTCGTGTCCAACCGTCTCGAGATTCAATCCATTCTGAATCGAAAGCTGAGTGAACTGCAAATTGTTCGATTGGAATGAGACGCTTCGGAGTGTGACGGCACTCTTTGTTTGATCAATGCAATCGCGGCTTTTGCATTCTCCGGATTGTAGGGTCTGTTGGTGACGGTGATGATCGAGATCGCGTTCGCAGAACGCTTGACTCGCAAGACTTCATCGTCGATCGGATTGCTGGCGTTCGCTTTCGGGGCACAGCTCATCACTCCGTCATACTGAAATGCTTGAATATATTCTAGACAGAAGACGAGAGCAGTGAATTGAAGAAACCTGAAGGAAGAAGACGGCGACGAAGGCAGACAATCCGACGAAGATGTACATGATTTGTTGATATTCCGTTTTTAAGCGCTTCCTTTTATACAAGTTTCGATTCCCATTTTGGACTTCAAAATTGGCCTGAGATTCTCAAATATTGACATGTTTACCCAATATAAATGGGTTGTCCAAAATGAGAAGATTATATGAAAATGGAACTAAATTTTGGCGAAGAGATGATTAACAATATCCCTAATTAGTGAATTCCCTAATAGCCTTATTAGTATTTCATAAGAATAGAATCAAAATTGTTCGATTGTTCCTTCTCGATTTTTGATAACCTCCTTCAGACGCTTCGAATAGACGTCGATGGTGGCACGCAGGTAATTGAGGTCCAATTTGCCCCATTCGCTCAAAAGGGCCGCTTTTAGCGAGTTAAAATTTCAGTGTGAAAAAACTGATGTGTTCTCTTGCAATACCCCTCAAACAGAATAGTTCATGGGGTTCTAGTCGAACGATGAAGCTGGTCATTCTTTTAGTGTGATAAATGAGGAAAATGGTTGCCACATCAGTCTTACAAGTCTTACATCTCACATCAGTCTTACATCTCGTTAGACGGTTTTGGACGATGAAGATGCGCTTCGTCTTGCTGAAAGGGCCAAGATCGATTTTTGAAGTGAGTTTGGGACCAGGGAAGAACATTCTTCTTCAAGATCGTGTTAAAGTAATTCTTTTGAAAAATTTTCACCCCAGGATCAACGAAATCAGAGTTGTCTTGTCGTCAGCGCAGATTCCACTGAATACCATGATCTGGTGAAGATGGGAAACACGAGTGGCTCTGCTTTTTTTTATAGCTTCCTCAGAGGTCCTATAGGGGACTCGGTGGTTTTAGGGATTGAATGCGGTTTCTACAGTGAACAACTTCTCGTCCGTTAAAAAGGTTACGAGATGTTCTCCTCTCCTCGTGTCAGTTAGGAGCGATTTGCGCTTTTATAAGCGGTTTTCCATAAGCGGTTTGTTTCACAGAAGGTTGGAGTTCGAAAGCGTCATAGCGCGGTTCCATCAAATTGACTCCGATGAACCGCTCATTCTCATTCCTTCTGGCTCCTACGCGTGCGTGGATGTCACCGATGACAAGCTTGTAGTCACTCTTACAAGAACGGTAAGCTTCTTCCACAGGTGAACCGTGTTTTGTGGGGCGATTTCCGTTTAACCGGGACCAGACAGTTACCATCAGACCCGGAATATTCCCGTTCTGTTTCTCCTGAAACCAATCCTGGGGCCGACCGAACATGGTTCCTCTTTACTTCTTCTTCTGGGCTTTTTTGTTTTTTTTTTTGAATATGATAATAATCGTTGCTCCCTCTTCGATTCTTGATATCCTCCTCAACGCGCTCAAACTAACGTCCTCTGTTATATCGTTTCGAATCGAATACGAAAAATTTCGAACCTAAATTTGTGAATTTCAGAGCTAGTATTCGATTCGTAACGAAACAGCAGAGTTTGGTTAATCTCCAATCTTCTCCTGAGTGGTCCATAGCTTCCAAGTAATGCGATGAAGCTGAACACTTCGTTGGATTGACAATTGCTGGAAAAATGAGTGTGACATCAATCTCGAACGAATTCGATGAGTCAGTATCGCCTATATGGAATTTCCATGAAAGAGTTGCAAAGCGAGATTGGGAATTGGAGGGCATTCTTCATTTAGCGGCTCTCGTGAATATAACAATTTCGATCGCATTGATTTTATTCCGAAAGAATTGCTTAGAATCTTGTAGAAAGCATTGAAATTGTACTCACAAGGGAGGTCTTTTTGCTGTCCGTCTTAAAATTTTTTGCATACAGATTCTTTAGAAAATTTCCAATCGAATGAACTAGGTCCCTGCCTGCGCAAACTTCAAGTTATCGAGATATGGACCTTCAAAGTTTCAGCCCCTCCCCACGTGAATTTTGCATACAAATGTGCGGAAACATTTTCATACTTAAATACTCGAAAATGTATCATTTTTCACAGTTTTAGAAATATCAAGGATGGCGAAGGATGTCGATTTCTTTTAAAAAGTGGTATTATAAAATTTATACTTTTTAAATGACGAATCTTAGATTTGATAAAGATCTAAAGCCATTAACAAACTTTGATTTTCTAGAATTACCAGACTTATTAAAGATCAAGAATTTCCGTGGAATCTTTATGAGAGATACTTTGCCTACTAAAATTTTGAAAGAAGAAACTGGTATTATAAATTTAGATTCTTCAGAAGGTAAAGGAACTCATTGGGTTTGTTAAAATTTCTCCGGAGAATAAAACTCACCCATAAATCTATTTCACAAAATTTAACGCCAAATAGCCAATAGAGCCATGCAAACTTAAAAATATATCAATAACAAGCTTATTTTCAACACAAAGAAAAAACCCAGATTTCAGGCGCACCCAAAAACCAATACTTCAGTTTTCCCTAAATTGATTGCCAAATAACCAAAATCCAGGTTTTCTGGGACACCCAAACGTTTACCAGTTATCAATACTTTCTTTTAAATAATTTGTAAGTAAATACATAAAGAATTACAAAATAATTTATTCCACGCAATCTTGAATACAGTAGGCAACATTTTGGCAGATGGAATCAAAGTAATGAGCATATTGTTGGCTTGCCATACATGAGACATTTCTACTTTTCAAAAATTCTTTTGTGTCATTGAATGAATTATTCGCGTCGTGGAGTGCTTTTGGGAAATTCCAGTCCTTTAGAATCTCTCGAATAATCTTCAGCTTTTCTGGCTGTTGTTTATAGTTTTTCCAAACATTATGGTTTTTGGAGTTAAACGAGTAGCCCGAAATCTAAAAGTTATGAAGTTTTTCAAAATATAAAAAACTGAATGTACTTTGAAATCAATGATTGAAAGATTTCCATTCATGTCGAGTCCATAGTTGTCGCAATGAAGATCGCTCACATTAAATAATCTTCGTATCAAATCCAGCATCAATTCTGCCTTCAACGTGAGCTTCGTCGCATGCGATGGTTTAAAATTGACAACTAAATACTTGTTTTAAATTTTTGCATTATAACAGCTATTTACCTTCTAATGTCGCGATATAAACACCAATAACGGACGTATGAATATTAGGAATAATGTGAACTGACGGCCCAACGCCGATTTGAGCCAATAAAAAGTACATATAAATTTCCCGCATGTCGACATTCTGACGTGATGACATCGCTGAGTGTCCTTTAACATAAAATCGTTGAACAGTTTCTCCACAGCTCACGTTGCAAATGAAACCGGCCTAGGAAACTACGGGTATGTTCATATTATAAATCTAACATACCTGAATACCAATTACTAACTTTTCCGAATAGTTGAAGGACACTATTGGATTCGCAGGATTCTTCTCAAATAAGGCAGTAAAATAGCGTTCAACTGACATTCTAATAAACCCGTCATGACCGTCAATATATTCCGAGAACGCCCGAATGAATTTGATCCGACGAATAGCAAAGTCCGCGTATGTAGAAAAAAAGCCCTCCGTATATAAACGCTGTAATACATGCGAAGCCTCCAGCACTTGTTTCTTCTTCGCATCACATGTCGTATTTTTTGGAATATCCGAGGCAATGAGAAAAACCGTCCACTGCGGCAGGGAAGAATGTTTCTGAAAATTAACAATTTTACTAATTTTATTCAACTCGAGAGCAATTTTAGAGAATCCGCTAGCTATGTATATAAAAAGTTAGCACTTTTTGAATCTCAAACAACAAAATACTACTTTGATAACTTGAAAAGGAAAAATGAAAAAAATTAGCTCTCGGTTTAAAAAAATATCAGAGTTACATGTCAAAATAACTAACCAGAATCAGCGTTTCATTATCCTTCAGTCCTACACCTTCCAATGGACCATTTAACAAATCGATGCGACGATTTTCGCTGTCGTATATCTGTTGATATTCTATCACAACTTGGAAATGAGAGAGAATTTTATCTTGGAGCTGCTTGATTGTCGCCTAAAACAATGAATTGTATTTAATACAGAAATGGAAAACATACCTGAGCTGCAAAATCAAATTTAACGGAACGGTGTGACTTATTTTCGTGATCACGCAAGTCAATCACAATAAACATTTATTTTAAATCAATTTAAAATTAGTACGAAATTAGTTATAATGCTCTTTAAGCAAATTAAAAGGAAGTCTGTTTTCTATTCATAAAATTTTCTCTAGCTTTCCCCTGCGTCTCTGCTCACGCGTCTCTCCCTTCCACTCTAGCCCAACGCGTTTGCATGTTGCGTCGCGTGTGTCTAGTTCAACTGGGGCAAATGTGGGAATGAAGCACAATGCCCGAATTACACAATACCCGAAATGGACAATGCCCGAAAATACACAATGCCAGAATTACAAAATGCCCTAAAATACACAATGCCCGATAAATGCCCAAAAAATTTCAGATTATTAAGTTATTATTTATAAAATTCAAAAAATTCTTAAAAGGAGAAATCGTAAAGAAAATGGAAAATCGTTTAAAGAAATGTTTGTGAAATGGTATGGATATCCAGATAAGTTTAATTCTTGGATAAAGGAAGAAATTATGATTTTAAATGAAATTAAACACCAACAATTTTCTATGAAAATCTAGGTGTGTTTCAAGAGTATCCTACGGATGCATTTATGAATTCATACACTGACAACCTTAACTCTATTATCCTTGACTTCAACAATATTTTCGCTCAAAATTAAGTAATAACATTTAGTACTTTGAGCATTATTTTTACCGAAGCAAGCTTTTATTGTATCATCAGGTCTACTTTGGATAATTCTATCATTTTGTTTAGATACATCGAATACTAGAAGTGGGTAATAATAATAATAATAAACATCGTCTTACATAAAAATATAATCCTTAATACTTTCATAATAACTATTCATAAATTCTTTAGCAATGTTATATTGGTGATTTGCATTGAATTTATCAAAGTCGAATTTTAAGCATTCATATCTCTGGTAACTCAAAACCAATCGTATTCGACAAAATTCGACTCTAGAATTAACCTTATCCGATTGGAAATTCTACGGAAAAAAATTGTAAAATTTTCGTATTCGATTGGTTTTATGGGTTTTTTTTTTGATAATTCTACGGATAAGATTGGTTTTTTGTCGAGTCCGATTCGAATTGAAACATTAAAACAAAACGGATTCGAATAATTACCAATCGCATTCGAAGAAAATCTAATCGGATACGACAAATTACCAATCGGATACGACAATTTTACAATCTTATCCGTAGAATTTCCAATCGGATAAGGTTAATTCTAGAGCCGAATTTTGTCGAATACGATTGGTTTTGATTTACCAGAGTATGGATACCTCTCACTATTGAGTTCAACATTAATTTCTTCTAATCCACAATTATCAAACTTTGCTGCATTTAGATAGTTATTGTCTCTATCAGTTTGAAATGCTACACCAAGATATTTTATCTTATCATATTTTGTCCAAGTTTCCAAGTAAATTCTCTAGTGGAATTAAGAATATTATAACTTGCAAATTGTCTAGATATAAAAGGCATTTGAATAAGTTTATTGCTTTCAAATACATTGAGTAACTTATTCTGCATCTCAAGCATAATTTTTGGAATTATTAATTGAAGTTTATTTAGTAGGATCTGAGGAAACACATGAATCCTTGCTTTCTGGAGATCTATAGAGTGATAACTGATGTTTTCTTCCATAAATGACTTTGTTATAACATTCAGCAAATCTAAATATGTGAGTCAATGGTATACAAAATGTTAGATTAGTTTTTCTATTTTTAGTATATTTATTTATTTTATTTATCATGATATCATTTGTCTCAAGGATCCATCCAAAAGTATTTTGTTTATTCATTGTTGAAGAGTATGTAAGAAGTCCTTTCATCAAACTTGCTCTCCCGGGATCTACATATAACATTTTCAACTCGCATTCCATCTAAGGAATAAGTTACTCTATCAAATAAAAAGATTGGTACATTATTAGTCAAAGATACTTCATCAGTATCAACAAGTTGTGGTTTGATAGTTATGAAAAGTTAGACTTTCCTACAAAAGGTTTAAAAATAAAAGATTTCTATTCATCATTGAAAAACAAACATATGAAAGAAGAAGATTTAGATACTTTAATGAATATTTGTAAAGAAAAGAAACTAATTAAAGTTAGAGATTTATTAGAGTGGTATAATAAATTTGTAGTCACTCTTACAAGATCGGTAAGCTTCTTCTACAAGTGAGCCTTTCGTATTTTGGGGGCGATATCCGTTTAACTGGGACCAGACAACTACCATCAGGTCCGGAATATTCCCGTTCGGTTTCTCCTGTAACTATCAATCCAAGGGCAGAAAGGACTGGGTCCCTGTTTACTTTTTCTTTTGGTCATTTTTTTTCGAATATGATAATAATCGTTGCTCCCTCTTCGATTCTTGATATCCTCCTCAACGCGCTGAAACTAACGTCCTCTGTTATATCGTTTCGAATCGAATACGAAAAATTTTGAACCTAAATTTGTGAATTTCAAAGCTCGTATTCGATTCGTAACGAAACAGCAGAGTTTGGTTAATCTCCAATCTTCTCCTGAGTGGTCCATAGCTTCCAAGTAATGCGATGAAGCTGAACACTTCGTTGGATTGCGAAATCAATCTCGAACGGATTCGATGAGCCGGTGCTCGCCTATCTGGAATTTCAATGAGAGAGTTGCAATGCGAGATTGGGAAGTGATGGGTGGGGGGAGGGGCATTCTTCCTTTTCCGGAATATAACAATTTCAATCGCATTGAATTTATTCCGAAAAGAATTGCTTAGAATCTTGTAGAAAGAATTGGAATTGTACTCAGCCATTTTCTACGTTTTTCCTTGCAACAATACCCTTTTTCGAGAGAACTTTCAACTATTCAATTAAGCAATTCTATCTTTTTTATTCTTTGGATCGTTGATTCTTGCACCCGTTTCTTGATATTAGTGTGAATAGATGTATTCAAATGTCTTCGTGATCGCACACAAAGTATTGAATACGCGTGCGCTGAATTGCGCAGAAGACAAATCAGCCGTTTGAACCCAACAAGTTAATAATAGCAAGGAGCAATGAAGTTATAGTATGATTCTTCTAGGCATCATTATTTGACATTCTGTAGTCTGTTACCACTAAACACAAAATATTTTTTCAAAGGGTTGAGTATAAAATATTGTGGTCTAGGAAAAATCAAAACAACTTCGACGTTGCTATTGAAGTTCGCCCGCTTTTGTCGATACTGTTGATCAGAGAGGAAGAACACCAATCCCGAATCAGATGTTTGACGTCGACAATACATTTCTTCCTGAAAACTGCGACAAGAATTACGAAGTTGACAGTATGTTGTGTCGAATAGGCGAGATGTGAAAAATTGAGTTTGGAAGGTTCTCTGGTTCTGGTTCGAGCCAACAACCACCGCGTCATTGGGAATTAGACTCCGAACTGAAATTTGGCAATCCTTTTTTCGACTTATTTCCTCCAGATCACAAAAATTTTTTGTTTGTATAGCATTTTTATTAATTCCCAGAATTGGGAGGAATGAAAAACTAGAAAACCCGGAATTCCAGCCCAACTCTGGTTATTACTCCACTGATGCTTCCAAACAGATAAAAGTCCTTTCTGATTGCGCGTTTGGTCCGGCTTTTTTGTTTTCAATTAACTTATTATTTTTTTTTTTACAAAAATGTAAGAATTAAATTAAATGCAAATTTTTAACCCTGCATTGAAAAAATGTGTATTTTTTGCGTTTTTATTATATGAAAAATTCCATTTAACATCTTTTTCCCTCTGTCTAGAGCAAATTTTTCAGCTCGAGCAAGGACGAGTCGTTATTTGCAGCTATTGATTCCCGTTGACGTTATTTTGATAAGGTTTTCAGTTTTAACAACTTCAATTTTTTTAATCGCATTGTATTTTCTCTAAATATTAAAAATAATATAAATCACAAATATAAATCTAGAAATAATTGATTTTGACTCGTTTCAAATTTAGAATGTTTATAACCTTTTTCACTTCATCAAAGAAATTCTTTATTTTTGCGAAATTTCGCAACAAATTACGCAGCCGGGTTTTTTTTTAAATTCAAAAATTATATGTAGATTCAATATGCAAAAAAAATCGTCGAACAGTAGTTGTTTCAGATTGTTATTTTCAGGCAAAAAAAAATCACTTTGACGAATCATAATTTTGTGTTCATTTTTACAAAATATTGTAGACATTTTTGTAGTTGTTCCATGTCAACAACTCGCTTCTCGTTTGTATGTTCCAGCTTCAAATCAGCTATTTTATTTTGTTTTCAAATCTAAAAACTCTATAGAAGAACTATCAAGGTGTCTGGCGACGTCACTTGAAGCATTCATGCATACCAAATTTTGGTTTCAAGACCTATTTCACACCCAAACATTTCGTCCAATTTTGTCTTTTGGCGAGAAAAAAATAATCCAAATTATGGGTGTTGGCGAGATGTTGACAAAACAAAAATTTTTTCTCGATTAATTGCACAACCGAAATGAATTTGAAATTAAAAATAGTCGTAAATTAAAGTCTTTAGAAGATTCTACGAAATGTTGACCCCTGTTCTATGAATATTCAGAGCATATTGTTGGAGTCAAACGACTAAAGGAGCCTTCGAATTCGTGAAATCAGTGTAGATTTAAATTTTTCGCTGACTGAATATTAAATGCGCGTACACTATAATGCAGTGTACGCAGTCTCGCGTACTTCTTGAAGATTTGAGACGCACTGGCACATAGCCAATATTTTTTTTATTTCGTCAAGTCGTTGGACTTCGACAATAGTTGCTCATAACAAATAACTGCACGATTTTTTTGTAGTACTTATTTGTTTATGAGATTTTTGAACAGAAAAGATGTTTGACAAGAATATTGTGGGCGTTCGGCGAGTGTTGTAAGCGGGTAGATTTACGGGCGAGGGTGCGTCTTTTGTGATGGTCTTCTCGCGAAAGTCATGTGGTGTTTGAACAGAGTCTCAGCAGAATCTTATAAGGAAATGCCCAAAATCTGCTGGGACTCTGCTGAGACACTATAAAGACATTCAGAAGGCTCTTGTAAAAGTCCGCTGAAAGTCTTGCAGACTCCCGAGATGCCACAACCCGGACACCTCAAAACCAATCGGATCCGAATTGGAATGAATGAATCTGTAAACGAATCTGGCATATTATTAATCAGACACGAGAAATTTAATACGAAGTATACGACATTCTTACAATATTACATCCCAGAATTCTGTGACGGATCAGATTCATTCCGAAGCAAAAATTATATTTATACCTCATTTTTTGAAAGATTCGCAAAGACGCGACAGTCTCATAAATAAATTACATCAAATTAATTTGTATCTTTTTTGTGATGTCGTCAATTTCCTCCAAACCGCATTAATTATTTGGCATCCCTAAAGACCCAAATATTTTAATATGCATTTCGATTCATTCAAATTATATCAATTTTTCCTATTTCATCCATAAAAAGGTTTATTCGAAGTTTAAAGGTTCAACATCATCTCGTTCATCACCTCGAAGGGATCGACATTTTCATTCTTTGATCACGCGTTTTGCTTATGAAGGAATCAGAATTAGGAGAGGAATGTACACTCTTGCAGTTATGAATTTGACGCTAGGCGAATACTCATCGGCGTTTCAAGTTGCCCTCATTGTCGAATGGGCTCTTTTAGGTCTCAAGTAAGAGTTTTTTTTTCAACACACATTTTCCACTGTAATACTTGCAAAAATTTCCAGCTTCCTCGAAAATACCCTAGTGTGGTATATGATCCATTTCACTTCACAATATCATCCAAATTTGTCTCTAATTTTCGAGCAGCTCAGCAATCAGTATTTTGTTTCGCTTCTTTCTCGAATGTTTATCATTTATATGCAAATAATTGAGCCCAATTTAGGTAAATTCGGTTGTTTTTTTTTTTTGAAATCTCGATTTTTATTTAGATGTTTTACTCGAAAACCGTTACTTCCTATTTGCCACGTGGCTTCGAAATTCCCTATTATTCACCGCGTTTTATTGTGCACCATTTCTGGTGTTTGAGCGCGTTTTCGCCACATATTATATGCGGGTACAACTATTTTTTTTTTGAATAAAAATTTTCCGGAGAAGGCAGGCATCGAACCAGACCACCGGACGAAGAACTCTCCGACGAATACATATTATTCAAATATATCTATATATGAATTGATTGTGAATGTTCAGGATTACGAAACAAATCAAAGACGATGGATTTCTTACATCATCGTCGCATTATTCTACGTCTATCCAATTTCGATGGCGCAAATTTTCATTTTCGGTAAATCAATTCTCTTCGATTCTCGATCGATCTCAATTCTCTTTTTCGATGGGAATTTTTTCAGAAGAAAACTCTCGCCAATATCAAATTTTCGTGATTGCTCTCGTCAATTTTATCGCATTTCTTGTAAGCCTTTTAAACTCATTTTGAATCATTTATTGATTTTTTCAGCTAACAATTTATCTCGGAAAATACAACAAAATGAAATATGACAAATTACGAAAATCGCTAAACTCGAAATATTCGTTGAGTGCTCGAACTCAACTCGCCGAAAACATTAACAGTTCTCGGGTAAGAGTTGCCATCCAAAATATGCAATTATCAGAGATCTCGGGTAAACAACAACGAGTTCTTTTTCTCTAATTAATTTTTTAATCGCTGTCGATTTATGTACACATTTTGAGGCTTCTTTATTTTGACATATTTTCTTTAACAAATAATTCGAACTACAATTGTTGTCAAGAAACAATTGATTAACAATTTGCTGACATTGTTTCTAGTCAGTTTCAGCCATTCCAACTGCTATGTCTTCTCGTGGCGTTGTTCAGCCTTCTGAGCAGCTCTCTCCTCCACATTGATGAGTTCACATCAGATGAATATATCAAAAATGTGGCGTACGTGGTGTTCAACATTTGCTGTTGGTCCTATGGTACATTCGTTCCAATCATTTTGCTATTTTTCAACAAAATGTGGCAAAAGGAAATGAAATCGTTGTTGAATAAAGTGAATCTAGTTTTATGAGCGTCGTGTCGTAAACCGGTGCGATTTTCAGATGACATGCCAATCTAGCGTCGAACCGCAGCTCGTCCGACCCACCACAACCAAAGTGGCCGACACATTCGGAAATAATTGCTACGTCGCCGACTCGATGCACACCGACGTTTATTTTTCTCAATTCAATGCTGAATGGTGATAAAAATTCGTCATATGCACAAACATTCGGTTGTCAAAGGCACATTTTCTTTTGCGTAAGTTTGACTCAACGTTTCTTGTTTCGAGAAAGACGCGTAAGTGGAAGTTCAAAACGGGGTTGTGAGGCAATGGGATTGTCATTCTCATAAGGGAAATGTTTTACATAGGGGGTTTGGAAACGACAGCTTCCAGTCAAGTTTTCAGCGAAGATTTTTACTTCCGCATAAAAACCGAATATTTCGAATCCGGAAATTGGCGAATTTCCTTAAATTCCTATGTTTCAACAACCTTTTAAAATTAAAAATGAAACGATTTTAGCGTAATTCTGCCCAATACTTTCTTTTTCCCTTTTTTTTTAATGTGAAGATTTTATTGAGTATCGTCATCGTGTTATGTTGACCTCATTAGGAATCCTAAAGTGCACAGTCCTTCTTTTATTCTTTGGATTATATTTTTAATTGGCTTCAAATTATTTTAAGTTATTTTCTAATAATAAAAACAAGAAGTCTCACATATTCAATTAAAAGCTTCGTATTTTGCTCAAAAAGTATATAAAACAATTTAGTAGTGAGTTTGGTTTTTACCAATAAGAATATTTTAAATAAATGAAAATGAATAACATGCAAAACAAAATCGAGCGCCCTGCGCCGATTTACGGCGAGTTAGCTTCGCAGGTTATCCAGAGTACGGTATCCATATTTCCACTGTTCAAATTTGAGTTTGAATTACCGCTTCGAAAAGGAGTGCGATGGACCAAAATTATGCAAGGCGTTCATTGTTTTGCAATATAAATTTAAAAAATTATTGGCTATGTGCCAATGCGTGTAGCGAGAAGTACGCAAGACTGCGTACATTGCATTATAGTGTACGCGCATTTAATATTTAGTCAACGAAAAATTTAAATCTACATTTAAATCTACAGTCGTTTTGAATAGATTGTTACAAATTTCTTCTGGATTCGGTCAATGGTAGAAGTATATATAGTATGTTTTCTAAAACAAACCAGCTACCAGTATTAGTCGTCACAATTCCCAACTAATTTTCCGCACTACATATAAGCCCGTATTTTTTTACAAGAAGAAAATTACAGTTCTCGTGAACATTGACATGTGACGTGACTATGGCGAAAAGTGAATGCTCGTAAATCTACATCAGTTGTCTAACGCCAGCAATATATTAAGAAGAAGAAGAAGAAGAAAAATTGCTAACATCTAGAAACCAATCTAGTTACATTGCCGCCAGAAACTAGACTATTTATGATCACGTAATAGACTAATAATGTCAAAAACTCAATTTCGATAATATTATTATCCAAAAAATATTTTTATTTTTTTTAAATCTGAATTTATAAGAATTCTTTATGAATTTCAAAGTCTTGCTCAATGGATTTTTCATTTCGAGTTGTTAATCAGTCCTTAATTTGTCCATTTTCATGTCTTCGCAGCTTAATTGAATCCCAAATGATTTTTCATAAACAAAAAAAATCGATTCAGCATGTTATTAATATTATTAAATAATATTTAATAAACTAATTTTTTATTTTGCGAATATCGACTATAGAGCGACAATGATTATTTTTGAAAATTCTCAATTCATTTAGAATAGAAAAAAAATTGTCAAAAAAAAAAATAAAAACCATCAATCTCGAATAGTTTGGCGTTTGTGGACCCACAAGAACATCAAAAAATTTGACGGGCCACTAATTTAATTTTCAATTTTTTTCAAGAAATTTAATTACTGTAGTCGGTACATTTTTTACAGTCCATGTTCTTTGACCCCTACTCTTTGACTTTGCTCCTAGTATTTGCCTTTTATTTTTCTTTGACTCAAACATTTGATTCTCAATGCTAGAAAGAGATCGAATGGGACATGGAAATTTTTGTCGGAGACCATCGTTATCTTCAATAAACTTTGCGCAATTACGTAACTTGAAAACCATTTTTAAAAAACGACCAAAAGTATTTAATTTCGATTTTCATCTTATCGTATAACATTTTCGAACAATTCTTCAATATAAACAAGTTATTATCGGTTCGATTAGAAACGTAATGAATTCCGAGAAATGAAAATTCAATGGTTTGTGATGAAATGAACTAATAGTACGAAATAATATTTTCATCATATTCTTCTTCTTCTTCTTCTTTGGAGGCTCCCTGGTATGCTCATTTCAAGCCCAGATCTCAATAGACCGAAATTTCCATTTTTTATATATAATTTTCCGGTTTGCATTTGCCTTTTAAAATTATACATTTTAAAAAGTATGATATTTTTGTGTGATATTTCATCAATATTTTTTGCTTTAATACTTATTTTATGATTCTTTCTTTGATATGCCACATAAAATTAAGAAGAAATGCAAAATCAGACAATTTTGACACCAAAATGGTGTAGAGCTCTTTCGCTGGTAATTTGTTGCTCCAGAGAATGGTTGTTTTTTTTTTCTACTTTGATCTCGTACACACACCATCGTCAAAATGACGACTTATTCTTGATGTTTTGAATTTAATTGTTCGTTTTTTTTTCGCCAAAAGACTACATTGTTCCTCACATACAAATTATGATTGTTGATTTGTTTAGCAATCCTGGTTAGTCTTTCAATTTCCCACAACGAACACTATTCAATTCGACGTTCTTTTATCAAACCCTTATTCTCTTGCGTGCTCCATTGAACCCGGTTGATTATCAGAAGAGGTCTTGATGATCTCAACCACTAAGAATCCAAACATATGAATTGTCACTGATTGATGCAAACCTGACGTAAACCTTCCAATGATATTTGATTCGAACCCGTTGTTGATGATTTTCTAAATAATGAATAATTTAGTACTATTATTATTTGGTAATTATCTTTATTTGTGTATCCATTCAACCTTTTAAAGAGTTCCCGTTATTTGCAGGAGATCATTCAATGTACACGCTTACTGTAATGAACATGAGTGCTGCTGAAGTCGTTGGTTGGACTCATTATTTTCAAATCGCCTTGATTGTTGAATTCATTTTATTAATTATTAAGTGAGATTTCATAATTGTCAATGATTTCCATGAATGGTTATTGAATTACAGTTTCCTTCAAACATTGTTCATGTGGTATCTCGTCCACTTCACAAACCAATATCATCGCAATTTAGCTTTATTAGTCGAACAAATTTGCAACCAATATTTTGTTTCGGTTTTATCTCGAATGTTTATTATTTACATGCAAATAACTGAACTCAGAATGGGTAAAGAATATTTTTGCATATGCTTGTCGATTTATTATAAATTTTCAGACATTTTACTTCAAAATGAATACTTTTTATTTGCGATTTGGCTTCGAAATTCGTTGTTGTTCGTTGCATTTTACTGTGCTCCATTTTTGGTTTTCGAACGGGTGTTCGCAACCTATTATATGGCGGTAAGGAAACGTCTTCTTGAGCGAGTTTCGGTGGACCGTTTGAAAAACTCGACAACTAACACTATTGCCATTTTTCGAATAAAACCAAATCTTTATTTTTCTTCAATTTTGAAATTCAATAAGAATTGATTGTCAGGATTACGAAAATAATCAACGACGATGGATCGCTTATATATTAATTTTCCTTCTTTACACGATCTCCTTCACATCTGCCCAATTATTTATTTTCGGTAATTAGATTCCAAACAATTAAAGTTGTTTTTTTTTTAAATAAAACAATATTTCAGTTCCAAGCACAGATGCATTTCACACAATTCTGATTTCGTGCACAAATCTCTTCGCGTTTGCGGTATTTTCCATCACTTACTTTCACAGCGTACTTTCGTTTTTTTTAAGCTCACAATTCTCACCGATCGCTACAACAGACTGCAATATCGGGCTCTTCGTCGAAGTTTGACGTGCTGTTATTCTTTGAGCTCTCGGGTTCAGCTTGCAGAAAATATCAAGAGTTCTCGGGTATCCTATTCAATTCACTTTTGATTCGACCAAACTCTATTCAGCCATTCAAAGTTCTTTGTCTGCTCATTGCCGTCTTCGCATTCATCAGCAGCTCAATGCTTCATGTTGATCGCTACACAAATAATGAGACAATTAGAAACGTCGTCTACCTCGTATTCAATTACAGTTGCTGGTCATACGGCACATTTGTACCAATATTCATGTTGTTTTATAATAAGAAATGGCAGGAGGAAGTGATTCGATTGAAGAGAATTGTAGTCAGACAGAAATTGAAAATTCAACATCTAAAAATTTTCAGGTATTCCGAAATCATCATCAGATTCCATTGCAAAGAATATCGAAAAATGAAGTGAAAGATAGCTTCGGAAGAAATTGTCTCGTCGACGGAAAACAACAAACTGACGTTTATTTCTCACAACTAAAATTTGACTGGAAATAAAACAATCATTCATAAAAATATTGCATTTCTGTAAAGTCCTAAACAATGAAAATAACGAAATGAATAAAACATAACAACAACAGTTCAATGAGGATTAACCTGACGAATCGTGATATTGACTCGACTGGTATTCAAATAATCTCGAACTAATCCATCGGCAACATCATCGAAAACTGTTGCTTGCGATTTGACGCCGATGCACGGGATTGCGTGGTAAACAAGACGCTGAGCACCATGTAAGACGAGAAGGTCGCCGTTCCGAAGCCACAAGGGAATCGGAGGTTCGGTGAGCGAATTTCCACCAGACAAGTACACTGCTGTTTGTCCCAACGATAGCGAAATCAGCGGTGCATCCGAACGTTCCGAGCTAAATAGGCAATTGCCAAGAATTGACGAAGACAGACAAATTCAGTTTATAAAAAAATAGAATTTCACTAATTAAAGGCGTATGCAGAGAATTGATATTTTCGAACCAAAAAAGTATTTTTCATGCGAAAATACGGTTGTCTGCATTCTAAAATATTTTCGCTTACCGATCAACATGAGGCGAGAGATATGCTTTTGGTGGATAGTAGTTGACAATCGTGGCATCAGGCTGCATTTCTCCCAAATTCAAAGATCTGCTAATAATCTGGAGGCGAATAATTTTGGATGGACATGAAATGAAACGCATATACCTGACCGAACAATCGTAATTCCTCTGGAATCGGTCTACCTTCTGCCGGATATTCTTTCGTCGCCCAATCATATTCAACACCCAATGTCGTCCAACGTAGCGATTTTCCTGCATTTTCCAAAACGTTTCTATAAACTCTTTTAATTTTTTCAATCGAACGTGAATTGCCCACGATTCTGGACTAGTGCCGTGTGCTGTCATATTGGTGACATTTGGAGGCTCCGCATACCGAAAAACGCGTTCAATCCAAATCGGAGCCGCTGTTTTTCTTAAATTTATTTCATATATTTGTTATTAAACAAACGCGTACAGTAAAAGTTGGGGAAGAAGATAGAGACCAGGTCTGTCTGGAAATGTGCAGACCCGCCATTCACTAGGATGACGAAGACCTGAATTCACGGCGAATTCATTCATTGGTATTCATAACGGTCTTACCCAATTTTTCGGCGATTGTAATGTCATTCTCGCAAATCGAATCAAACACCATCCGAGACTCGAGTCCATATTGCTTGAAATTATTCGGATCTCGGCTATCTAAATATGGATTGTCTTTTGAAAAAACGACCGATTTGCATTATTATATTACCAATAACTTGCGAAAAATCTGGAGGTGGAACCCGTTTTTTGTATTTTTTAAAGATTGGTCGAAAAGCGTTATTATCGTTTGGTAAGTCCGAATCACTGCCGTAGGCGTCATTCGCGATCTCCTAAAAACAAAAAAAAGGAACATTGAAAAGTTGAAACAATTTCAAACATTGTCGATCGTTCTGCTTTGCGACTCGCTCATCATGAATCTTCTTGTATTTCTGCAAAAGTGCCAATTTGCCCTTATCGAGATCTGCCTCGTAGTCCTGCATAGGATTCCAAAGATATTCAATGACATTCGCGCCGACGACAACTCCGAGAACGAGCACGAGCGATTTCTTAAGCGCTTCTTCGATCGGTAGACGATAGGGCCACCAGCGGGGGTTCGACGACATCAAGGGATCGCGGCGGGCACGACTACAATCTAGGATATAAACTAATTGCCTCAAAAACTTATTTTTTGCGCTATTGAAATTTCACAATTTTCTAGAAAATTTGCCAAAACTTTCGGGTCATCGTCATTAACGAAATGGTTATTTCGTGAAATCAATTCACACGGATTATTATTTCTAAGAAAAAATTAATATTTCCGGAAGAGAACGTCAATTAAATATATTAAAAGCCGTGGAAATTAGAATATTTCGTTGTCGGAAATAATATTCCTCAAATGAGTTCCTTAATGTTTTAATACGTCTTATTTTGCCTTGTATTTTCCGTAGTAGTCAAAATAGCACCACAGGGTCATAAAATTCAAATTTTCTTTTATGTATATATCTAATTTTTACTTTAAAAAAATGCCTCCCAAAAACGATCTCATTAAAACCAAATGAACAAACCACAGTTTTGCAGGTGCAAACCAAGTCATAAACAAGTGGTATAATTAATGAGATAATTTAAAGATCGAGTTCTGAGAATTATTGACTATTCAAATGTTATAATCACGTACTCAAAATACTACAGGGTGGGGCATAAATATAGCGCCGCTACCTTGCTTGAGCTCTGGCGCCTACAGTACTCTTTTTTGGAGAGTAATTTAATTTTTTCAAGATTATTGCATTTTTTATTATTGATTTAAGTCTCAGTCTGATATCTTGTCTTTTCAAGCAATGGTAGCCGCCTCTCCGTTCAGAAGCGCCATCATCTAAAAGAATATCTCCAGCAGAAATAGCTCTGAAGCTCGGAATTCACAAATTTGTCGTGAACAGGACTATTAGTCGAATCAGACAGCTGGGCGCAATAAATGATAGACAAAGATCTAGAAGACCTGTGGCTATGACAACTTCAGCAGTCGTCAAAGTGATGAGAGAGAGAGAGAGAGAGAATCCGACTAAATCCAGAAAGAAGCGTGCAAAAAAGGTCGTCGGAGCTAGGAATCAGTCCAAGATCAATAAGGAGAATTGTCAAAGGGAAGCTTAAATGACCCCTTATCAACTTCAAAATGTGACATTTGCTTTTCGTCTGACGAAAGCGAAAGCTAGATAGGCACCTGAAGACATTGTTCACGGACGAGAAGTTATTCACAGTGGAGGCTAACAAAAACGGTCTAAATCACAGAATTATTGCTAAGGATATTGAGACGGCCTTCAAGAAAGTGAAAATCCTAAATACGACGTCTCACCCCGCTGCTGTGATCGGATTCACTGGAATCTGTTCTCACCTCTTGATTTCGTCGATGTTGGGGCTAAAATGAATCAAGACTACTACAAGAAGAACATTTTGAAGTCGAAAATGCCACCATGGGCCCAATCCCACTACGGAAACAACCATTGGATCTTCCAACAAGACGGAGCTCCGGCTCATCGTGTAAAAACCATTCAGCAGTGATGTGTGACTCATTTCCCTGAGTTCACCACTACGGCTGAATGTCCTTCTTTCAGCCAAGATTTGAACCCGATGGATAACGCGGTGTGGGGATATTTAACGCAGAAGGTTTCCACTAAAAACTGTTCAAGTTTGGAGGTTACCCTTAATAAGGCATGGGACGATCTAGACACCAACTACCTTCGTGCCGTCATTGATGCATTCCCGAAGAGACTTCGAGCGGTGATCAAGGCAAACGGTGGCAGATTCGAAAACTGTTAAAAAATTATGTTACTAGTCACTTAATAAAGATTTTGTTTGATTTTTAGAAAAAATTTCTTGATTTGATATTTCTATAACGTGTGTTAAGTGACGTTATATTTATGCCCCACCCTGTAAATATCTAAATTATTAAATCAAACTTCTGTAATGTTTTCAATCTCTTATGATTTCGTGTATTTGCACCATATTGTATTTCCGAACACATCTATTTGTTATTCAAGCTACCAATTTTGTACTTTTCGTATTTTTCACATCCTGTTCAAAACCAAGATCAACCATTCTATTTCTTTATTTACTCTCATCTAAATGGGGAAAACTTAAAACGCATCACTTCTAGAAATGGGAAAATGTTCGCTTTGACTGAATATTTAATGCGCGCACGCCAAAATGTAAAATACGCAGTATCGCGTGATTGAAACATCTTGACACATACGCAATTTTTTTAATACCGTTCAATCGTTTGATTCCGTCAATACGATATTCTGAATTATTAAAAAAATATATTATGTGGAAGAATATTATTAATCTCGCATTGACCTTTTCACGAAATTAAGATTTTTACAGAAAAAATGTAAAGATTACATAAAATGTGCATTTCTTTACAAAGCTCTTTTTTTTATGTTTAATTTAAAAAAATATTTTGTCGGCGTCCGGCGACTGCTGTACGCGGGTAGATTTACGCGCATGTGCCTTGAAAAGGTTTCGCCACGCGTGAATGCTTATGTTTTCACGAAAACTTCGTCATTTTTTGAAGAATTTTGCATTTCCTTGAATTTAAAAAAAATGTGAAATAGAAAAATTAAACTCATCTTATGAAAAAGAGAAATAAAAGAGACATGTCTCAAAATTTTCACGGATAACTACCACAACAATTAAAGTTATTTTCAATCATAGCTGACATATAGTCGGCGTCCGGCGACTGCTCTGCGGGTAGATTTACGTGCGATGTGGTCTCGCAAAGACTAAGTGATTAACAAACTGGGGGTTTTCCATTTCGTAGGTCATACTCTTGATTTTTTATTTTAGTGATATTTTTTATTCAAGGAAATGATATATGCGCAATTGCAATTTTTCATTGCATTATTTAACGGATATAATCTCATACAGAATCCGTCAACAATGCTTATATCTCTTGCCGGACCACGAAGCATAATATAATAATATCTATAAAACATCGATAATATCGATAAAAATCAATAGTTATGATTGGCATTAGAAAAAAAAACGAAAAAAAAGGTAAAATTGCAATTGCGCTCTATTGACAATTGAGTTCAATATATCTGCGAGCGAGTTCTACTACGGGGAACCACCCAGAACGCCGGACGCCGATTCTAACACCGAGAAAACATTTTTCGTGTGTGGATTAAAATATGTATTGCCATCACAAATAAAACAATTTTTCATCGTATTTTTCCGGCTAGGAAATTAAAATTTCCGCTTAAACTGTAGGATTTCAGGTATCGTACTGGGTATAATCAGCGAATCAAACTCACCGTAAATCATGATAGGGTGCTCATTTATTTCGATTGTAATGGGCTCACTTCACGATTTTTACATTACTGATTCGTGGAGGAAAATTCACAAAATCAGTGTAGATTTGCAGATTTGTTAAATTAAGCCCGTCTAAATATTATCTGCGCGTATGCTAAAATGCGGAGTACGCAGACACGCACAGTTCTCTTTTTCTCGAAACACCATGGCGCATAGACAATATATTTTTTTTTAAATTTCGATCAGTCGTTTGAAAGTGACAATAATAAACTTTAGAAAACATCAAGTATTTTTAATTCGAAAGTATTGAAATGCATTGAAAAACTTTAGAATTTTCTTAACAAATTTTACTTTTTAAATATACTAATTTTAAAACTGTTTATAAGTTATTGGATTATCATAATATTTTAGATCGTTTGTCTGAGAATACGTAAGTCCCTCTAATGAAGTGCAATTTACACATCTTATACCCATTTGGCAACCAAATTTTCAATAATATAATTGCATTATAAATTAAAACAATTAGATTTGCATAATTCACCCGCCATTCACATTCATGAATGTTGTTTCGAGTTAGTCAGTAGTGTATAGTTGAGAATATTTTCAAAAAGCATCAACTAATTGCAGCCGCCGAGACTCGATGGTTTCTGATCTCCATTCTGATGTCTTCATGAATTTATGCTCGTCTAATCAGACCCATCCACTTTTTTTACGTATTGATGCCTAATTTTTATATCAATTCCCATGATAATGGCCATCATTCAACGCAGTGTATTTCATTCTGACGTGTTTTATTATTTATAAATTCAGTTTTCAAAAAAGTGGACATCTGAATTTGGGAGTTTTCTTATCCTTATTTATCAAAAAAAAATCTCAAAAGTTTATTAACGTTTTTTGTCTTGACATGTAATTAATGATGTAGACCGTAAAACGAGAAAAAAAAACGCGCAAAAAGAAATCCTATTTTTAAGCCACCGTAATATCGAGCGAATTCAGCGATATCTGATGTCATTATTTAATTAATAGCGAGTGCAATTTTTGTATTTCTGGGAAATATATCTCGAGCGAAGCCGCGAAATAAAGAAGCCTGCCAACTTGATGAAAACATTATTAGTTCGTTGTATAAATATTAGTTCATTTCATCATAAAGCATTGGATTTTCATTTCTCGGAACTCCTTACGTTTCTATCATGACAGTTTTCATTAAAATATCGTTGATTTCAAACGACTGGGAAAAGTGAACGTGTGAGGCCAAATTCTAAATTTTCTAGTCCGTAAATCTCTAAATATCTTATAATTGTGAAGGCTCCTCCATTTTCAGTCGTTTGAAATCGACAATAATAAATTTTTATATTCAGAAATTTTCATTTAAAACAATTAATGACCAAAAAAAATTATTGTGTTCCTTATTGGTAGTCTACAATCGAAAAAAAGTGTGTTAATTTACGGTGAGCTTGATTCGCATGATAGTACGGTAGCCGAATTTCCACAAGTATAACTCAAATTTGAATTACTGAATTTCTGAAATTCTCCCTTCAAAAAATTACGAGACTTTCGAGAAATTCCCGGGAGTTTTGGAGAGTATCCAGAGAAAGTCTCTAGATTGTCAAGACTTCTCAGAGAGGAATGAGAAAGTATTGAAACTCTCGGTACCCGTTTCGGCAACTAGTATCGAGATTAATTAATTGCAAAAATTACTCGGTGCTGCTGGATATCTCAATAATTTTTGGCTATGGATACTTTAGGAAATTCTCTTCCGATAGCACACACTGGTGGCTAGTAAAACAGTTACAAAGAAAACCGCGAGGCCCAGAAAATGGAACTAAATGGTCCAATAAACAAAACCTCGAAATATTTGAATTTAATGAATATTGCATATTTTAATCATGGCTCCATTTTGCCAATCGGATCTCTCTCGTAAATGTTCAAATGTGACATTGAAAAATGGGTCCATTTTATTGAAAAAAAAAACAATTAGCTCTACGCAAAGCAACAACTCGTTAGTCTGATTCGTTTTTCTTATAATGAATTCAAATTTAGAGTCAGTCCAGGCCCATTTGGCATTAATCGTAAATTAAATGAAATAAAAAAAATAAATTTTTCATTTTGTTCATTGAATTAATACGCCGATTTGGCGTTGGGCATTTTATTAAGCCGTGAAAATGAACAGATGCAAATAAGGACTGATTAACTCTCAATTTAAAAATATCACTGATAAAGCTATCAAAATTTCCTTTTTTGTAATACAGTAATAACAATATATAGTTGGCGTCCGGCGACTGCTGTACGCGGGTAGATTTACGGGAATGCGTCTTTTGAAACGGTCTCGCAAGGACTAACAGGTTATTTCAAATTTTATGGGTCGGTTTGATAATTTTTTTAATCGAACGACATTAGAAATTCCAAGAAATACCAAACTCATCAAGAAAAATGAAGCAGTTCACGTGAAAACAGCAAAATAAGCATTCACGCGTGGCGAGACCTTTTCAAGGCGCATGCGCGTAAATCTACCCGCGTACAGATGTCGCCGGACGCCGACTATATTATCGTTTAAATCTAATAATATGTTTTCGTGAAAATTATGTTTTTTTTTAATGAAAGGACAGCATTAATTAAAAAAGACAGACAAATATCACTGAAACTAAATAAAACATGAAAACAATAATAAAAGAACAAATAATCAATTGACAAGAAAATGAAATTTAAATTAACCTGATTCGTCTGATAAAGTGCTTAATTTCCATCGAAAAACTTGGTATCAATTCAGATTTTTTTCAATCATTTGAAATTGAAAGTGAGGAAAAAATCAATCGATATCGAGGATATTTGAATCGAAACCAAGTTTTTAAATCTAATTTAAACAATTTCTCATTCGAATTTCATGTGTTTTTCGCATCAGGTTTATTTATATTTAATTTTTCTTCGCACCCGATTGATTTTTATTTACCAGAACACCGACTACTTCAAAAACTTGAAATTTTCACGCGATTGAGCGCATTTTGAATATCCATTTTTTTACGTTTCAAATTCCCCAAAAAAATGAAAAAAATAAACTCGTCAGGAATATTGAAAATAAATAAAATCGATTTCATTGCGGACTTGTGAATTTTATTCGGCGAAAATACCCGCCGAAGTGTTTACATCTCGCCTGTTTTCGCTTCATTCAAGTAACCTAGAATTTTAGTTCTTAAAAAAATATTTTCCGTTTTCATATCCAGTTTCAATGGAATTATTAGGCTTCTTGATGTTACTTCCCTAATTTAATTTTAATTTTTTTTTTCATTCGTGCGACCCAACAATACATGAAGGAAAAAAACGAAGAATAAATTGAATCAAGCGATTAAAAAATAAATGCCTTAACTTCGAAAAAAATACGCAAGGCAACAAGTTGCCTCATGGTACATTTTTATTTCCTGTACCCATTGCAATCCTTTAAATTTCAGTGTAGTAACAAAAGAATTGTCAGCGTCGCGCGACTGCGAAAAATAGTCTAAATACAAAAAACCAGTGACAGTGGTCTTGACGCAAAACGAAGAGTATAGATTCACGGACCTGTGTATAAGGATAGGAGAAAGGCACACACTGCGCACCGAAATCCTTTCTTAATTTTTTTGGCATTTAGACAATTTTACGCTTTATGCTTCATATATTCTCCAGAAAGAATTTTTAGGAAAAAATTGTCAAGAACGAATTTGTTTCTAGCGATGAATAATAATAATCTATAATTGACAATGCACAAAATTGAATGCATCGTCCATTAATTTTTGACGAGGACGAGTTAATAATATAGCTAAAAATGTCTAAGTCCTTTTCGAATTGGCGAAATTCATCGAATATATTCCGAATTCAGTCCAATTATTCAAGGCGTTAAATTTAAAAATTGAATATGCTTAGAATTTTGTAGAAAGAATTGAAATAGTACTCAGCCATTTTCTACGTTTTTCCTTGCAACAATACCCTTTTTCGAGAGAACTTTCAACTACTCAATTAAGCAATTCTACTTTTTTTTCTCTTTGGATCGTTGATACTTGCACTCATTTCTTGATACTATTGTTAAAGAGTTATTCAAATGTATAAAAAAACAAATACTGCCGACCTCAAACGACTAAAGAGGGCGGGGTTTCTGCTATCGCGAAATCATAATAGATCTATAAAAAGGTAAATTTACGCACTGACTATCAAGGGAGGCCTCGCAGCTGACCGCCCTAAAAAATTTCTGAAACTTTATGAAAAAAACATTCTTTACGGACAGCTAAAAGGACTTCCTCATAAGTTTTTTGAAGTCGCGTACGCAAAAAGCAAAATATTCTGCATAAAATCAGTCGTATGAACCCGACAATATTAATAATAGCAAGTAACAAAGAGGTGGAGTTTTAGTATGATGGATGAACAATATTCTTTTATTAGATATGCTGCAGTGTTGTATAATTCGCTTTGATCGAACTAAATAAATATACCCAATAAAAACAGGCAACTCCCGTCTAGGTTGCCTATTTTGCCGGAATATACCGTTGCCGGCATCGCGCGACTTCGAAAAAATTGGCTGAATACCAAAATATAATACCAAAATATTCAATAAAAAATTCTCGATGTGGGCGTTTAACCTACCCGTATGTTTTTACAATCCCTAAATCCTAATTCTACACTTTTTTGTCATTGCTTTTTGGATTTTCGCCAATTTTCCGCAGTCGCGCGATTTCAACAATATATTAGCGATTCGCTTCGATGCGCTATAACGAAAAACAATTTCATTCTAGATTTTTTTTTGTGAAAAACCAATTAAAAATGCCCAGCGGAAGCTGACAAAAAAACCGCAGAAACTCCGAGGGAATACCCATTATTCAAAATTTTTGGTAAATCATATCACCAAAGAGTGTCATCTGTACTAGACGAAAAAAAAACATTCAAAGTCTACTTTATAGTAAAATCATTATAAAATTGTCAATATCATAAGTATTATAATTGCTGCCATAAAAATACGATGGCTCACTATTGTTCAAGGTGCCCGTTTTTAGCGTGGGTAATATTTACTGTTTCTTACGCAATTCCTTTACAAGACCTGGAGACTTCGGTGCTCTAGTGTGATAAAGTCGGCGGTTTATCGGCATTATTGAGCTTCAAAAAAAAAACCAAACGAGCTTCCCTATCTCTCACTACGATATGTAATCTTGAAAATGATGTGTACTGCTAATCCAGTTAGTACATCGTTTATGGATCAGCTTATAAAATATAGTTTATCATTCAACAATTGAAAAATTATTCGAATATTTACAATAATAATAATAATCCTAATACATATATCTCAATTATTTCTTCATCTCACTGTGCCGCAAGAATGACGTTTTTGAAAGGGCTAGAAAAAAATAAATTGCGGACTCTAACATAAATATGAACATTGTCAATAATTTAATTCACATGTAGATATTTCATCTTTATTTAGAAATGCGCGAAAAGAAAAGGCAAGAGAAAATCTGTTGCGCGATAATGTTTTTCGAGTAACACACGGATTCCAAACATTCCATTTTCCCATTTCAGTGTCATTTTCTTATTTTCCTGTTTACTCCTCCGTTCTTTCTTCTAACTAATTATTTATTTTATTCTTTTTCTTCTCACTTTTTTGATCACCTATACACCGTTTTACTATAATAAAAGTTAAGGAAAGAATTCATGACTGACAAAGTGGTCGATATTTCCAAGAGGACAACAAAATATAGGGCGACGTGTTCTCGGGGGTATTCCAAATGAGTTTCTTAAAAAAATCGGTTAACATATTTATTCTCGTAGCGCTGGGTAAATTACAAAAATGGATTAAAAAATGGGTGAAAATTAGATACTTCCATAGCCCGCACCATTTTTCGTGATACCACATACATAAAAAACCTAATATTTGAATATACATTTTTCAAGGTAAAATGACTTGATAGACAATTATGTGTAACGAAATGTTGCAAAATTGACAAAAATATCTCTGACAGCGTGACATTATTAGTGATTGTTTACAATTCATCTTATTGTTGATTTCTTTGGAAAAAAAAAACACACACACAAAATAACGTCTTCCTGATTTAAAATTTCCCAAAATTTTATGAAAAATGAGCGAATTCTTTCTTTTTACCAATCCCCCCCCCTTTCTTTGCAAAAATTATTTCAAGACTATTCAAATAACCTAAACTTGAATTGTCATTTTCTCAGTTGTATTCCTTTTTAATCATTCTACGTTTAGAGACGTTCGTCGTTCTATTTCATTTTCTCCTAGTTTAGAATAACAAAATATATAATAAATAATTCTTTAGGCGAATGCATCAGCTATCCCATTTGGATCGCTCATTAGCAATCAAAAATGGATCGAACTTGTGCATTGATCGATTATTAATAATTGAGGCAGCATTAATATTATGGAGGTATTTGTAATGGGGATATGAAGATTTCGCAAAAAAACTCAAAGATGCTATATCGATTGACCAAAAAAAAGAAAATACTAATTTTTACCCAAAATCTGCATAGTACCATTAAGAATTAATAAGAACGAAATACACATCCATCGTTCAGCTATATCGAATGTGGTTCAATGTACTACATGTTGTGCCGTTCTCCTCAATATCACCCAAATCTACGTCTCTTGCTCAAACATCTAGTCGGCCAATATTTCGTGTCAATGGCATGCCGATTAGTACAGATTTTTTACGAGTACGATTGTACACTTGCCCAATCAAGAGGTGCAATTTTTTTAAAGATTTACATAATGCAAAATCATTTTTTAAAGAATTCGATGACATAAAAAGTCCGTTTTTTTACGCAACAGTTCTTCGAAACTGTCTAGTTTTCATAGCATTTTCTTTTGCGCCCGTTACTATGATTGAACGACTGTTAGCATCATTCCTTATGGCTGGTAATTTGAAATTTTAAACATTTAATCGAAAAAAAAATTTTTAGATTATGAAAAGAAACCGCGTCGTTACATATCAATATTGTTAATAGTAATTCTCTATGGCTGGGCAGTATTTTGCGGAATCACATTCATTTTTGAGCTTCTGCCTACCTATTTTCATGGAATTTCTTCTCTTTCTCTCAATTTTTGCGCCTTACTAGTAAGTTGCTAAGCAAGAAGTATATGTTCTACGATAATATTTAAGGCATGCTTCTTCAACGAATATTATAATCGAAGGAAACTTGCAAACAGTTTAGTGGCGTCAAAGGATATTCCAAACTATTCATTGAGTCAACGTTATCAGATCTCAGAAAATCTCAAAACTGCGATGGTAATTGTTTGCTTTGGAATCAAGAATTTCATTTGAAATTGGAATTTGAAGTTATTCAAACGGGGAATCGTGGTAGCTATCTTCTTCAGTATTCTATGTGTGATTATGATTTTGTTGAGCAGTATATACAAAAGCGACAACATGTTTAACTGGATACAAATTGGATTCAACTACGCCGCAATAATGTAGGAATCTTGTTGATTTTTAATTTCTAATCACTGAATTTTTAGCTACGGTGTTGGTATCCCAGCCGCAATGTACTATTATGACGAGAATTGGAAAAGGGATCTCATTATGTTTTTCAACAAATGGGTTTTGAGAAAACTACCGGCTACGGTGAATGCTGAACGTTCTCTCAAATCAACATTCGGCGAGAGGATGATACACGAAAAAAATCGGGAAACTGCCATCTATTTCCAACAATTACAACAAGATTGGTCCGAAAAAACGCAAAAAACTCATGTTTAACAATCAAAAGAAAAATCCACTCACGTTTTTTTTGTTGTGTCGTGAATCCCAGTGAAAATTCGCCGATCTCGCTGAAATCATAATCTCTTCAAAAGCTTTAAATGTTTGTTTATAAAATAATTTGGAATCGAACCGATTGAGATAAAAAGACGGATATGTCTGAAAATTACATGCGTCATGTTTATTTACAAAACGAGGATCAAATGAATGTTGTATGACAATCAAGCACCCTTTAACTTAGATGTAAAGCGTTAATAATTACCAAAAAAAATTGTTATGTGCATGTGAGAAGGGTAGTAATTGGAATCAAAAACAGGTCTGGGGTTTCAATTTTAGTAGGGAGAAGATCTTGGAAAATATTAAAGAACAGGAACAACATTATGCTATGTTAAAATTGATCAGCCGAATTTTTAGAAATTTTAAAATTGGCTTTTGAAGAAAAAAACCACAGACCTAAAAAAAAATAACAACCATAAATGGAAAAAATATAGAAACAAGGCAGTGAACGTCAATAATCTTTTTTTTTTTCATTTTTTGACTTTGATAAAATCATCCAAACTGAATCCATCGAGCGGTTTGATTGCAGCACTGTTGTCAATGATTTCCTCTTTTTGATCACACAAATTCGTTGATGTCGATGGTCCATCTTCATCTAACTTCAACTTATCTGTTTTTTTCTGAAAATTTTTGTAAAATTTCGTGTTAAAACGTCCACGTACTTTATCCTTATTGATGAGAGCAAATTGATCCTTGACATATTTCAATCTCAATGCGCCTTTGATCAAAGTCTTCCAATTGCCATAGACTCTTTCAAGTCGTTTCGCTTCTTCATTCGCGGCTCTTCCACATTCAATTCGGCTCCATTCCTTCACGAAACTCTCGACATCTTTTTCGAGAACAATAGCTCCATCCATTACCGGATGAGTCCATCCTCCATCAAACGCCCATCCAACTACTGCTTGAGAGCATTCCTTATTAATTTTTCTCGCAATTTGAACAAGTCCGGGAAGCTTAAGATGAACACATCCAATCGGACACATCGTCGGGCTGAACATATACACATTTCCATATTCATTGCGCGGAATTTTTCCCTAAATCGATTATTTTCAAAATTGATTTGTACAATAGAATTACGTTAACAGCTTTCGGACGTCGATATGGCTCAGTCTGCCAGTATCCATACACATTGAGATATTGTTGCACCCGATCTTCGGCAGGAACTCTAAAATCAGGACGAGCTTTTACCACCTTATATGGTTTCTCGCCAATCTAAACTCATAAAGTTTGTTTTCAATTAAATTTACACTTGCCGATTACCTTAACACTTCTGGCAAGTTTCAACCAATTATTTTCCCCTTGCAATGTATAAACACACGATCTAGGATAGACATTATGACCGCGAATCGTTCCGAGTGGCTTCTGTGTTTCCGGTGGAGGGTAGATCGCTTCAAATTTCAACAAATCCTTCTCAAGGACATATCTAAATCGCATAATCGTGAAACAAACGAGAAACGCTACGACTCACAGCGGATGATTCTTATATTCGCTAAGTGTTGTTGGCAACGGACGTTTGATAAGCTCCTCATTCATGTGCATCTTTTCCCATTTTCGTCGTTCTTCGTTTGCAGCGAAGATTGGAAGACGAAGAGTCGTATTTATCCATCTGGTATCGGTTCGACGTCGTCGGAAGTCTTGCTTAACACAGTCAACAGCATATCTTTGCGTGACTTCACAAATTCCACGTTCTATAAAAATGCTATTCAACAAGTTATGAAAATAAAATAAATTACTATTATCGACAGCAAAAACATAAGAAATCGGCCCATTGATCTCTTCGCCGATTTTCAATGGCTCGTCAACGGTCAGTACCAGAGGATCTACACCTACAAGAGATGAAATTTGAATATGTGAGTAATGCTTTTTGAAACATACAAATCCAACGTTTTTCTCGCGGATTCCAGTATTCAACCCAGTAATTTCTCTCAACATGAATCTCCTTTTGCTTCGTCTTTCCTTTCTTGCTCTTCGTGCTCGTTTTCCCATCTTCAAGTTTCGGAGTCTGACTGCGAGATTTAGAACATTCTCGAAATTTATCCATTTCGGCCCGCAATTGAACTTGTTGATCCTGAAAATTTCAATGAGCCGATTAGAAAACAATGGTTTCAAAATTCGAATGCTACCTTATCCCATCTTCTCGAAATCGCTTTCACATTTACACAGATTCTTGCCGTTGCTTCCATTCCAACGAGAAGACAGAAAAGAAGCTGAAGGAAAGTTTTGTTTTAATTTATTTCTCATCAAATCGATTACCACTGCTCTGTCACAATCTGTTTCGAAGCACTTTTTGTTGATCAACGCGGTAAGACGGGATGTCGCCGGATATCTCGCTTCCTGTCCCTTCTTCAATTCCGCTTCAATCGCAGTCACCGAGATGAATCCGTTCAGTGGGCGAAACGAGTCGGCATACCATTTGACAAGTTTTAAAAGAACGTCATTCGGAAGAGTTTCGCCAATATATTTGGAATATCCAGAGGGTAGCTTAAAGCAAAAATTGAAATTGCGAAGACTAAAAAAAATAAAACCTGGGAAACCATCAAAGAAGGAGCAAGCAATTCATCTAAACCAGTCTTGACAAGTTGATGAAGATGGCACATATAACACAATAAATGAGTCTGAAATTATCGAGTCGATTTCAGTGTTGATTTAAATCAAGCAGCTCAACTCACTTTGTGAGTGTTTTCCCAAACATTTCTGATGCATCTGTTGGTTTCTTGTCTCAAATAGACCACCCACCAATCTCGCTCCATATTTTCTTCAGTGTGCAATGTAACTTCAATCTGTAATATAATTACGATTATAGAAAAAATCCAATAATTTTTACATTATCATCAATAACAGGTTCAAAATGTTCCATTTCTTCCCATTCATCTTCAGACGAATCCTCCTTCTCACCAGTTTCCTCTTCTCGCTTTCTTTTCTCAACTGCTTCGAGAAGTTTTACACCTTCTTGATAAACGCGCTTCAATTCGCAGTTTAACTAAAGTTGCAAATTATAATTTCAGAAATACAAATGAAACAAACAGCGTAGCATTCTTCATAGCTGATTTCTTCAATTCTTCCTCGCGCTAATGCGCGTGCCACAACTCGATATTCAGCCATTTTGCGTTCTCCGCGAGCTTTTTTGCGATCTTTCTCATATGCGGCTAAATTTTTCTTCCACGGCTGTTCTGGTTTAGCCTTCAATATTTCAATTAACAAGTTAGATATGCAAAGGTAAACACTTACAGGTGCAGTGACTCTTAAAGTACTTTTGCCGCCACCGCTTTTCATTTTCTTCGGTGCCGATGATTTACTCGAAGATTGTTTTCGACATCGCCCAGAAGATTTGACCGTCGTTGCCTTTTTCTTATTTTTCGCCGCGATTTCTTCCATCCCAGAATCTGATGCTTCACTCATCATATCGTCATCAGATGTACTGAGTGTGGAATCATGCTTATTTGTCGTAGCCTTCTTTCGCGTATTTCTTATAGCATTTTGCCTTTCGTTTTCTCTTTTCTTTTCTTTTTTAACTTCTTCCTTAAACGAGAGTTCGTTATCGTCACTTGAACTGTCAATATCACTCGACGAAGAAGACGTTGAAAAAAGAATCATGTCATCTTCTGCTCTCGATGGAACATATGATCTACGAGAAGCAACAGACCGACGGGGACGCTCTTTAATTTTATAAATATGTTTTTTTTCTATTACAATTAATATGTATTTTTTTTTACCTATTTTAATAAATTTGTCTCCCAATTGGTCATCGGTATCGTCTTCTTCAATTTTGTCACCAGATAAGTTCAGCGATACTTCCTGTGCCGGATCCTCCATTGACTCATCGGAATTTTTTATTTCGACGTCATTTTTCGGCTTTTTTTCAGGAATATTCTCTGTATCAGAAATGCGTTTCTCAGAGTTTTCGCTTTCTTCGGATAACTGAAAACGAAACAATTTTTCAATTATGTGAATGATTTCGAGTTGTCTTACTTTCTTCTTTGAAGCTCTCCCTCTTTTCGTCGCATTCCCTTCTTCGACACATTTTGGTGCTACTTTTTTCTGTAATTTACGTTAATTTTTTGAACCTGACATAAATAATTTTATTTTGCCAGCTTATTCAATAATACGAAAATAACATCGCACCTTTGCTGGAGCTTTTAATTCAATTTTCGCAGTTCTTTTTCTTTCCAGGGCCGAGTTTTTACCCGCATTCGTATTCTCAACCCCCGCATTTTTTGAGAGCTGCGCAATTCGAGTTGAACGTCTGCGTTCCATTCTGAACCTAATTAAATAACCAACATATAGAATAAGCAATGGTAAAATAAAATGGTCAAAACATGAACCAAACTGAGAAAGCACAACGACAAAAATAGATTGTCAAAAATAAAAATTTATTAGTTTATGTAAAAATGGAATGGATTGGTACAACCAAAGTGGGCAAATAGATTAAAATGGAATGTTTAATTAATCAGTGTTCACAGAATGGTAGAAACTTTTTGAGTTATGGAAAATTTCATTTTAAATTTGGTTAAATTTCTCCTTTTCGTGAATATGGATGAAGCGTTACAAAATGTACGTTTTTCATTTTCACCAATATCTAAGTATTTTCTATTTGATTAGAGCTAACCCGAAATAGTTATATACATTATGAATTAGTAAATTCAACTATAAACAAAAAAGTGTTAAATGTTTAAAATACTTACATGAAGTTACGAATTAAAACTAATATTTTCTAAGATCTACTATTTGACAGCTCATTGCTGAAGAGAATTGAACATGTTTAGCGGCGGTGAACAGTTGACCAACAGATTCTGTATGAGGATGGAAGCCGCGTTGACTGCACGATGACAATGTATTCATTCCTTCTGGCGTCAATATGAAAGTACCAACCCTTAGAAATAATAATAGTAGTAAATGGATTAGTGAAAAAAAAATACTCATTATGCGATGGAGCAGCCACAACAGCAACGGCTTCAGGAATCATCTGTTGGTAGACGTATTGAGTGTGCAAATCAACCGATGATAAAAATGCAGTCTGAGTTGGATGGGTGTGAATCCATCCAAGTGAGAGAAGATTTGAGTTCGATAACATCGCAGCAATTTCCACGTCATTTTCTGATGAGCAACCATTAGCTGTTCCTGTTTGTTTAGGAAGAATCACATGGCTGACACGAAATTTCTGATTAATCTGAATTACTCCAACAATTATTTCAGAGAATTAATATGGATTTTATACCAATTTTCCTCCGAGAATTCCACAAGTTTCGATGTTTTTCGTCGTATTATCCGCAGTAGTGTCCAAGAATTTCTGCACCAAATCGCTTGGCATCTCCATTTGTCTGCTGCCGATCGGCACTTCTGGTTCTTTAAAACCCGAATGATTTTCAGAAAGATCTGGGTACATTGGCGCGAACGTGAATTGTTCATCTTTGTGCTTTTGAACAGGCCGGAATGCGGATGATGACGATGTCCCTGGTGTAATTGGAGGCGATGCGGCGACAATTGGCCGTTTGGCGGGTACTTCTTCTTCTTCTGGGTCCCGCACCTTTTCTCGATTATTTGGCTTTGGAGGCAACATCTTTTTCTCGTCTCTTGCGGGCAACAACGTTGGATTAACACTTTTGACATGTACGTCATCCGGTACCAATTTGAGCGTCATCATTTTTCCCATCACCATTCCTACACTAGAAATGACACAATGCATTTTTTTTAAATAAAAATTCTTACCCGATTTTGTTGCCACTTCTTCGGCAATTTTGTACAATCTTGCAGCTTCCCTGGCAGCTTCTTCTCTTTTTGAAATCCAAAGATCGAAATTCTACAATATTTCATCAGTATTAATTTTTTGAATGCACGAAGTACCTCATTTTTCATTTTTCTCTGTTGTTCTTCGTACTGATAATAATCTGCTTGGGTAGAATATACGTGCTTGATCCGACTTTTAAGAGTCTCCGTCATTTCCATATTTGATTTTATTAGCTGATAGACTTTTCTTTTATCTGGTGAGTCGTGCATAGGAAATTCTGGATGCTTCTTCAACTCCGATATCGAAAACCACGAAAATCGATAGAGTAATATAAACGCCTTTTCTAAAGAAATTTCTTCGATATATGACTTGGCCATTTTATCCATGTCCAACAAAGCCTGATAATATCTTAAAACGGGAAGGTACACAACTAGCCAAAACAATTATATATTTATATATACCTTAACAGTGGAACACCAGGATTCACTTTCATTTGTTCAGCTGAACCAATCAATTGTCGAAGTCTTACGCTTGGATCAAGCAAGACTGGATCGATTGTATTCGAATCTGAAAATGTTTGATCAAATTTTTTTCTGGGTTAGTTGCTAATCTCACCTTCGAGCATATTTTGAAAATTAAATTATTTTTTGTTGGATATTCTGAAAAGATTTATAATTCATCTTAATATAAAGAAATCAAAAAACAAAGGAAACACCGATACCGAACAGCAGACAGTTTTATTGTGGCCTAGGTTATCGTGTCTCCAAATCTTCGTCCATTTGTAATCGCGCTCTATTGAGAATTTCGATGTTTGCGATGGAAATTTAAATTTCTGTTGTCATAACTCGGCAACATATATTCTGTATACTATTTGGTTATGGGTTTATTCATAAAATGTATTTTCATGAATAAGACCGTTAGAATTCTAAAATATTTTAATAAATTGTAGTTTCTCATTCTTAATGATATAAATTTTTTTTAAATCTTAGAAGTTCTTAAACTTTATGCTGATTCGCTTTTGCGCGAACAACACGTGAGACTCGATGTGTTTGATTTTTTGGCCGATGCAATTAAGAATAGCAGCGTATATATTACAAAGAGAATTGCGCATAAGAGTAATTTATAATTAGCAAATTTCTGCGAGCAAATTCGATCATGACGTGGATTGTTTGTATTTGCAGAATTGGAATAGTGCAAAGTAGAAAAAATAATTATTGACTCCAAAAACAATCTCTGGTAATTCATTTCGAATCGAATACGACACATTTGAAACCGAATACGACAAATTTCGGCTCCGAACGTGACCTAATTAGGTTCGAAATTTCTCGTATTAGGTTGTGAAATTATCGTATTCGATTATCTTTGGAATACGTTTCGAATGCAGCCGTATTCGTTTTGAATGCAGCCGTATTCGTTTTGAATGCAGCCGTATTCGTTTTGAATGCAGCCGTATTCGTTTTGAATGTAGTCGTATATTTTTCAAATGTAAACGTATTCGGTTTTGAATTGAATTCGATTTGAATCAATTATGGAAGAAAAAGAAAATCGATTAGACAAACAAAATTATTTATTGCAATAAACACAATAACAACCAACAGCAGGAATGAAACAAAAAATATGTATAGCAGGATGTGCGATTTTTTCAATTTATTTCTTCGGAAATACTATTTCGATTATTTGTTTTCGCCATTTTTTGACGAAAAATTTATAACTTGCTTCAATTTCGACATTTCCTTTTCTGGTAAATGAAAATCGATCGAGTTCGAAAATAATTTTCTTTTCAATCGAAATCGATAATACATTAATCTGTTTCGAATTATTTCAAAATTTAAATCGAATACGATTTCAAAATTGAGAATGAAGAATGAACCAATCGATTTCGAAGATTTTTGAATCGAAACAAGTTTTCAAAGCGAATCTAAACAATTTCTCAATCGAATTTCATTTCTTTTTCTATCGAATCAGATTAATTTATATTTTGTTTTTTTGATTTTCATTTAACTACGGAAATTCCAAGCCAACGCAAACCTGATAAACTGATATACAGAAAATTAACTATGGCGCGAGTTCGAGAGCTCCTCCTCAATTCGCAGCCTCCTTGCGCGATTACTAAAAATTTTCCAGTAAAAAAACTATAAAAATGAAATATTGACTAACCATAAGTATTCGATATAATTTTCCGTGATTACTGTAACGGCAATTCGCATCATCTTCTCTTCGGTGTCCGGGATTGATATACAATGTAAAAGTAATTCTGTAAAAATTAAATTATTGAAATATTATAGAATTATAGAAAACTGACCAATAAACGTATTGATTATGTGCGCTTCAATTGCAATATTACCTTTTGAGGATTTCGGCGTGGCGTATACTTGCATCGAATGTTTTGAGGAATCACCTGTAACTATGAAAATAGTAAAAACATCGAAAATTATTTTTTTACCTCGTTCATCCAAATCATAACTGCCTCGTGCACTATTGTTCGCAGATGACGCTTACAGGGACGCATCGACTGAATGATAAGTGAGAAGTTAACCAAATCTTTAAAAAAAGTTATTTACTGTAACGAATTTCTTTTTACCATTTCCTTCAATGGCCGGCACAAGGGTGTCGTCATAAGAAGCAAGCTTCAGCGGGTCGAACATTGCAAATACCTTGTCCTAAAAATAGTAGGCAATTTATCTGTTTGACGCAATTAAATCACCAAATTCCCGCTATACGACGTCCTATTCGCTGGTTTATTACAAATCTTTTCCACCTAAAAATTGAATTGATAGAAATTGAAGGGTGTGTTTTAAACTGCACATAATTAAGTGATCTGAGAAGAATTTCAGAAGTGAATTGCAGTGATTAATTGATATTTGTAAAATATAGATTAACTAACCGAGTATGCGAGAGATTTAATGCAGCATAATGCCGCTTTCTCTGTATCCGTTCCTTTTTTGTATATAGCCTTCAGAAGAGAATCATCGAAGGATATGAGTCCTTGGGCGTGGTCATCGAACTTTTTCTGAATAATGATCATATATTTTTTATTGCTACACGCTTACTTCAGCAATTTCTTTTTCTTCTTTGTTTTTCGCTCAGCAACAGGTGCCAACTTCTGTTGCAATTGATATCATCGAATTTGTTGAAACTATTAAAAATATATTTACATTGAATCATACTGTGGAAAATTGATAAATATAAACGTGCGCGCACGCGAACCGCACGCGCCCGAACGCGAAAAAATCTTGTAAATAGCTGCATTTCGGTGTCTCGCGGCAACAAGGAGTAAGCAACACTACTGGGCATTCATTAGTATTAAATATACTCAGCTCAGCTCGGATATCATACGATATCGTTAACTTTTCGAAACCGACAAAATATTTTTTAAATAGAAAATTTAGGATAAATATGTCGCCGAATCCGGTTAATTAATTTGCGTTCGATTGTAATTCGTATTCGTTTCGGTTTTACTGCCAATTCGTATTCGATTCGAAATTTTGCGTATACGTTTGTAATACGCGTTCAATTCGTATTCGATTCGAATCGAGTTACCAGTGATGTGTATTGAAGATTTCCGGAATTCTTTCAATTATCCTCGACAATTACAAAGTGCAAAATTAGTCATTCGATTAATCATTTGATGAATCAATGCAATATAATTTATTTCGGACTAAAAACTCAAAGTGAAATTGAAATAAGAGACATTTCATCACATCTTTTTCGGGAATAATTTTCACAATCAAATATACGTGTACAAGTAAAGTGAATTACAAAGAGTCGACAATGTTCGATTTCCAGAATCCCACAGTGGCATCTCTGAAAAAATAATAAAAAACTATAAATGCACGGAGAATGTCATACCCAGAAGCAGTAAAAAGCATATTTTTGCTGGTGCACATGCTGTTAATTCCGTCAGAATGAGATTTAGAATATTCTTCAACGAGTCGCATCCTTCCGCTGCTGTGGACATCCCAGAAACGAATTGTGCCATCTTTACAAGCAGATACAAGAAGCTCCTTTCCTTTCGGCTGCAATTTAAATTTATCGATTTTTCTAAATTTCGAATTCGTACTCCAAATGCTGCCAAAGATTGAATGTACTGCTGATGAGCTCGAAGTTCCAGATGTTCTCTTTTGCCATCAGCGAGTAAGAATTTCATAATATTCTGAAAAAAAATGCTCATGCACATTTTACATTTCCGTCAATCATACCAAATCTTTAGAAGCGGTGTATAAGTGATTATTTAGTGGTAAAACCACTGTGACGTTATCATAATGAGGCGGTGTAAACTCTGATTTTGCCTCGATAACACCGGTTCCTAAATTTAAAAAAATCAGAAAATTCTAATTGTCTTTAGTTTTACCTAATCCAACTTCGTATTCCTTAACATAATGATCTCGCGAACCAGTGTACGCAAGAATATTTCCGTCCGGTGTCATTGTTGTCTTCAGACATGACACTTCCGATTTCGGACTGTGCGAGGCGGCGTTCAATCTTCCTAACGGCTTCCATTCTCTTAGATTCCAAACGCGCACATAAGCCGCGAACGAGGTGAACAACATTTGACCTGTGGGATCAACATCAGCGGCGGTGATGACCGTTTCCAAAAATGGTATTGTGTTCTGGCGAGGCATCACCAAATTAGGATCAAACGATTCTCCTGAATCTCAATTTATATTCTTCGCAAATAACTTGTATTACGAATTACCATCGTTAACCTGACCACTTGAATTGAGAACTTTCACACAAATACAATCAGGTGAGCGATAATCCCAAGCTCGAGCTTCAAACATAGAAAATGTGAAGACGAAATTCGAGAATGGAACAAATTTGACAAGATGCACATTGTTCGGATGGACGCCCAACGTTCGAATCTCTTTTCCTGCCTCAATATCCCACAATTTTGCAGTTCGATCTGAATAACAATGATTCGCGATTTGATTTCCATATGTAATTTATAAGAATAACCTTTCGAGCCAGTCACCATATAATTATCAGCGACATCAACAGACAACACACCGCGAGCGTGACCTTCAAGTGTGTGAGTTCTCGTCAATAAATTTCCAGATTGACCATTTTTCACAGCGAAAATTCGGCTAGCTTTTCTGAAAACATTGATTTTACATGAGAGAGATATTTATCGCCCAGAAATGCATGCGAATTATTCCGTTGGAAATTTCTGAAATTATTCTGCATGCAAAGTGCATTTTAAATTTTAAAATTGACATAAAAATGCAGGGTTTTTTGTTTAAAATTCACCATCATGCCAATTTCCGTTGAATCAAATTCTTCCCAGGTAATTTAAAAATTTCTAACAAAACGAATTAATAAGATGTTAGCTGTTAGCAGCAGAGAAGCCTGAAGCAAAACACATTGTGCTAACAACCAAATGAAAGAAAATTGACGAACGAGCAAATGTGCACCATGTAAAATAAAGCGCTTAGTCTCCAAACCGATTATTTAGCATTATCAAGTCAGCACGCGTATCGCTGAGCCATGTAGGGGATATTCGCGCAAAAACCGACTTCGAAGACGTTCCATTAGTCGATGACGTCATAAGATTATTGCCGTTTGAATCGCGTAATCGACGAAACGACGACGACGCCGCCGCCGCGGTAAGTGTGGATCGCGAACGAACCATTGCTGGTGTTGACGTCGTCATCGATGTCGATGCTTCCTGGTCTTCATAAAGTGATGGTAACGCAGGTATTCTGTAAGCGAGGCACGGTTCAAACAACACACGACCACTATGTAGTTTTAAAAAATTACAAACAATTTGGTACAAGTCATAATTTAATTGTTTGGTTTAGTTAAGCGATGGTTACCAACAAAATTAAGTTAAACATTGGGTATATTTTTTGTTTGAATAAAATGGCATTCGAATGGTTTGAAAAACAACGTGACAAGTGGATTCATAATCTGAAAAGTTAAAGACTTAAATAGAACGAACAATTCTTTGGTTAGACGTTGAGTTTAACTCAGAAATGTTAGAATAATTACAATAAGTTTCGACAATGCTCGTATTATTTTTATTGGATTTTTTTATATATTGGTTTTCAGTAAAACCTTCTATTGAAAAGAAAAAGAATTTGAATTTACGTTGGAAACCATCATCCCTGTGTATAAACCTTCACCAATCAATCACAACTTAAAACCAAATTGTCTAACTTAAAAAAGAGAATATCTGACTAAGTACAACATTAAAACCATACCCTTTCCTTCTTCCATTCTCACGATTCGGCGTCGGCCCAACTCGACGATTCGTCGCGCTCGTCGACACTCCGGTTACCGTGCTTCGTGTTCGCGTATTTCTCGAAAATGGTGACGACGCCGGTGTCGGCGCTGTCGATGACGTCGACGGCATCGAGTTCGCAACGACAACACTGTAAATTACGCGCGACGACATCAAGAAATCATTAAAATAAAACACAACAGCAAGTACAACGGCACAATCGACGGCACAGAAATATGCGATGCGAAGCGAAAAACTACTCGAAACACGCATTCGATTCGTTTCTTGTTTTGTTTTGATTTTTAAGTTGCTCCAAAGGTTTTGACGGTTGATTATACACATAATTAACATTAGTTTCAACGGGTTAAGGTTTTGAACAAAAAACATAACTCGGTGCCGGGTGCTGGTAAAAAGAAATAGTGAAGGCTTCGTGTGCACGTTTTTTTCATTAATAATACCAACATTTTCTTTTTTTTATCCTTGTGATTCTCAGTTGATTCAGCATCGTTTGCAGTAGAATCTTCAATTGGATCCGACGCTTCCGATCCAGCAGTGGCAGGATACAGCAGTTCTTCTTGAGTGGCAGTATGACGACGGACCTTGTAGTGTTGCAGAGTATGAGAATCCTCTGAGAAACGGTATTCGATGGAAAGTCCAAACAATATAACTACCAATGACTGAAGGAGAAACACTTCTCTGAAGGGAATTCTGCGATGACGTTCGACTCTTGCGTAATTCGGACGACACGACTCCTTCAATATCATCGACTGAAAACCGTCAATCGTTTTTGATTCATTACTAACTATTCGATATGTAGACAAAAAAACTTAATCTTAAAAAAAACCCTCTTGATTGTATTGTTAGGGTTTCTCGAAAACTTAAATTACCAACAATATATATTTTTTAATTAAACGTTTTTCATAGAGTCGAAAAACTGAAACAAAAACCCACTCGGTTGACCTTTTCGTCCTTTTGTTTTTCTTTTTTTTTAACCGACTATAAAGTTGTTTCTAGCTCGTCTTGTGGTTTTTCCTAGGTACACCCACCCCCCAAAATGGTCACACCCGAATGTCTTTTTTTAAATTTGAAATCTCACAAAATTCCTACCGAGATTCTTGTCTTCAATAATTGAGCTCAGAAGTTGTTCTTTCAATGACGACTGCTGCTCCAATTGTTCGATGCGCGCCTTCGACTCCTGCAAAATCGAACACTATCTTTTTGGTTTCTCACTTACAATCAGCATTGTTTGCTATTCGATTAAAATTCTTCGATCATAGAAATATTATGAAAAAATGTTTGCTATTTTATAAAACTTATTGAGATGTTGTTCTATCTGATGCACTTTTTCTCAATTTTAAACTCAAAAAATCAAGAAGGCCGCTGATTCTTACATACTTGACTTCGTTTAAATGCACAACTTTTTTTTTATGAATATGCAGCTGCTCCTAAATATTTCGCAAATAACTAAACAATGATCGTTTGATTTTTCACCTAGCCAATTGTGGTGAAATTGAATGAATTGGCATTCAAGTAATTAAGGTGGTCCTTCTAAATCTCTTGTGGTATTATTTGTGAAGTACAAAAAATGTTTTTTAAAAAATGAATTTTTTCGATTTTGAACATTTTCATTTTTTTTTTTAGCATTTCTTTTTGCACGAATAGATTTATTAACAATAAATAGATTCAGAAGTTCGTGATTCGTTTAGCGAAATGATAATCATCCTAAAAGTATTATTTTTCCCCAATGTATGTAATGCAGATCTCTTGGTATGAATTCACATGCTTCAGCGGTTTTTTTTCTTAAAATTGTTTTTATTTCCTCAAGGGACACTTTTCTCGAAACATTAAAAATTCAGAATGACTAATGTTAAACGGATACTTCGAGTTCAAAGTTCTTTTCAATCATTTAGTAATCTAAATTTGATTTATAAATTGTAAAGATTTTTACCGTCAAAACAAGCGCATTTCCAAGCCTAGTAACAATAGGTGCAACGTCACGAAATGCGCTTTCATGTTTTTTGATCATGCGACAACAATTACGGGCTCGAGTTGTTTTCGTACGACGACTTCAACTCGGAATATTCAAATAATGAATTATTCTATTCATTCCATTTGGCAATTGTCACCAAGTGGGTACCACCAAAGAATTCGACACCTTTGTTTTTTCGGTTAGCCACAAAATTCTCAAGCAAATAGTTAAAGAAAAATAATAATACAATGATTTTTAAAAGTTTTGATTTCGAAATTTCTCGGCTCTATGGACCCTCAATTGCAATTTCGACTAAATCTGTAATCGTACACAACTCGAGCGAGTAACCTGAATAAACAATCTCGCCAATTTTCTACGAATCAACGAACAAAGTTTGTTTTTGACTGACTCGCCCTCCTCACATTTTCCCATGGGATTCGGACACGAAATCTGATTTCGTGTGTTTTGAGAAGCGAACGTACAAAACCAGCCAAACGCGTAAATACTGCGCACATCTTCAATTTTAGACAATTTCTGAGCGTCAGAAAGCATTCAAATACACGAGAGCAATTTCTTTTGCAGCTTTTCTACCATATTCGTTCGGATGCTCAATTTTTCTGCTGCTCGCGACAGCTTCATTAACTCATGTCGTCAATTCAACAAGAACATCATTTATTCTCAAATTTTTCTCTTCTCCTCATGCTTTTCTCGTTCAAGTGCTCCAACGAAACTCGAATTTTCTCAGACAAAAAATCACAAAATTGTTGAAATTCCCGTCTGATTTATTCGTTCTTTGAATCAATTATCCATTTTTGTTATTAATTGGATTAGATTATAATCTCGTTTCGTTTTTAGTATTTTTAAAATAAAATTCTAAAAATAACCGAAATCCGAACTCGCGAATTCAATAGATTTGGGAACATTCATGAAGGCAGCCTGGTTTGAAAAGAAATGACCTCTCGCCGAGAAAAAAAAGACTCCTTTGAAGGGAGCATCGCGTGCCCCGCGTGCATTTCCGGAATCACCACCTATTGGTGTTTGATAGACCGAATTTCTACAAACCACTCAAACGCACAACAAAATTTAACAATTGCAATATTCGGATTACTTATTTTTCTCATAATAGTCGTTTGACGAATGTTCATTTTTTGTTTCATTTTTTAAATTTCCCAAGGAAAAAGTAACCGCCAAAATATTTTTATCCATAGGTTAAGAAATAATTTTTTTCGAATTGGCACACGCAAAATAATTTTCTCATTTTGCTCGAACTAATTTTTAGAATTTCTTATTAAATGTGGGAAACTAAAGGATAAAATACAGTATCGTTGTTTTCTATTAATTTCCTCAATTTCCTTCCATTTACAATCGCTTTTATCCCCGCTTCCTGTTAATATTTCCCACTGTCTCTCAAAGTACATCGCTTTTTAGTTTTCCGTAACACCACGATAATTCGTCGAACGTCAGGCGGACGAATGTTGCCAGACAACACTCTTGGCGCCTCGCATCCTATTTATGGACCTTGCCAAATTTCATTTCTGTGGATTTGCGCGCCTCCTATTCTCCTCAACGCGCAAAGCACGCGAAAAAATGAAGACTTGACACTGGCTCGGAATAGAAGAAATAAGCGAACAAACATCTCATCTCATCTCTCTTATTTTTTCCCATCACACAATACACAAACACACACACGCACATTGGCCACAATCAATTCTATCAATTCGATTTCAAACTTTAAATGTTCCTTCTTTCGATCGTTCCAAAGGGTGTTTTGCTCTTCTTCTACTATGAATGAGAAGAAAGAAAGGACGAATGGAAAAAAGAAACAAATTCGAAATTCACCTAACAAACAAATTTCTTTGTGGAAGAATGGAAAACCTAACTGAAAGCTTCTAAATTGACTCGTTCGAAATACTCGAGAGGCTATTCTTGACTATGACGAGCAATTGAGAATTTTTTTTCGTTTCAGAGCAAAACAGCAAATGAGCTTGCGAGACAAGAAATATGTATATACAAAAAAAAACTCGAAGGATATGCTTTCCATTCATTTCATTTCCCCGTTTATTTTGAGCCGCGTTTTCCTATGGGGCCAATATTGTGTTTCCAACACCAGCATGGTCAAAGATTCAATGGGGCGACACGCACTCCCCGCAAACACATATAACATCTTCAATTCCCGGCTCACCACCGCCACCACCACCATCGTCTCAATTTGTTCCAGTAACAACCTCTGCCGTGTCGCAACCACTAAACATTATTGGGGGCACCGAATCTCTCTTGGGATGCGCGTTTTTTTTTTCAACAAAACATAGGTTTAGTCATATTTCGGAAGGAAACTACCATTTCCAGTCAAAATCGAATGATGAGTTTCATTTCCGGATTTTATTGCTGTTTTGTGAGTGACATCATTTCCAAATAAGTTGTATTGTGCGAAATGCTAATTCTTGTCTATTTTAGGTATTTTAAAAGGAAAATTTGAAAATCATGCCAGATTGTTTGGCTTTTAATTGTCTAGAAAAAGTTGAAAAAAGATTGCAAGCTTTTGATAAGAGAGAGAGAGAGAGAGAGAGAGAGAGTGTGTGTGTGTGTATGTGAAGATCTTTAAATCAAGATATGAATGTTGCGACTAGTTGAATCTAATCTAAATGCTCCAAATATTGTAGTTCCTCATTCGAATAAAATTGTTTGGCAAAAATATTCTAAAATTAATAATAGCCTGCAAATAAAAATCTGGAGAAAAGAATATTTTAAGAGTTGAGTTTATGTAAACACTCATCATTATATTTTCTCTCGTAAAGTAACAAAAAATTATTTAAAATATTTTTATTCGAAATCTGCTAAACTTGAAAAAAAATCGGCAATTTAAATCAGCATCTCAATCGGTTCTCATATATTTTATGATTTTCACTGGACATCTCGAACTAGACAAACTAGACATCTCGAAAAACTAGCGAATTTGCTCCCTAACGGTGTTATTCAAATCATCTACTCTAATTTTCATCTCTGATCACATATTAATGAGCTTTTTATGTGTAAATAAGCGTTATTTTTATATTGGATTAGGTTTAATTGAAAACGTGTTAAAATTGAAAATGTGAGAAATTGATCCCTTCTAGAGAGTCTGCTCATCAGTCAACAATGAATTCTTCGCTGCTTACAAATGTATAAGTTGCCATCTTTAAACGATCGTATAAACACTTTGCAACGATTCCGTTCATCTGCAGCATTCCAGAATTCGGCATTCATTGAATATTTCACGAAATAAATCAAAAGTTCAACAATGCCAAATATCCTACTTGGAAGCAATATTAAACCCAATATTGAAACTACATCCTCCTGGTCCTTGTCTTTCCATCTTCATTTTTTTGACGAGAAGATGATGTCATGATATCACGGGACCACCCTTTTCGGAAATCCTATATATCGGCATGCCCAATCAAATAGCTCCCGCTCTACATTGTCCTCATAAAACATTTACCCTCAGGTTGCCCCCCCCCCCAACCCCTTCTGAAAATGTCCACCACTTCTTACCACAAATTACTCATTACGAAAACAGACGAATTAACCTCGAGTTGTGTTGACACTTTTTTTCGTCGTTATTCATTAAAATCATTCAATTTTTCTACAAAAATATCAGTTTCAATTTTCATTTATTTGCTCGGTGCTTTTTAACTTTTCAACCTCAAAAAGAAGGCACCTCTTTAATCATTCAACTAAAATTGAATGAATATGGCCGATCAGTGAACTTCTCTATTTCCTAACATGTTTATTACTTTTGGCAAATGAATGAGGATGTTTGATCGAAATGATTCCATATTAAAATAAGTAAACAAAGTATGTCTTTTTTGTCACGTAAATAAAAGGTGCATTTAGAAAATTAAAAAAGAAAAAATCGCTGTAATCTGACAAAAGCGCATTAAAGTTGAATGAACTACTAGAATGCTCGACCCAAATAGAGTTCAAACGTGGAACGTAAACTCTTGCGAAGAAAACGTCTTCTTGATTTACAATAGCCTATTCGTTATTGTACGAAGACCCAGTAATTATCATTTGTGTTTTGAGCCGCTAGTTTTTTTTCTCGACACACTTCTCTCCGCCTTTTCCCCAAAGTGTCAAGAAGAGCCCACCTTGTTCTCCGCCTCGTTTTTCGTCGCAATCGCCGCTTTCTCAAGGCACAAATCGAACAGGTGTTGCATCAAATATCTGCAAGAAAAAAGACGTGTCGTCCTGAGTGGGACCGGGTAAAAAATAGATCGCAATTCGGCTCAACCGCCGCCGATTGCACCCCATAACTTACTTGGCTTCGGTGATGGTCTCGCAACCTTCCAAAATCTTCTCGACCGTATATTTCTTGAATTCGCCGAGCTCCTCTTCATCCTCATCGTTATTGCCCTAAAACCCATTCCTATATCAAGAATTTTCTTTGTCTTTCAATTTATTGTAATTCGTCCTGCTCTAATTGCAGTCATTGTCAATTCTTTCTTTTTTTCGTTTTCTTCTTCCTTGGAACACAGAGTAAGAAAAACCCTAATCTGAGAAGAGAAATAAATAGCATCCAACACGCACCAAAGACCGAAACCATTCTAATTGATGGGGTTCTTTCTCAACACTAACGAAAAGAAGGTCTCCTGTTATTATTATTAATATTTTTTTAATAATTGTTGTCTCCCAAATTAATACAGACTCCTTAGCCAACTTGAGAATATTCTAATTTTCACAAATAAAAAAATGCAGACTGAAAATTAAAAATAATCCCCCTTCGACTAAATACGCCCCCTTCCAGTTGTTTTGTTTATTGCGTTCGCTGCTCTCTACCGAAAAGGACACCTACATTAGGACACCCCAACTTTTCAAGAGCATCACGAGATGAGCTTTTGGTATTTCATGTCCTCACAGTACAATTTCCTGCTATTTTTTTTATTTCGCAATTAAAATCCCGCTTTTCTATTAGAGTGAAAGAACAAACGCAATATTGGCATTGATTTCCCACAATTTCGCGCCAGTTGTAATGGCGTTTGTAAGTAGGCCGTTTGAGGCGAATTTACACCAGCTGGATGTCGTACACTAGGTATATGCCGTTGTTGAACAAAAATTGAATGCCGGGTTTTGCATTTCAAAAATTCGATTACACAATTTCAGTTTCTGTTTAAAACAAAGTGCATCAAATCTAATTATGAGAGCGCGTTGAATTGAATGAAACAACCAAATTCTACTTTACCAATTTTTCTAGTCAATCGGATTCAGACCGCCGCGAAAATCTCAACCCATCATCACCGCCATCATGCTCTTCCATCACACAGCAAAAGGCGAAAAAAAAACCCGAGCGCAACACGAGAAGGAGCACGACAAGATGGGTTTGAGATAATGAGAGACGAATCACATTGTTTTCGAGTCGACCCTCTTCGTTTCTCTCATCTTCTCCTCCGTTTCCTGCTTCTTCTTCATCTTCTTCTCCACCACCCTCGCTTCCCATATTTAACAGAGAGAAAAGTGGAAGAAGCATGGCGTCTCTCACTCGAACATGAAAGATAGGATATCTGTCACAATACGTCGTGGTCTGCCGTGGCTCAGAGACCGTCGAAAATATTATACATGTAGATGTATATAATTGAGTGCGGCCGTGAGCACTACGACCAATTACATTTGTTGCTTTCTTTTTTCGGCCGCCCCTCCCCTTTTGCTACTCATGTGTGTATGCGACATTTTCATTTACCAACTTATGCATATTTTCTATAGCCTACTTTGCAAATTGTTTGATATTCTCGCGTTTTTAAGTAGTAATTCTCATCAAGCGCATAAAATGCAAACATTCTCCTGAAAATGCTATTAGAATTTTTCTCCGATGCTCATAGCTAAGACCAAGGGTTACTGTGGTTAGCTTACTATAGGAGCATCGAAGGATTAGTTATAGCAAAATTGCAAAATGGCTAATTAAAGTTCTCAAACTAGTAGATTCTCGATTCTCGACAAAGATTAAGAGATGTGATTCCGCTTTATCCGAGATTAAACTCGAACAACTTCAAATCCGGCTCACGGCCAGAAATTTCATTTAATTCCATACATTATCGAGCCACCAAAACATTTCTTCGTTTTCGTAAAAAAAAACCAATCGATCATTAAACATTTTGCTCTCGCCTCACGATTTTTAATCACTTGGCTCGATCAATCGGGTACACGATGGAAACAGCCGTGGCGTGCTATGTTTCATGTTTCTCAAATCCAATCAGATGGATGAGCACACGCGCGAGAAAGCGCGCATCCCCGCAAAAGAGTTTCGCTATTGAATCACCCTGATTTGGTATCAAGAGCCGCCAACAATTACACATTTGCGTGTTGCGAACCCAACGAAGCGGAAACTCGAAAGAAAAGCCTTTTACTATTCGTCTCACATTTTCGGCTCCAAGACATTGAAAAGAAGCGCATATCTTTTTTCACATTCAACGCCCTTTTTTCCTATTCGATTATAACCATTTCTATTAAATGGAACGAAGAGTGGAATCGACGTCTTCTCGAGAGACTGACATTGACATTCCTCAGAACTCGTTGGTCGCTTCCATAATGTTGTCTACCCGCAACCTATTTTCGTATACAATGACTCTCGTCGTTTTAAGCACCCAAGTAAACTTGCCCAATTTATGCAAAATTGGCCTTGTTATTTGCTCCCCGATGCTTATTGGTCTTTCGCTCTGTCGCCTTCCTGTTTTTTCTTTCTGTGTCTTTTTTTTGGCATGGGCCTCTTCCCTCTTAAAAAAAAGTCATTTGTATACCACTTTTTTTTGCTTTTCACCCCGCTTAAATCTCCCGTCGATTAATCCCCTAATGAGCAGAGTGCGCGCTGTCGCGCTTCCAAGAGCATTCGATTTGAGCCGCTTTTCGACTAATTGGCTTCAAAAAACTACCCCCTCCCCCCATTATGTTCATTGTTTTTTACGCTCCATCATTCTCGTACTAAAGGAAGAAAAAGGCGCAGGTCGCCAGCTAAAAAAAGAAATGAAATAAGAGGAGAAACCAAAACATCATGGTTATCCATCATTTTGAAAGCGTCTGGTCTTTCAAAAATTTTCGAAATCGTCTCACTGTGTTGCAGTTTAACGAAGAAAATGACACCAACGACCCGAACTTGATCTCTCGTCTTTTGAGCAAAAATCTGACGATGAAAAACCTAGCACATAACTCGACACTACATACACTACTTGTATTTCCCCTTCACTAATTATCATCGAGAGTTTTTAATAAGATGCTATTTTTAATAAGATGATAAGATGCTCATGTGGTTCGAAGGTTCATTAGCACGTGCGTATGTTTCCGGTGCATAATAAGGTTTCCCAACAAACAACATGACGTCTCTGAAATTGCAGCAGCAAACGAAGATTAAATACGTTTCGAATTGTTTATCCACACTACTCTCCTCATTTATTATCAACACATTCCCACTCATGAGTTCTCCTAATCCGGTGAGGTGCCAGCCATAAGTCTCAACGATTATCAAGCGTGCATCCAATTTTTTTTCGCTTTTTTTTTCATGAAGCTATTTCGCTTAATGCTCGAAATTTAAATAATTCATGAATATTTTAATATTCTAGCAACAAGCTCCATCAGTCAAGTCAACCGATTAATACAATCATCTACCCATAAAAATAATGGCATCAGGCGAGAAAAGGTCGAGCTTATTGGGAGAAAAACGCGCGAGCGTCCAAATGAAGGTAATTTCAAGCTTAATCCTATTGATTACATAGTTTCTATCAAATTTCAGACAAGTTTTTCAAATGACGCTTATAAGACACCGATCAAGCAGATTCTCACAGCTCCATCACAGTCACATTCTCGAAAAACTCCCTGTGGTCAGGTTAGTCTAGACGGTTTAATGGAAGAGCCATTCGAGAGATGAAAAAAAAATTAAAACGGAAATCCAAAAATACGCTTTCTCGTTTAATTCAAAATTCGGATTCTCGGTGGTTGAACGGAAATATAATTATTTGCTTAACTGAAGAAATATAGCAAATCGAAAAATAAAAGTAATATCGGGAAATTAATCGGAACTCTTTCCGGTTCATCAAATTTCCGGATATAACAATTCCAAAAAAGAAATTTTTTGTTTAAAAAAAATTTTCGAAAGTTGCACGAATGCGGCCTACAACGACCGGAACTAATCGACCGATCAACGTTCCACACAGCAATTTTTCAGCTTTTCCTGTGTGCCATGGGAGTGATACTTAGCGTTGCAATTTGCATTTGGGCAGCCGCGTTCAGCCGTGAAACTGGATGGCGGAAAGCGATATTCGTGTCCGCCGCAGCGTTCGTCGCACTTCTGTTCACATTGCTCACAGTCATGACGTTTAAGAGAGCCAAGAAGTTAGTTCAATCATCGTTTGAAGCGATGCATCTAATTAATTTCAGCCCGCCAGAGCCGGAGACATTGCCTGACCTTTCGCAGAGAAGGTCAACAATCGGAGCGCGAATTAGTAAGCGCTCGATCGCCGCTGGAATGACCGGAGATGATATTCCAACACAAGTCAGATAGCGATAATCAATTCACAACAATCACAATACCACATTTCAGGTTCTCGTTCAAGGCGCCCGAGGTTCAATCAATTCATAAGCATTTTTCTACAATAACAAAATATCGCCAACTCATTTCTCTGTTTCCGTTTGCTGCGAATTTTCTATTAAACCACGCGGCATTCTGCTACTCGGGTAGAGATTGAAATCAAATCCCCCCATCCCACGCAAAATTTTAAATAAATCAGCGTTTTCACTTTTAATTTTCTTCCATTTCTTGACAACATAACGATTTTGAAACAAAGATAATTGAATGTTTTTTTTTGTCTGTATAACTCGGCGTCCCATATTGTCCATAAAAATACTACTAATACTACGATATAAGGAAGGGCACATTTCATATCGAGCATTTTGAAGTGAATTGTCTTTTCTTCCCTTGTTTTCTCCCGACTTTATCTAGTTTGCTTTATCCCTCCGACACAAAATATACAATCCAAAATTAACCTATTTTTTAACTCATTTTTTTTGTATTTTGAATTTCTTAAATAAATCAAAAAGTACCTGCTGATCAACATCGACAATGAGTTTTTGTTGATACGTGATTTGATCTTGAACATATTGCAGCTTCTCTTTGGCACTGTCAATCACTTCGAGCAGTCCGTCACGATAAATGACGTTTTCACTTTGGGTAAAAGCTTTTTCCTGTAAATCAAATAAAAAATAATAATGCGCCAACGAACTAAGTACGATTTTGCTAAACATATGTAACAACGTACCAATTAATTTAAATAAAAACCAATCGAAAAATCGGAAACTTACATTTTCAACAATTTCAAGCATTAGATTGTGTCTTTCCTTCAAGTATCGTTCAAGTTCTTCTTCCATAATTCGAATAGTCTGCCGTTTTCTCACGCACTCTTCGATCTAAATAATTATACAGTTAAAAACAAAGGGTAATTTTAATTAAAACTTTTCTCTCTAAGGCGTTCCATTTAAGTTTTGCTTGCTTCGGTGAGAAACTCAGTTCTTTCAAATTTCTGACGGCAGCAGTTCGAGCAGCTCTCGAGCTGGCAACCGGAGTTCGAGCCACTGGTGTTCTTGATGAGGCATTTCCACGAGCAGCAAGTCTGGCAGCCGCAGCAGCTTGAGCCTGAAAAAATGAATGTAATTATCCATTACAACGGATTTTCGAATACCTTCTCCTTTCTCAATTGATTCACTTCAGACGTTGTCTTTTTCAGGAACTGTTCTCTTTGTTTATCCTTCATCTCAAGAGTTCGGATTTTGTTAGCTTGAAGTCTAGAAATGTTAAATCAAATTATTTATTATTTAAACTAGGAGAATAAATAAATTAGATTTAAGAATATGAAATAAAATGAAAAAACTGACCTCGTTTGCTTCTCCTTCGTAGCCATTGCGCGAGCTTGGGCCTGCATGAGCTGTTTCTGCTTCTTTTTATCTTCATTCATCTTTTTGATGAGCTCCACCTAAACAATAAATACTTGACATACTGGCATGTTTAAACGTCTATGCCTTCGCTTTTTTCAAATCCACCACTTCAGACTTCAATCTCGTTTTCTCCTGAAGCTCGCGCTGGCTCTTTGCGATCACTTTCATGTGTTCCTTATCAAGAGCTTCAATCTTCTTCAGCTCCTTTCGTAGATCGGTGATTTTGCGTTCATACTCTTGTTTGATATTTTTAAGTTGTTCATCGCTCATTTTGCCGCCTTTCGCCTTTCCGCCTTCGGTGAGCACACGATCACGCTCCGATTCAGTTTCTTTGATTCGATTCATCAATTCGCGAAGCTTTTTCTCATAAGTTTCTCGAATTTGTTGATTTTGACGCTCAGCGCGCTCAAGTTGATCAATAAGCCTTAAATAAAACTTGTGAGAGAAGAAAACATTGCATTTTTACTTTTCTTTAATATCGAGTTCCACCATAACCTCGTGAAGATCAATCTGATGAGCTTCCGATGCTACAAAAAATTTAAACTTTTGAAAATTGCAAAAATTTCAAACCTTGCTTGCTTTTCTCAAGCTCGTCATCAATCTCATCGTCGGACTCTTCATCCTCAATCTCATCAGCATCATTGCTAGTTCCATCTTCATCACCGGTATTCATCGACATTGAAGAGTAATCCGAAGTTGAGCCGTCTAAATATGTATTGATTTTAAACAGAAAGAACAAAACTCATACAATATGAATAGATTTTTATGCATTCGTTTTTTCGCTACAAAAAAAGAAAAGATGATGAGCAACGAATATATAATGTTTGGTGATGAACTCATAAAACATTCGGGACCTCCATAAATTAAGAAGGCGTGTTTTAATAAATTTTTATGATTTTCACGAGACTAGAAACGCTAGTTTCGCATAATCACAACTATATCTACAGATGCAGCCCACGGCCGCCGATTATATTTATTAAAAAAAAATAAAGCTTACTTTCAACAGTCATCGATGCGAGCATTTTCCGCTGATTTTCGATATCTTGTCTGGCCATTTCAATCAATTTTGTGCTGTTGTAATCTTGAACTCCTCGATTTCCAGCCTGAAAATAAAATACATATGTATATATAATTTATTTTTGAAGAAAATATTTATTATTATATTACCTGCGCCTTCCATCGGTTGTTCTCTTTTCTCAGTTGATCGCACGTCGACTGCGACTCATACAATAATGATTTAGTTCGTTCGAGCTCTTCCAAATACTTTCGGAATGTGGCTTGGATCATTTCGTCGCCACCTTCTCCGCCTTCCGTTGAAACTCCACCAAGGGCAGCCAATTCTTTTTCTGATTTCAATTTCACGTTTTCCGTTCTTAGTATTTCAGCTGTTTCTGTCAATGCTTTCACACGGAATCGCAAATGGTTCACTTCTGACTGAAAAACAAATGAATGAATACATTAAAAAAAAAACAATAATTCATACCGTTAGGTAGACATTTTCGTGATATTGATCATTAACGACCTCGTTTCCTTCAACATCGACGGTTCGACGACCTTGTTTAAACTCGAGCAATTCCGCTTCAAGAGCAGCGATTCGGCCTCGCAGCTCTCCTATCATCTTCGATGATTTGTCCTGATTGGCAACCACCTTGTTCTTAATTTCCTTGGCGCGATTGGCATATTTCATGGTGTTCAGTGTTTCAACAAAATCACTGTCACTCGGAGAGCAACAAGCAATCATAAGCGTTCGACTAAATTAATAATCATGGTCATTTCAAAAATAAACACAACGAGCAGTTAATAATCTACCTGTTTCCGCCTAGTGAATCCTGCAGAAGTCTTGTCAATTTCGAATCACGGTATGGCACATGAGATACTTTTCCATTCGCTCCACCGAGTGCAGCGATGACATTTCCAAGTGCCAACTAAAGCCACAAAATAACAAAAATTGTTTAAAAAAATTTAAAACTAACCAATCCAACGTTGATACTAATTCCTTCTCTTGCTCTCTCACCAGTTGCTCCAGTCCTTTTCATTCTTTCCGAACCAGCCAAATCAACAAAGTGAAATTTTGCACTGAGAACTTCCATTTCAGTTTCACCCTAAATTATAATAGATTAATGTTATTGATAGGGTATTACATACAGGTTTCACAACGGATTCTCCACTTTCATCCATTGCAGCTACAACTCTTTGCTGTTTTACATGAAGCGTGAAAATCGCGTGCGATCGAGAAGATTGCTCATTCATATTGGTCGCTGCGACCGTACGATTGAGAGCACCATTTTTTAAAATTTCCATAGTCTAAATTAAAACATATTGCTAATAAATATCGTCATAGAATTTTTACCCCATCTAAATCATGAACAGTTCTTTGTTCCACTCCATGAAGCACAATTTCGCCTCGATTATCCTCATGAATTCGAATATTTGAAGAATTGTTTCGATCGTCGGAGAGAAGATCAAGCACATCATCATTATAGAGTTCCACAAACTGTACAGAAACTTCAAATGATGGTTCGAGAATTCCTTTTTCAAGTGCTTCTGCCTGAAAAAAAATTAAATTGCAATAGGGCAATAAGTATGAATTCGAACTTTGCATTCCGCGATTCTTCTGAACGTATGATGAATTGCTCTGGGAATTACACCAAGATCTTGCTCTTGCTGTGTGACAACCGTATCGAATGCTGTTCCCATTGTGTGGGTTTTACCCGATCCCGTCTGTCCATATGCAAGCACGGTGGCATTGAATCCATCGAACAGTCCATCGACCAACTTCTGCACACATGATTCGTAAACGACGTGTTGAGGTGTCGGCTGATCAAAGACATAATCATAAGTGAACGAGCGATCGCCTCCAATGATGACCTGCGGTTCATTGGGAAGCACCGAAGTGCAAACACGACTTCCTTCGAGCTTTTCTCGATTACCCTGCGGCCGAATTCTAAAATCATTTTGTTAATGCATAAAGAAAGATATTTTGAGTTACCGCAAGGCAACCTGTACGCAGGTATCCTTTGCTCCAGACGTATCCATCTTATCAGGCCATGTGGTTAACTCGAAGCTTTCTGAAATAAAAAAACAAATTTATTTCAGCAACATGTCGAAGCAAAGACAAAGAAAAACAAGAAAGAATAATCACAGAATAAGAAATAACAAGAAACAAGAATGAATTAGAACAGACGTAACGATGAATATGTATAAAAAATAAAGCGTAGAAAAAGAGGTTATTTGAGAAAAAAATATTCAAGCTAATGCGACAAGGCGTCGGCCATTGTCACTAGTTTTCTCGAGAGCCCATTCCGTTTCAACGGTGTCAACAGGAATCTGAAGGTTAAATTCGCACGAATTAAAATTTTTACAATACCTTCCTAATGGTTGATCTGTAATACTGGTAGTTCAGAATAGCTTTGCATAATTGATAATATCCAAATTCTGGCCAAAGGACATCGGTAAAGTAAATGTGCGTAGTGGCCGATTGCCACATTAGGAAGTCGGAAAGACGGCATTCGCCGGAAGTGCGAACAAACAAATCGACCGGCAATCCTGTGCCGCTATCCAAACACGCATCAATCATTTTCTCATCAATCTGTAATGCGATGCGTTTAATTCGATGGTTACACAACGAACAAACGAACGAACATCATCGATGGCGACGTTGCCCAGTTTGACTTGTTGGCGAATCGTCTCAAAACTACGTGCAATTTCATCGCGCGACGTGTACGGCATACACACGTTTAATCTCGCTGAATCATAATCTTTTGTCGCTTCCTCGATGTCATCCATCAGTTTGCATAAGCGAGCAGATAACAGTTTGCGGTTGCCGTAAAACCGGAATGCAATTCGTTTCTCCTCAAGCTTCTCGTTGTCATTAAGCAGCTTCTGGAACTTCTCTTCTGCTAATCGCATGAGCCCACTAACCTGAGAATAGGGTCATTTCGAGAGAAAATCATAATGGTTAAATGGGTACCTCTTCCTCACTTCTTTTAAAATTTTCAATGCTAAAAGCATACACTGTAATTTCCTTGATTCCAAATCGATTGCACCAATCAAGAACTCGAGCAAGTTGAACAAAACCCTGAAATCGCGACAAATTAGCACAAAATTTTCCTTATTTTAAAAATGTCGTGAGGGCAACCATCACTTCCCTATTCAGATACAAAATCAATAGGGTGATAAAGATTTCTCCAGAAACAATCAAATCGAACCTTTTCATGTCCTCGAATCACGTTTCCCAAGTGTTTTGTTTTCGCATATCTCCGATTTCCATCCATAACAAATGCGACGTGACGCGGAATTGGACCCGAGCTGATCAGCATCCGTATCATCCATTGCCACCAAGGTTGTGCGTCTTGTGCCACAAACCATCCAGCCTCTTCTTCGCTTGTCAACTCCGCCTTTTTCGACATTCTTTTTTATGCAAAAACAAGAGTGAAATCAAAGTAAAAGTGCGAATGCGGCCAAGAACCGGAACGTGAATGTATCGCATGAATATTAATGAGATCCTTAGTGCACGGCATTCACAAAACAGACAAAAGATAGCATAATGCATACGTATTATGGTCGTCAACATAAAAGTAGTAATAGAATACACTCAAAACGAATAAAAATGATTTCGGAAAATGTTGTGTCGAAAATCGGTTCAATTAAGAAAAGAGAACAATGAAGACCACCACCGCAACTCCTTTCCGTCGGTTTTTTTCGAACTTCAAGGCCGACAATGCCAGATGACGAAAAGAGTTGAGAGGGAGACACCGCCGCACACTAATGAATATAACTTCATCTCACATGTTCATTTCTTTTTCTTCGTTTAAAGTTGATTTCGAACAAAAAATCGGAGACACGGTTTCTATCGATTCAATTTTATGGGCCATTAATCAGTCACAGACCTCCTTTGAAGTTTATCGTAGAGTTATTTAATAACGGTTACAAGATGAAAAAAGTGATACACAAAAAAATGAAGACGATGAACGTCTTTTCAAAGATTAAAAAAAATCAAAACGATATGTAAATAACCTACTCAGCGTAATGCAAAAATTGACGAAGTAGTCATTTTTGCGTCAAATATGATAATTTTTACGTTAATACATTGGCTAAAAATGACAAATTCGACATTTTTTCAAGCACTGAGTTGATTCATAAAGTAAAAACGCAATTAAATTGGCACATGTTGTTAGGATGTTTGATGAAGAGATTGAATCATGTTTATGACGTCGGGAACGATTGATTATATACGCTTGCAAAAAAGGCAACATAAATAAAAACCCGGGAAAAACCACAAACCGACAATTGACTCAAAAATGATGCGCAGAGAAATAGACGATTGTTCGGTTTTTGCGCTATCGGCATATCGAAATGCAAAAAAAACACAGAAACGTAAAACTGTTTGCTTAATATAACTATTATTTTAAAAAAGCGTTATGATGTATCGATTACAATGAAAAAAGGACGGCGAAGATTGCGAAACCCGTGTGGATTGGCTGCATTCAATCAAAAAAGTGGAAACAAACCGCTTTCATATTTCATGAGGGTCCTGGAAAACCAATGGAAGTTTTTAAAGGACAGCAAACAAAACGGATTATTCAATATTAAATCAATGAGCGGGTACAAAATTGAAAAAAAAATATAAATATGAATAACTAACACATTTTTTTCCATGAGAACATAAAAAGACTTCAATATTTGAATAATTATGGACTAGAAACAAAAAAAATTTAATTCAGAAAAATAGAACAAGCGAATAACAAAATTCTGATTAAATATATTTTTGTGTATGAAAAATTTGAATTTCAATTTTCTGTCAGCAATCTATTTTGGCGGACGAAATGCTATTTATGTGTTCACTTTATATAAAATTACATGCCAAGGACACAAAGCTTCCGAGGCACGCCGCTTTTTCTTTGAGCAGATGGTCAAGAGTCAACGGTGTCGCCATTTAACAGCCATTATAAATTAAACCATCAATGTTTCTAATGATCGAGTTGTAACAAAATGCAATGAGATGAAATTTATATAAAATCAACTGGGAAACTAATACACCACATTGAACCGATAATATAGAAATACGTTAGTGATAAGAGTGGTCGTCGAGGTGTGAATTATTTAAAACAAGGGTTTCTAAAAATTGAGGCCAAAACTTGCCGCCGAGAAACGTGGTGATGCCTCGAGAAGATGATGCTCAATTTAGTGACCTGTACCAGTCGGTCTGCGTCTCATCGAGTCAAACGCTATATCGCAACATCTGTTCCCGTCTGTGTCTAGGCGCGATGGTTACAGTGCACACATATGTGTCAGCCTCATTTTGGGTGTTCGCCTCTCAATTTTATAGCTGGCAAAATCATTCATCATTGATTTTAAGAGCGATAAATATATGTATTAAACGATATAATAATATACGCTGTAAGAGCGAGTGACTTGAGACCACACCTTCAGAAACTGGACTGAATGGTGGAAGAATTGCAGAAATCGTCATTCGAACACCCATTAAAACCGCTTAGATATGGGTTTTTCAGAAATAATAAACTGATTGGAAAATTGCGACACAATAAAAAAAAACACATATAGAAGCGTGTATGTTTAAAGAAAATGTTTCCTGTGACGTAAAGATTAAAAAATAAGTTAAAAATATGAGGAAAAAAATTAAATTTGTTAAAAACTTGTGTGAAAAATTTTGGGGGAAAATATTAGTCCGTAAACACCGAGTAAACTATCCTCAGAATAGTTTGAACATTCCTTGAAAAATTTTTTGCATTATTTCTCTTTTTCGTTTGGTTTTTCATTTATCACACAATGAGTGCTCTTATTAGATGTTGCGTTTCACACGCAATAAGATTTTGAAAGATATAAAGAAGATTTTTAGTTTTTTTTTCATTTGTTTTCTCATAAAAACAATGCTTCTTTTCAATTTACGAGTTCAAAGATCTCTCACGGAGCCGAAGTTCGTTTCACAAAAAAACGAGAATGAGTGTAAAGTAAAAACAGCAATACTACAAAATGGCACTGCATAAAAATTGAGGTAAAAATTTAATTTATTCACACAGAATATGCAGAAACACGTAGACTTTAAAACACCACACAATTTAAGAACAGGCAATAAAGCTTTTTGGCACGAAATTAACTAAACCTCATATTTGATTGAAGGCTATCCACATTGAAACGGAAAAAAATGTTTAAAACAACAATAATTAAGTTATGCGAGGAAAGATCAATGAGAAGCCAGGGCGAAAAGCGATTTCAGAGCTGGTAAAAATGAAGAGACTTCAACGAAATCACTTGAATTTCGAGCTAATTGTCCAATCGATGCTTGCGCTTCCCTCAATTGCCCATTTGATGCGATAAACGCGATATGATTCAACAATGTCTTCGATTCGGCTGTTAACTGAAATTTAATTCTAACATCAAAATGTTAATTGCGCAATTTTACTCTGTTTTGAGCCAATCTTAATCCTAACTCAGCTCTGATTCGACTTTTCAAAGTGCTCGCTTTTTCCGCTTTTCCCTAAAAAATATTTTTTTAAAGTTCATCATTTCGTAATTCTTCATAATAGAGTACCGGTGCTCGAGCATTGTCAATAATCCATTGAGCCATCGTTTCAATTGGTCCTAATATTTTTTCGTCTTCAGCTGATAACTGAATTGGTGCAACAGGTTGTGGAGCATTGGTGACTGGAGAATATGACGAAGATGTGACAGTTGATGGTGGTCCCGAATTCAGCGACATATCTGAAAGGATACGATTTTTCAAGTCAATTGAAATTCTATACTCTGCATTTGGTTTTGAAGGGGAGCTAACGGACGAAGTGGAACAGGTTGAACAAGAGGATGCATTCCGCCAGGAACGTTAGGCGCATCCAATGGTTTCCAATTCACTTGCATCACATTTGCTTTTTTAACTTGTTTCGGTGCTAATGGAGGTGGATCATTCCATCCCGATTGTATTGTTGCCGGCGGCTTTTGAATCGGAGCGTTGGTGGTCAATGGAGGCTAAGTTTGCTATAAAATCTCAGAACAAAAGTATGATTTACCGGTGTTTGATTCCATGATTGATTTTGGTAGAACATTGACGAAGGAGGCATGGGTACTACGTTCGAGCTGCGACGATCGGCGTACGCCGTTGGTGGCGCTGGTGGTGGGACTTGTGATGAGAACCGTGAATTGTACGGGCCCATGTTTTGTGGTTGAAAAGTTGGTTGCAACTAAAACAACAAGTTGATGTCGCATGTATGTACTTTTACAAAAAAAAAACACCTTTGGAGTCGGTGGTGGTTCTGAAACCCAAGGATTCTTCGGTTCCGGATCTCCAGTGCAGTCTCGTCCTCCACAAGCAACATAAAGAGTGTGCCGAAGCTCAATGAGTTGCTCATCTGTTGTTTCATTCATATCGGAAACCATTTTCCACGCCAGCTCCGCTAATCCGTTTTTCATCAATTTTTCTCCATAGGAAAGAATAGCCTGTAAGATTTACTCAAAACAATTTGTGTTCACAATTTTTTACGAACCTTCTCAAAATTTGGACCGAAACTAGAAAACACTGAATTTCCGTGTTTGTGAATAGCGATTCCTTGAATAATTCGTTCGCCTAAAAACAATATCAAAAGATCATTTAGAAAAAAATGATTACATAATGTAAAATGAGTATTAGCTCGCATCAAGTTTTCAACATCTCCAGCAAGAATGAAGGCAATACAAGCTCTGAGGGGATCTGAACATTCAAAATTACCCCCGATTTCTCTAAAATAAATGCGAAATTCATACTTTTGCCATTCAGCCATTCGATACCAATCGTTTGAGCCGCTTCAGCAAGTTCGTGTGGAGAATTCTCTTGAGAAATCAAAACTCCCAACAAAATTTTCCACTGTTCCGATGGGAACGAATTAAGTAATTTTAGCGTATTCTCCTTGTTTTCGTGACTCGTTGCAGTAGATGTTTTTTCCGATGTCGATGACGATAATACGGTAACAAGCGAGCTCAATGGATCGACTTGTGGTTCAACTCAAATCACAATGAAATTAAACAAAACTTTACATTTTAAATAAGTTACCTCTTTGAAATTCTTCCCATACGGCATTCATATATTTTGAACCATGATGAGACGCATAGCTGATCGCCGCTACCCACAATTTTCGAGCACACAAGACAGAAATTGCTCTTTCGTGATCATTGGCAATAGAAAATTTAAGAAATTCCCAAGAACTTGCGTCTTTAAATATTAAACAATAAATTTAAAAAAATCGAAAACCTATTTAAGCATATACCTAATTGCCTCCAATCAATATTCGCTGCCTTTTCAACAAATGAAATTTCCGGCCCAGCAGTTTCAGTTGAGCACGAAGAGCTGCTTCTCGTAGTTGAGGTAATTGTTTCAGTAGTACCATTCTGAAATAAATTATTTAAACATTTACATAAATATGTATAGAATAAAAACCGTATGACTATATGATTTTGATGTATTGTTCGTCGTCATTGTGCCATTAGTTTCAACTATTTCTTCATTGACCAACTCAAGATCAGCGAGCATCTTCGTTCTACTCCGTGTCCCAAGTTGCGATAAAGTAAATTGCCAAATCAGCTTAACAATTGCGTCTTCATCATTTTGGATTGCCAATTTTTGGGCCCCAAAATTTCTTTTTATTATTATAAATGAATTATTCTCACTTTTCATCGAGGAACCATCCTAAATTGGACTTGGTTGATTTCGCAGCTACTAAATCTTGTGCTTCTTTGAGAAGCTCTTCATCTGGGGGAATCTAAAAAAACAAATGAATAAGGTTAATAAAAAAAGTAAGTACGTTTTCAATTTCAACATTATAAACCCATCTTTGCAATTTTGAATCAAATGACTTCCAGTGGGTTGCAAGTTTTCCTCCAATTGATAATGATGCACCAACTACTGGAGCGGACAACCATTGGGGAATGAAGTTCTCTGTAATTCGGCTCGCCAAAACTTCGGCCTAAAATAGTTAATTTTCATATAAAATTGAGATTGGATTATTACGCCAGGTTGTGGGGTTCCGAGTGAGGTTATCGATGAAATTTGAAGAGGATGATGATAATATTGAATCGCAAATTGGGAAGGTTCGGCTTCATTCCATTTTACATTCTTGATCCAATCACCTTGAAGACTTCCAGCACCTCCCAAAATTTCACCAGTTTCATGGTTCCAAATAGCTACTTGACCATCAGAACCAGAAGAAACTAATAACCGATCGTCTCGTTTATTCCTGAAATTCTTTAGGATGGCATTCATCTTCAAAATAAGCATTACCAATCAATGCTAGTGATTCCCATATTGTGATGTCTATATTCCTTGATCGGTGTCGTCGTATACCTCATATCCCATTTCTGAATGACTGATGCGGATTGGGATTGACTGCCGATAATGAGCTGGGAAGCATCGTTCGGCGACCAGCATAATGACGACCAATCGCAACCGGCGCCGATTTCAGCAAATTCGAGAACCGGGGCACCGTTTCGCCGCAAATCCCAACAACTTGCGCGGTGCGAAGAAATCGATGCAAACAGCACGTGATTCTTGTTGTTCCATCGGACAATTTTTGAAGGATCTTGAAAATTTGGAACTCCGGGTGAAAAAGGAGTTGACAGATTCGTGGTGTCCCAAAGTAAAATTTGGCCGGAACCACCGCCACTGGCCATCCATCTAAATCATAGAAATTGGTTTTTTTCCGAACAATTAAAATAATGTTTACCTTCCATCTCGAGAAACATCAATGGTTAGAACATGTCCGTGATGATCTCGGCGCGCTGAGAGCACTTCGAACTTGCTATCTAAACGATATATTTTGCAATTATTTATTTTAGCTATTATTAACCATTTACGAATTTGGCAGCATCAAAAAACACAACTGTTCCATCCTCTGTTCCTCCTCCTATTACACCCAATGAATGTTGTTCAGAGCATAACACTGACCAGGCCAACTCATTAAATCTAGAAAATAATTTTTAGAATAAAGATGAATTCATATTATTATAATTGAAAAAAAAATACGAGCATCCTGTGCAGATTTTTTATCTGATTATGATCATGGATGATCCATACGGCAGCCGAATTCACTCTTTTTAATTTAAATTACCATCCCGAAAAACAGGATGGTTCACAATTAGTCAAGATGCTCATTTTTTGCGATGGTAATAACCTGTAGTTAATCGGTATTGAAATCGAAGGAGCTAAAGTTGGAAGGTCTAAAATGTTCCTTGCACTCAGGAAATCGATTTTTTGTTCGATCGACGTGGCATTCGGATCAAAATATTGAGCGAAATCAGCAACAATTACACCCTAAACAAATTTTTTAAAATATCCAGAAAAAAATAAATGAATGAACCTTATTTTCAATTGTTGGTGGACTCCAGACAAATACACCAGGTCTTGAATAGAGCTTGGAGCTCATATTCGAAAAAAGTGAATGTCGCGCAAGCCGTTCTCCGCGCTACTGCAATATGTTTATTACACAAAGCTCAGTTCTGACGTTCTCGTTCAATAAAAATAATCTATGCGAAGTTTCTCGAAACTTGTTTTCGACAAAATGCAATAAACATGAAACGAAATTTTCAATTTAAAAATCGTTTGGAATTTCATCACGAACAATTGTACTTTTCGAAAGATCATATTTTGTGCAAAAAAAATCAAATTTTAAGAATGAATTGCACACGACGAAATGCGCTCTATGGAACGATTACGAAATTATATAAAAGGATTCAGTTTTGTTTATCGTTTGTTTGCTGAAGGTCGCACAAATGTAAACCGCTAGAAAAGTGTCAAGACACGCTAGGAAAGTTTAATTCGTAATTAAATAATTAATTTTTAATTTGTTATAAAATTTAAACGAAAAAATGCAAATCTCAAAATAAACCCATGGTTTTTGTTCCTAATAAAAATTTGTACAATTAATTTTAAGCAAAAATTGTTTTTAAATGTTCACGTTTTGTTCACGTTTTTTGAAGTTGATGAAATTTCGAAACAAAGCAGAAATTCACTCGGCAATCCAATCACCGATAGAATGGTCAAAATGTCTGCATCGTGTTTACACAATATTGTCTACCGTATCTAAAACCCTGCAACTTATTTCTCGGTTTTGACGAATCACGCAGGTTTTGGCCGCTTCGGCGAATACAACCAATGTGTTCTATTTTTAATTCAACCCAAAATTTGCCACAGTTTCGCCGAGAAGGAAAAAAAAGTTTCTCCCGATGAGTTTGCCGACCGAGAACGAAGGTTTTGCAACGGCCGGTCTCAGTGAATTATTAGCGTGTCCGCTTCCATAGAAAGTTACTATAGCAAGCTTCTTTATTTCTGGTATAGAGATCGACTGCGCCATTCTTAAGACGATTATTCATGTCTATTTTTACTTTCTATATGCACTACTTCATTTTTTATCGTTTGACTAATCTACATCCATCAAAACGACGTTGATTAATCTTTATTGAAAATCAATGATTAAAATAATAATTTAATATCTCGAAAAATATACTAAAATATTATTACCCACATCGGTAAATAGATAAGATTTTAATACAAAAATTTATTGACGAAGAATTAAATGTTTAATGTGCCAAAACCGCCAAGGCGACAGTGATGAGAGAAAATCCGAGAATAGTGTTTGCCGATTTAGTTGTGGTCGCTTCAGGTGCATTAGTCGAACCCTAGAAATAATATGTGATGTTAGAACATGCGCGAAATTAAATACCGCTTCGGCTTTCGCGATGGTGGATTGACCAGCAGGTGCAGCATCGCCAGGACTGCCAGAAACACCCGCACCACCGCCAGCAGGAGCTTCGGGAATTGTTACGTTTTCCTGACCTGTAATGATAATCGTAATACTAAAAGATACATCTGAGCGGGTCTCACCGAAAGAAATGACGAACAATGTAGCCGAGAGGAGGGCAACAATAGTGAAGAACTTCATTTTGTTGGAAATCTGAAAATGGAAAAAAAATTTAATATTATAAAGTGAAAAATTACAAAGCCAAACGAATGTAAGATGTAGTATAAGTAACTTCTAAAACTATAATCTGAAGGATAAAAATGTGAAAAATAATACTCATGAGAAGAAGGCTTAAATTGATCCTAATCTTTTTTGCAGTATGGATCGTAATTCGGATTGCGCACACTTAACGAGAAATCTTGATTTCTCGACTTTACGAATAATTGAATTTGAGAAATGGATGTTCATCTTTCTTCGTGAAATGTTTAATGAAATTGCCTCAAGAAGACATCGAGCCGTTTTTTTTTCGAAAAGAAAAGAGGCGTCAAACGAAGTAACCGGTCAAATTGAGTGTTTGCAATGCAAATGCTCTTCTTCGAGAATTGAGAGACTTTCATCGATAAAAATTGAAATATTGAGAACACTCAGTTTGATGAATTTCTTTCCTCATCCAAACCTTTTTGTAGCCGTTTCACCAACTAAACCGATAGAAAAAAATGAATCAAACCACGACAAAAATCAAATATCTGGCAAACTGTTTCACAGTACGCTTTATGTAGTTGACAAGATTCCCACGAAATGCAAATTTGCGACAAAGGCTATTTTTACGATTTCAGCCAAAATGATTCAACATTTCTGTATAGAAATAGCAAAAAAAAACGAAATAGCAATATATTGCGTGAATCTAATTGAGAATTCGGTGTTCTTACTTATAAAAGCGGACGAGCGAAAAGGAAATGTGAAAGCGGAAGAAGAGAATAACGAAAATTGAAGAGAGCCACAGCGAACGATTCTTCGCTTAAACTCTCGATTTCGAACAAAACTGAATTCTTATATCCACAAGTTTTATAATCGCCATCATTTAACTGTAAATCTCTACAGAAAATTATTCAAGGCCAACTTCAATAGTCTTAAATCGGAAACTAATGCGTCTGCTCAATATTTTATCAATCAAAATTAAGAACCACCATGTTAACAAACCAACACGAAGGAACAAATCTCGATGACAATAACTAGCCCGAAAATGCGAATTTCTTAACTCATCACCTCTTATTTGCAATATAAATTCACATGATATATCATCAAGAGACTACTAATGAAATAATAATAATACGGCGTCCCCTAATTGTTTGCATTTCACCGCCAGTTACCTACCAACACATAATATGTGAAAATGAGCGATGAATCGGTGACTAATGAATGATCTACACCGCGTCCGCGCACCGCCTTAAAAACCAATCCGCTTATGGTATGCCGAGCTGCGAAAATACGCGGATTAGACAAACGGATGTTATCGATATTATAAATATAAATATATGTATATATATATATGTATGTATATACAATAATTTGTCATTTCGATGAAATGTACGCCGCGCACAAAACGAAACACATTCGAGAGTGAAAAATCTAATGTATGTGTACATGTTTATGGCGGATAATAAAGTGTCAATAGAAATTTTATGAATACTTAATTCGTTATGGCCTGTTGTGTCATTCGCGTTCGAATTGTGTCGTTGGGCGACGCAACCAAAAATGATATTAAATATAGTTTGGAGACAAACCCGAATCCATCATTCTCATATATAAAATATAGGGTCCCTCGCATTGAACAATTATCATCACGCTAGCTATTTTTGTACTATTGTTTTTCGCCGCGCAAAGAGATAATCCCTCATCTCGGAGTAACTACGCTAAAATAATAACAAAATTTTTGTACTTGTCTAAATATTTTCAACAAAATTGAAATTTGTTGAGTTTTTCTATAAAGTGAATATACATATATTCATAGGAAAAAAGACAAATTTTTAAAAATAATTATTTGAATGTCACAGAAAATATAATGAAAAGGATGGCACATGTATGTGTGTAGTCGCAAAAAAAAAACAACAAGCTCATTCTATTTACTATACTGAATATAATATGTGGTTTTGGGCGACGACACACTTTTGTAAATGCACGCATGCATCCCCCATAAAAAAAGGGTTATGGTGAAAACGATTTTTTCTTTGCCTTTCAAACATTTCTGGAATTTTCTAAAATTCTGGTAGGGAAATTTTATCATTAAAACTAATCTAAAACAATTCTCAAGGAATGCCAAAGTTTGTTGAATCGTTCCAACTAATTGATGGATATGTCAGAATTCGTTCAAATTGAACCAAGTTGGAACGGGTGAGAACGACTTATTAGGGAAGAGATGTTCTTCTATCGCCTGTATGTATTGTCGGGGTCCGACGACTGTTGTACGTGGGTAAATTTACAAAATGCGTCAGCTAATGATCATCGAATAATGTTCTTTTTGACTCATAAAATATTTTTTAGAGATTTCAATTCATTGACTCGTGTTTTTGAACTGACGGTTTTTGTATAACATTTCAACACATATACTTTTTTGGCAGTTTTTTGTTGGCTGCGCACGACCGCGATTGGCAGGTGATATTTGGCTAAATACCAAATTCTATACAAAAACCGTGAGCCATACAATTTTCAGCCGAAAGCCGTCCACTAGTCAAAGTCGAGTCCAACACCCAGAGATTAGTCAGTGAACCCGATACATTGATTATTAGCTGACCCACTCCGTAAATCTACCCATGTACAGTAGTCGTAAGAAGCTAACTACACATATATAGGAATGGAAGCAAAATCTTTTCTCGAATAAATAATTCATTGTTCCAACTTGGTTCAATTTGAACAAATTCCAATAAATCCCACCACATGGATTTTGTGGTTTTTACGTGAACTGTTAATCAATTCTTATCGAGTTTCGCATTTTCTCGAATTTCAAACGTTGTTGAAATAAAAAAATCGGCGAAATGAACGCTAAAATGCAAAATAACCGGATAGTCCATTCGAGATCATAACGAAATGCGCATACTCATAAATCTAATCCCGCCGGCTAATAAATAATACGAAATATCGATTTGTTTTCATTTTAATTGTTACCAAGTATAGACGAAAACCAAAATGATCAAGCTCTCATTTTACCACTTTAAGACATTAGCCCCAATAATTTAGTAAAAAAAATAATGTTAGCTTCCATATATGCACTTAGCGAATGCAGGGTCAGGTCGGCCGGTGGTAAGGTGCCAATAGGTCTTCTGGCCAACCTCTTCCGGCGAGTTGCGTGCGCCACCACCCACCCGCAGTCCGCCCCAAACATATCCCGTGCAAACTGTCACAAATTCACTGAGCATAGCACAATTTCAAGCATATTTCTAATAACAGAACCATAGTTAAAACGTCTCAAAAACGCAGCAAAATTAGGCCCAGAAAATTTCGGTTTGAGATAATATATGCATTAAAAATAGCTAAAAAAAATTTCCATTGCGCCTGACCAATTTCGAATAGGAAAAAAAAAACAACTCACTATTTCGATGGAAACGCAAACGGTTTTGTGGAATCGAAATAAACGACAATCATTCGGACACCTCATAAAACGAAAGCCACATAAACCGTGACACGTTCCAGATATTGTTTCACGCATCATAAATTTTTTTGCTGCGAGGAATACGGAGGAGACAAAAACGAAACGAATGAAATGAATCGGGGATGAAATCGAAACAATCATAGGTTTTGTGATATTTTATAAACATTCGTTTGTTTATAAGCTGATTTCGAGAATAAACAAAAAACATCGAATGTATTGAATCGTCATGAAAATCGTTGGCATCGACGACTAGTCTACAAATGAAAACGAATCGTTTCCATCAAATCCTCTTAAGCGGTTCTAAATAGTAAAATTAAAAAAAAAAGATTGCAAGAATATCGAATTTGGACAAAAATGAGGCGAAATCAAAAACAACGCGGAAATAGTATGAAGGAGCGAGAGACGCAGATGGATCCACTTTAAAGAAATGTGCGAAAACAGCAATTTTTTGATGTCGGAAGTGTACGATGACTATTCAGCAGATTTATATATTCAATAAATAACAAGGCTTTGATTATTCGAATTTTCTTTTTGATTAATTCTCTGAATGTGGTTTTTTTGTTTAGAATTTCCCATATAGTTAATTAATTTTTGTGGCGGGTTTGTTTTCGTTGAAACATCGACCAGCTGAAATATTTATGTCATTTGTATTTGTCAAAATTTGGTTTGTTTATAAAAATTCTCGAATTTGGTACCAAATAAATTTTGTATATTTCGTCTTGTTGAATGAGAGCACTGAAAAATATAATATGATAGTGTTTCGAGTGATTTGATCATCAGCACAATTCTACTTTCGAATATCCTGTTCTCAACAGCAAATTCGCCTTGAGATGTGATAACAATAGATCAAAGGAATTTCTTGAGATCCCTCCACTTCCCGAAACGGCTGCAATAAATATCGAGAGCGTATTTTGAAAACGTTTCGCCGCCGACAATCCAATAATGGTGTTGAAAATCGTTTTAAAAACGACTCTCTATCTACATTCGCTTCCATCAATCTCTCGCAAAAATGTTTCGACAAAACGCAGACAGATGATTCGCGATAAGTAATTTGGGTCAGTTTTTTCATGAAGGACACGACCGCCTTTTTGCGGTAAAGCAGTTGCGAACACATAATCATTTTAACATTTCTCTTCAATTTTGGCGACAATGCGAGAAATCTCGATGCTTTCCATATTTATTGCCCTAATAATAGCCGCCGATGGACGCGAAGTGCCCGAAGAGAATTTGTTGCATTCGGTAAGACATTGGGATATTCGAGCGGTATTCATAAGCATATTTCAGTTCAAGCATGTTTACAAAAGGCATGATATCAATCTCGATTTTACATTAAACTCGGAAGGTTCTCAATTTTGAATTTCAATGAATCATACAGCGATTATTGTAGAACATAAGGATATTCGTCGATCGACTTCCCATGATCAGCTTTCTCAGCATTTGGTTAATGATAAAGTTAATTTGAATGTTTGAATGATAAATATTAAATGGCTTAGTTTGTTGTTCGTCGTGACGAATTTTCGGAATCTCGCGAGGTCGTTGGCGATGCTGAAAATATTCCAGACAAATTCGATCAACAATTGTACGATTTCATGCTTCCTGAGGGCTCTGTTGAGGTGAGCGCAATTCGAAAATGAAATAATTAAGTGAGATACTAATTATTAGAAGCCAGCTATGATGGCGGTTGTTGATTTTATCACAAAGAAGAATGGTCCGCCTCCAATGTTCGCCGTTAATTTTGATGAGAATGGATGGTTCGATATCGGAAAAGTGAAGAAGACGCAGGCGGCGAATGCCGATGTCTACAAGGCGACTGTTGTGTTGAAGCCGGGAAAGGAAGTGAGCATCGACAAGACGAATGAGGGAATCTACAAGTTTGTCGTCGAAGCCCAACAAGGCGATATCGTCCGTGCAAGCACCAACATTCGAGTCGAAGTGCTATCATTGTCTCCGACGACGAAACGAATAAGGATTACTCCTCCGAAAGCTCCAATTATGTTGACAACACCGGCAATGCAATCATCTACTACGACATCTGAGCAAATTGAAGAAACAACCACGATAGCTGAGATTCGCGAGGCTACGACGACAACGACGGATGAATTGAAGACATCCAGCAAATTCGACCTTCCCGAACATGGATCTGGATTAGAAGGATCTGCCGCGGAAAATTCCGAAGAAGAGGAAGAGGAAGTTGTTGAGGAATCATCGGGAGACATGACCGTTGCTCATGCTTCGACTCATAGCTCGCATGATTCTACCGAGCTTTTGACAAATTCTGCAGAGGCCGACGACAACGTTGAGAGTCCGATTGAGGGTCCCGTAACGATTTTACCGCTCAAGGCTGGTTCGATTGATTCGTCAGAAGAAGCTTCGGGTATGCAAATTTGATTTCGTTTTATTTAACATGGTAGAAAACTTCAAATATCTATTTAAAAAAAAGAATAAAACTATATTTATCAATTGATAATTTTAAGTTTAAACATCTTCGATAATCGTTTAAAAACACTTCTAAAAATTGAAATTTCTTATTAAAAATCTAATAAAAATCAAAAACTCGTCGAAAATCTTATAAAACTACGAAAATTGCAGGATTTCAAAAATAAGTGTAAAAAGTTTCGCCACTAATATATATTAAAACTGTTTGTGAAATCAGTTAGTTTTAAACTAAAAATTTTTAGATCTTTCAATTAATCTTGTTGGTGCTGAAAACGATGGAACTTATAAGAACCGAGATGCTTCACTTGTTGGCGATTTGTTACGCGGTCTAGTAATTCAATTAAAATCAGAGGTAATCAAATTCGATTATCCCCCGAATTTGAAATTTTTTTAGAGTTCTGATATTCCATATGTTAGACTTTCTGTGGAGCCAGACGACGTCTTCACAATTCGTCCTTCAAATGTGACCAGTGATGGTCTCGCAGCGGTCTATGTGAAAAATCCGAAAATGCTCGAAAAATCAGTTGACGTTGAAATTGTTGCCACATTGCCAACGGGTGTTTCTCATCGACGGCCGCTTATTGTGAAAACATCGAAAAAACTGAAAGTCGAGCCAAAATCGAAACATTTAATTCTAGAAACATTAGAATTTGGCGTTGCGAAAAATGCTGAGAATGGACGAACAATTGGAAGAATCGAAGGGAACATGCAAATAATCGGAGAGCATGAGAAATTCTCGCTGGTCGGAAACGATCTCATCCTTTCCTGTGGCCAATTTGAAACCGATCATTGTCTTGAAAACGAGGATCGCAAGAAATTCGTGCTGATGATGATGCCTGAAGATGGTAAGCAGAATCAATCGTAAGGCTTTGATTGATCGATTCTAGGAAGCCTGGCGCCAGTGCAAGTTATTGTCCGAGTACAACGGCCGCCTAGTCTCAGAACATCAGACAACATTGTCCGCATTTCGGACAATCGAATTATTTCTCCTTTCGCTGTTATCACTGAAGGCACTTTGAAAGACATTCAACTTGAAGGAGATGCTGCGAGATTTTTGGGTTACCGCAAAAGCGAAGATGGACTTTATCAAGTCGAAAAAAAAATGATTTTAAATGATTGATTCCAATTTTTTTTAGTTGGTTGTCATTGATTCTGCCGCTGCCGGAAAACACAAACTTGAAATTAGTTTGGAAGGTTTTGAGTCGATTCGTCAAATTGTCAATGTGTTAGTGGAAGTATGATTATTTGATTTAACCAATTCTAGCCCATCGAATGTTTGATTCCATATAGAATTCACTCAGCCATGCTCATTTCCGCCAGCCGAAATATGTGGTGAAGATTGACGCCGGCAAAATCAAACACGGCGATACGATCGCTCAAGTCGAACTTGAAGGCGTCCCAATTGACGAGGCCACAATTCTTGCCGTTGATGGAAATCCGGGATGGGTCATTGTTGAGGATTACGGTGGCAAAGTGAGAGTTGGCAAAGGGTATATTGCGCGAATTGAAATTTCGGATAGCAATAATAAATTGGCAGAAAATTATACAATGGAAAGTCGACTCTTCGTGTTGCCGCTGTCGACAAAACGACATCGACAGTTTTAACCGAAACGATGGTAGAGATCAATGTGGAAAACGGAGAAGCTAAAAATGAGAATGAGAAAATGACATCGGTCGTTCGAGAATTGATTTTCGACAGAGGTTTTGGGTTCTTCGTTCATTTGAAAAATGCATAATTGATTTCAGAAAAAGATGCTCAATTTGTCGCCAAAATGGAAAACGTAAAAGATTTTGCAATTGATCCAGAGGCCTTATTTGGGATTGACGAGCATGGAAAGAAGATCAAATACAGCCCAGTGAGTTTTTTGGTTTTTCCACGACGGATTCGAAAGCGAATCAATTCAGATGAATGTGAAATTGAGCAAGGAAACGGTGGAATTTGAAGGGGATTCGTTGAAAGAATTGAGACTAATCTCGTGCACACTCAAAAATCAATACAGAAAAGGTATGTATTTGAGTTTGGCTACTGATTTAAATTTAAAATAATGATTTTTGTTTAGAAACGATTCTCATCCGTTTAATTTCATCACCGGAATTTATTGAAAAAATGAAAATGGAAGCAGCACGTCCAGTGTTTCCAGCGCCATGGACGAGGGAAAATAATGAAATCAAGGTCTTGTTTCATTTTTTATTCTAACTTTAATAAGCAACCCAATAGTTTAGCTGGAAATCAATGAAGAACTTCCTGAAGGTAGTATTATTGCTGTGCTACCAGCAACTGTCCCTACTACAAATGAAGTGGTCCCGGCAGTGTTGGATGGAGAAATGATGGAAGCTTTTAACTTCGATCCAAAAACTGGTAGAATTTGATTTGGCGTTTTCAAAACAACCAATAGAGATTCAGGTGAACTGAAAATCAACAAACGAATTGACTATGAAACCCTTTCGGACTCCCAGAGGAGCTTCAAACTTAACTTAATATCTGGTGAGCCAGAATTCGAGAGCAATGCAATAATCAACATCAATGTCAATGATATTGATGACAATCCACCAACTATTCTTCCATCCCCGGTTGAGACGGTATATTCGCTTCAAATTCAATACAAATAAATTGATTTTTTTTAGTTAACTCTACCAGAAAATCTTACTCCTGGAAGTATAATTGCTCGACTTGATGTCAATGATCCTGATGGATCGGATAAGTTTGACGTGAAATTATCAGGTCGCGGAATGAAACATTATAATGCGAATATTGTTTGTTTCTCTCCAAATCTTTTTATAATTATGTCGCATTTTTAGTCGGATTCCGGCATTCTGTCGATTATGCTCAGTGATGATGCAAATCTCGACCGCGAGCTAGAAAATTCGCATTCGTTGATTGTCGATGTCACCGACGTCTCCGGAAACACTGAACGACTATTGGTGACATTTTTATGAACACTTTGATTTTCAAAAAAATGATATTTTCCAGGTTCCTATTGAAATAATGGATGTGAATGATAATTCGCCAATATTTGAAACGAGTTCGTATAACGTTGAGGTCGTCGAAGATTGGCCGAAAAATGTCATAATTGAAAAGTAATTTGCAATGATTGAGTTCGGCATTTCGATCATCTTTTTTTTTGAAGAATATTCGCGAAAGATTTGGATGAAGGCAATTCCGGAATTGTGCGGTATTCAATGGATGGAGAGAACAGTCAAGGTAATAAGAACGGACGACAACCTAATTCAGATAGTCATTTGTTGTCCAGTTTGCCATAATTAAAACTGACAAGGCGGATTCGTAATGCAAACCGAAAAAAAAATAATTATGGCTATTTTTACATAGATTTTTTGATTTTCGGCAATGGAAATTTCAGAAATACCCATTAATATTTTTTAAGCGTTCGCCATTAATTCATCGACGGGCGTTGTTTCGATAGCTGATGATTTATTCGGTCTTGCTCGAAAAGAACTCTATCATCTTTCCGTCACCGCATTCGACCTCGGAAGGCCTTCAATGAACTCTACTGCCAATCTGAACGTTCGAATTTTGTCGTCTAACGAGATTCTTCTGGAGCCTGTGATTGAGTTTAGCGAACCGGCTGAGAATTTCATTTTGAGTTTGAAAGAGGTTCGAGAAGAATTGAATTTAATTTAATTAATGCTTGTCTAGAATACACCATTGAATGAGAAAGTTTACACCGCAAAAGCTGAAATTCGCGGAATCGGTCAAAAAGGGAACAAGGTAGAATATGATTTGAAGGATTTGACACTCAGCGACGACGAACAAGTTCTGAAAATCGACAAGAATTCCGGAGAAGTGTTCGTTTCAAAACCAATTGATTTTGAAGAGAAAAACGCTTTCACGGTTAGTTCTTTTCTTATTTTTTCCAAAAAAAGAAATGATTCACTCAAACGTTTTTTTTCACGTTTTTTTTTTCATTTTTTTCAATCTGCAAATAATTTTTCCGAATTTTTATTTATTTACATATTTGTAGTCGCTTTTCGCGTTTTTTCGCCCTTTGAACGATTTTTTTGTTTGTGTAAAAGATTTTTGCAAATGTAGGTATGATGACGTCTAATTTTGCACAACATTGTTCGAATTTGTTTGCACGAAACACAAAAGAAGTTAAACGCATTTCGAAACGGCGGAAAAATTGCGGGTTTTGCTATCATCAGCAACGAATATTTTGCGGGTTTTTTTTTCCAGCTGTACTATTGACATTTAAGAATTAAATGTCTATAATTCAATTATTAGAATATCGGTTTCGAAATTGTTGAAAATCTTATGAAATTGCTTTTTTTTGTGACGAACTGCTCGGTCATATATTTACTGATAAAATATCAAATTGATACCTTTGCGGTGATTACTTTTTTGTTTATTTTTTCCCTCAATTTCGTCTTATCATCGCTACTGAAACACGAGGAATCACACCAATAATAAAAATATTGATTTGAAATTTAATATAAGCAACTATATGTAGAAGATATAGTCGGCGTCTGGGAACGGCTGTACGCGGGTAGATTTACGGGCGTGCATTTCGAAGTGGTCTCGCCACGTGTGAACTCTTAAAACGGTTAATTTTTTCTATATGAATTCGAATTTCCAACGTCATTCGATTTAAAAATTATCGAACTGACCCACAAAGTGCATGTTAACCAGTTAATCCGCGCGAGACCAGGAGAAAGGCGCATTCGCGTAAATCTACCCTCGTGCAGCACTCGCCGAACGCCGACTATAATTATTCAAATTTACATGAAACTGTTGACCCATATTGATCCTATTAAATATAAATAATCAATGCGAAACATTTACCCTCATTTAAGACGATTCAATTTCCTTCGATGCACTTTTAATGCGATAATGTTTTTCATTCCATCAGAAATGGACCACATGATAGGTTTTGTTGGCTATTTTCAAAACCCGTGTGTTTATTTACTTGCAAGCTTGACTCATCTGACATTCTACCGTATCCAAATTTTTACGAGTTCTCATATTCATATGTATTTACCGAGACCGAACGAGCGAATCTTCCGCCCACTAATCTCATTGTTGGCACACTTAGGCGCTACGATACAACACGTGTGTGAGCGTGTATTTGTGTCTGTGTAATCGCCACGAAAATCTGAATTCATTTGTTTGTGTTGCGTCGTTCGCATCCGAAAAAGACGCAGCTGATGAAATGGTTTCTTATCTGCACACCGCATGCCACTCACCACTACCACCACCACCTTATCGATGCTCTCCTGATTCAGTTTGTCATCGAATTGCGACGTTCGCCATCATCGTTATTTTTTCCCCTAAATGTTTTTGATGAACTCCATTTCGCGTAATTTGATTTGGCATCTGTCCATCCGATTCGAATGCAGTTTCGATTGACCGTTCGCGCATTTTTCACGAGTTTCCAGTTAGCCCATTTTCCCTCAGTTCGGTTTTTGCCAATCGCTATCGAAACAACCACTAATATTTTCTGTTTCATCAGGTTACTGTAACGGTAGGAATATTAATTTCCCAAAAGTAGAAAAGTTCACACCTTTTCGAGAAAAATATTCAATTTAAGGAAAATTTGTGTTTGAAGATTCGAATGGAAAGCGGTTTCGTGTCTCTGCTGGTTTTGATTCCTGTGAATTGAATTGAAGGAAATAAAAAACTAAAGATTGTTTGTAAAATGTAGATATTTTAAGCCACGGTTTAATTTTTCCATAATTAAATTCTAATTCATTTTGAGCGGATAAAAGTAGAGAATCGAATGAATGACCTTTCCAAACATTTTTCACCCATTAAACAGAGGTTTTATATAATATAACTGAGCGAACTTGAAGGTTACACACGAGAAAACCATAATCGAATTCACGCATTTCAGTGAAAAAAAAAGAAGAAAGCATTGGCGAATATTTTTTCATGCATTTTTTTGTCGCTAATCTTCCATCGTTCGACCACGTTGCCTAATGCAACATATTTGAAATCGAAACCCCCAATTTCGGCACGTGTATTTGAAGTGTTTGATTTGGTTGTTAGTGGCACGAACTCAAGTGCGAACATGTTGCATTCAATTCAATTTGTTAGAACCGAAAAAAAGCGTTACGGAAATACCAAACGAATGTCATCCCCACTGCCAATTCTCCTTAATCGTCGTGCTTAATCTCCGATTTTGGTGAACCATTTTTTCGAGCGGTGTGGTGTTATTCTTCCAGCTGCTGACCGATCTCTTCACATGATACTTTCGATTTTGAAAAATCATTTTTCCCGAAATATATTTGCATTTCGACTATTGATTGTCGCACTTTGGTTGGGCATTGTTTCAAATGTTTCGGATATCAATCATTCGCCCAACTGTTTCAATTATACCTTTCTCTTTTTGCAATTAGTTTGCTTTTATATCGCTTTACAATAAAACATTGCGTTTTATTCCAAAGATTCACTCAAAGTTTCTTACTTGTGGTGAAGAAACTCGAATTTCGTAATTGATTTTCAGCATATTTTCACTAGCAAATAATTCAATTCATAGAAGATGAGATTCAATTTTCATATTCCAATGTGACCATTATTTTCTTATCTATAATTAAGGCATTATTGAGCAATTAGATTGAAAACGTCAATCTTCAGTTTTCATAGAATCTCCAATTAAAAAAGGCGAGATTCGTGTCAATTGGCCACGCCCAAAAACAACATTCCAGAATTTGATAGAATTGTATTTTTTTTTTTGAGCATCACTTCTATAATTGTTTTCAGCGATCACACACCATGGTTTTCGTTTCTTTTTTTCGAAAAAAAAATCTTAATCCTAAAGAACGTTCCGGTCTTGAAACGATTACTCAGTGGGTTTGACCTTGAAAAAAAAAAGGAAAATATTGGTGTGAATAAATTTAATGACAACATCGTTCGCATAAAACTATTTCTCGACTAGAATGAAGTTGAACTACGATCACAATCCGTTCGCTTTTTTTTAACAAAAGTCATGCTCTTTTAGCATAAATCGTCAGGTGTGAACAGAAAAAAAAGCGATTTAAGAAAAATCGAAAAATCGAAGCCAAAAACAGAGGTCTAAATCGGAATTTTTTTTTTGATAATTTCTTATTTTATTCTCCCAAATGCATTTTTTTTTGAGCAAAATACTCGATCCAATCCCATTTCAACGTTTTTCGTCACCAATTGGGCGTGGGTAATTCTCAAGAAATTCGCCTTCTTTGTTGACACCATCGATCTGTCTTGACTGAGCTGATTTTTCTGTCTTCTGAAGAAAAAAAAAGTTGTTGTGGACCTCTTGGAAAAATACACATTCTGATTTCGAAAAAAAAGAACCTTGAAAATATCTTGTACAAATAAATATTGTTGTGTGAGCTCTTGATTTCCCATTGTTTGTTTTCGAGAGCAGCGCTTTCAAAAATCATGCTGATTGGATAACTGCCAAGCGATGCTGCTTGCTCGTCTCCGGCATTTTCAAGTAGTTCTTGCGCGGCCGCGCCGCCGCCGCCGCCGACATTTTCTTTTTTTCTTCCACCACCTCCGATTTATTTGATTGTAAATGCAAAACGGTGTCTCCGTTTCGTCGGTTTTTTTTTCGAATTGCGAATCGTTTTGTTTTTGTCACACCTTCCCACGATGACAACCTCGTCCCATTAGAAGAGGTCTCGCATACCAAATGTTGCCAATTCAAATCAATTTTTTTCATTCGCCTCGATGAGCAATTCGCCATTCGTTCGACTGTTCAAAAGCGTTGCGTTTCCATACATAAATCGTCTGTATGCTTTTTTGTTACCTACAATCGACGTCACACGCATTTTCCCCCAAAATTGACTGTGAAAAAAAGGGCAAACACTTGAAAAATCGGTCAAATTTTTTTAAATATTCGCAATTTCGAAAATTTTTTTATATTGAATTCGAAATATCACACCAATTTTCCATGGAAAAAATTGTTTATTTTTATTTTTTTCGGTTACAATAGAATTGATTTGACTCTTTTTTTGGAGAATGTTCGTCTCGAACCTAATGTAATTACAGTTATTGCGACTGGTTTGAGAATTGTATTCCACTTATTATTCGGGTTTTACCAGAATATTAATGAGTTGATGACCTTCTAACTTGTTACTTTCACAGCAGGGGATGAGTTTTTGTGTTTTTGAAAATATCTAAAAGAAAAACTCTTTAAGAAGAACTTAATTAATTTTTTTTTGCTTTTCGACAAAAATCTAGATTTTCTCTGAGTTTTCGATCGGTATTTGATTGAAATAAATAGCAAAAAATTGATTTTCCCCACCATAAATACCATATAAATTTTTCTCGAGTGTTTGCTCACTACCTCAAACTGTTTCAATTCGTCTTTTTTTCCCCGAGAGCGATGTATCACAAAATGTGACGGATATACCAATCGAATCTCGTGTTCGCTACTGTTTATCAAAAAAAAAAAAAGAACCCCCCCCTCCCAAAAAAAAAGTTCTTCTTCAATTTTCCTATTGACATTTGCTCGTTCGATCCACTCAATCCGCATTCTGATATTCTTGCCACAGGCCAATCCAGACTCCCCTCTTCGCGGAGTCCATTAATCGACGCCTCAAATATCGAGAAATTCGCGCAAATCCCGGTTTAGTTTTGTTTTCCGAATTCCGAATGCCGCATGCTAACTCCACTGATGTGTGCTATTCACAAAATGTCTAAAAAGTCTTTCGAATGCTTCTTCTATGAAATTCAAACAATGTATTAACTTCATCGGAATCGCGATCAATTAAAAAGCACAAATCACATCCGTTCACTTTGTCATCAGAATTCTACCGTAATCGTTTCACATTCATCCATTCCTTCGCTTAGTTTTTTTTCCGTCAAATCAAATGTGTAATTAGTTCAGTTTCATTCATTTTCCGTTCCTTCTTCTCGCCACCACCTTTTTGTTTCTTTTTTTTTTCGCTGAACTACACCTCTCGTCAAAAGCGTTCCGATGGATTGTGAATGTACGTGTGTGTGTGTATACGATTTGCCGGAATGTGGGAAAGTTACGCACCACACGACTGGCTATTATATGATGATGTACTATAGGTGCTAAGTGTTTGTAGTAGTTATACATAGTAGCTGCATGATGATTTATGTCTACTGGATTGTCATTTCGTTTTGCCACTCGCTCTAGTTTTCTTATTATAGGCATGAGCACTTTTGAATACTTACTAATCACACAACATCACTTCCACTTTTTCATCGCCTCGTCGTGTTTCGTTGTGATTTCAATTTTGTCGTTTCCAGATTTCCTTATTCTACGGTTCGTCGCAGAAAAGGGAATTGAGCACACAATGGGTAAATTTAAACAACTCGGCAAAAACATTTGGAAGAGAATCGGGCCTCGACACAAATCGACGACATCTCCGGAGCCGTCGGCTCGCGAGCTTTCGTCGTCGTCGTCGTTGTCGTCGGACTTCAACGACGAGTACAAGCTTCATGGAGCTGCTCAGAAGGAAGAAGTCGTGCGCAGTCTTCCGGACATATCGACAGCCTTCGTGCACTCGATCCAAATCGCTTCGTCAGATGAGCCACCGAAACGCGTTGAGTCGCCGCATTCAGATGATTCCGCCGGATATGCCACCGACGACACCGCGCTATCATCGCTGAGTCCGTTGGATGTCAAAAGGAGCAGTATGGACTATTGCGAATCACAAGGCTATTATTCGACGTCGGAGCTTTCGCCTAGAGATGAGAAGCTTGAAAGTTGGCTGATCCGTCCGAGGGTGATTACACCTCCGACATCCTATCCAAGAGTGGTGGTGTCGCCGAGCAGAATGGCGCCGCGTGAATTGGCAAAATCACATTCGGAACTGCACTCAATTGATAGCCCCAAACCGCAACCAAAAATAGAAGCCACCGATAAATCAGTGACGTTCGCAAATCTAACAGATATCGATTCTGATCCGATTGATCGATTTTTGAAGAACAACATCTACATGACGAAAATGATCACAACGGTATTCGAAGCGAAGAATGGCGGAATGGAGGTCAGACGGTCACACGAGAAATTTGAATATTTTGAAAAACAAAAAAAACGAAAAGACCATTTCAGGAAATTTATGACGATGTGACGGCGGAAATCGATCGATGGTTTGAGAATAAGAATATGATGGCTGTGGCATGTGAGATGCATTATTCGGTGCCGAGAGAAAAACGCAACCGAAGGCTGGAGTGCAAGTGGGAGAATTCATTGAAGAATGCGCTGTATTTGAAATATGACATTGTAGACTCAAAGAAAAGTTGCTGACAGCGCTTCGTGAAAATAATAGAAGACTATTGTACCTTCGAGGAATGGGACACGGAAAAACGCCGATCAAATTGGCTGAGTCGAAGACGGTTGAGAATATTTCACGACACAAAAAGACTGACTCAGTCAGGGGTAACATTTTTGCGTTTTCATCATTTCTTTTTTCTTATTTTTTTTTTAAATTATATTCAGGCATTTATCAAAGAAGTTACACAAAAATGTTGCCATATCTACACAAAGAAACTCCGGAATGGCACTCGCAATATTGGACACTTCAGGATTTCACAACAACGTCGAATGATGAGGAGAGCACATTGACGCCGGAGCCTCAGAAATTTTTGTTCGACGATGAACATCCAGATGTTCTCGCTTCAAAAACGCTGATTTCATTGAATATTATTGGATTGAGCATTAACGGAAACTCGCGAAAATCGTGCGCCTCATTGTTTTTGGGAAAACACAATATGAAAGATTGAAATTCAAAAAAAAAAAAAAGAATGTGGGATAATTTTGTTTTTAGATTTTGGATTAGTTGTGCTTGATCATCGGGTATCCGTGCTGTGTATATTTATTTGAATAAAACATTTATCTTCTCTGTGTTATATTCAATCAATGATTTGTGAAATTCTCGAGCCAAAAAAATTTGATGATAGAAAAGCCATTGTTGTGGCAAGACTGACAAGCGAAGGCATTTAAACTCAGGCAGCCACTACTGATACCTGCCAGACATCGGACTACTCTAGTCAGAACCAATTTAGATGATCAAAAGCACCCTCTCAGGTGTCTAAAAAATCACGCATCGCTTAAAAGACTGACATTCTAGAGAGCATGCCAACATATTGGCATCGGCTCATACAAGATCGCATCATGTTTCGACTGATCCTTTTATGGAAGCCATTTTATTCATCGAACAAATCATGATAACCATTTCGCTTTTTTATATCATTAGGTTAGCTTACAAAATATTAAAATCCAGCGTTTTCCTTGTAAATTTCAATGTTTCAAATAATTATAAATTAATTAAATATGCGTTTTTTCAGCTTCTTCTAACTGCAACAAATCCCGCCGATGAATCTGTTTCGGCATCAACCATTCTTCATGTTCAAATTGAAAATGTTGACGATAACGAGCCAAAATTCTTGAAGGTTTTCTCTAAATTATTATGAAAAAGAAATAATGGAATTTGTCTTGAGAGTCAACCAATGTTCTATGAGCTCGATTCAAATCTCACAAAGCCTACAGCGATTGGCAGATTGAGTGCTCTTGATGACGACAAAAACACTATCTTCTATCACATTCTTCCAAATTGTAAACGTTTTCACAAGGTTTTTTTTTTCAAATTTTTTGAAATTAAAGGTGGTACTGATGGTGCGAGCAATTTCTCGATTGACTCGGAATTTGGCGAAATGGTGTATTATCCGCACTCATCGACACCATCGCGGGTTGAGCTTTGCGTTGCTGTCACGTACGACTATGCGCATAATGTTGAGATGATGGCGAAAGCATTTTCAGATCAATGGAGTCGCCAAATCTTGAAGAGATTAAATTTGACGAAGCCGCCGACAATATGAAGAAGGTGATTGTTCAAATTGGAGACCACAATTCCAGCAACCGCAATGATTTTGTTCCTGGAGAGAATAGTGTTGTTAAAATTGGTTAGTTTCTGAAATTCGTACATATTTTTCAAGAAATTTTTTCTAGGTGATTCCCTTCAATTCGTTGAGATTCCAATGCAGAATTCTGGAAATTATTCTCTTGAATCCCTTCAATTTCATCCGTAAGCTAATATGACATATTTTGCTTAAACTCGACGAATTCTAGAGCCAATTTCGAACTTGGGCGCGATATAATCTCACCTGAGGGTTCGGTTGGTCTCAACCCGAAAACTGGTGAACTTGTCGCGAACATGAAGATTGTTGACACACCACAAGGCGTTTATACCGCCCGTGTTGCGAGCGGACGCAATTCGGCAACAAAACAGGTAAACGATTCGGTTCATTTGAAATGGGAAATGGTTTAGGAATTTTTGGGGTAGCAAAAAAAAAGCGCGATCGAGGGACGAATTTCAAATCGTTTTCATTTTCAGCTTCATCACATCAAAAATGACCGAAAATTGCGGTATATTCTGGCGATGACACGCGATGAATTTGGCGCGAATTTGGAGAAATTCAAACGTCAACTTGTCGATGAGATTTCCACAGAGAATCCTGGAAAATCTGTTAATATTTATTTCGACGAGCCGAATAATGACGGAAAGAATCAATCGTGGTATTTACTACGCACAAAAATATAATTATGTTGCAAGCGGGTAGATTTACGGGGGCGCCTTTTCGAAATGGTCTCGCCACGTGTGAACCCTTATTTTGGTGTTTTCACGTAAATTATATTATGCAATGTTGTGATCGTTTGTCCTGATCGCCAGTTGTTGTGATGTTGAGATGGCGACTGGTGGTGTGGTCCGTGAGAACACGTAGTTGACTAATTAAAGTGTATTTGAACCCTGAGAAAGGAAAGGAAAAAGAACAATCAACACAAAATACGCGCCCTTATACAGTGGGTTGACGTGATTCTAGAAAATTCGTAAAATTTCTGGAAAGTGAGGTAGTGTTTGCAATTGAGAGAGCGCAGACAACGAAAGAGGGAGAGAGAGAGTGCGCAGTGGGCGGAGACGCAGACATAACATGTAATAATTATGAAATTATGGAATTTTGTAGAACTTTCCACAAATAACGGTGAAGCGAGACCAAGAGAAAGACGCATGCGCGTAAATCTACCCGCGTACAGAAGTCGCCGGACGCCGACTATACAAAATCATCAAATTTCGTTGAAGGACCTCGGTATGCTTCTACATCACCCGCGATGAGACGATTCTTGACGACAAGCAAATCACATCGATTCTATCGAAAAATAACGGTGAAATTGCGAAAATCCATCACATTTTCAAAGTTGTCAATATGGATGCATGCGAGAAGCGATCGACCGAAAGCGATTCGGCCGAACTCAAACTGCCAATGAACACATTAATAATGATCACTGTGGTGGCATTCCTCATTCTGATTCTCATCGGGCTTCTCGTGTTCGTGTGCTGTGTGGCGAGACACCGAAGATATTTGGAGAATAAGACGGCAGAAATGAGAGGTGACGATAATTGAAAATTAAAAAAAATTTTTAATTGATATTTGGGTATACTCAAAAATTAAAAATCCAAGCTAAATTTTTATATTATTCCTATCTCCATTTGAAATATTTCAGCCTCCAGTTCATCATATTATAAAGCTCCAAATTTTGTTGGCCCCCCAATTTTGATGTAAGATTTATTTTAAAATATTGTTTTTTTTATTAAACAATTTTAGGCACTCACCTCCACCGCCGTCTTCCATTGGATACTATTAACTAAATTGAATAGATGTTGCCAATAAATGAGTGTTCCTTTCTTCTGTGATAACCATCTTCCGGAAGTTCATTCTGTTTTGTGTTCAAAAAACCGGCCGGCAGCGATGTTTTTTTGAGAAAGTGAATCTCAAGAACAGCAGTTTGTTGTTTGTTCGATGCCGTCGGACTTTTTCTTGAAATTCAATTTGCAAATTGTTGTTTTAAATGGCAATATCACAACTCTATTATTCGATTCCACCATTCGGTTTCTGATTCCTCGATAAACTTCATTTTGATTGTTTCGATAACACCGAAATAAGTCAAAATAATTTGATCGAAACGAGAAAAATCGTTGTGAAAATATTAGTAGAAGACGTCGAACAAAAATGCGCATTGTTCGTTATCATATCAATAGTGTGTCGAAACCAGAATTCGGTTGGCGTCGTGTCTCAATCCATTGTCTGCCTGGTCCGAATCCTCATTCATCTTGAACACATGTGGACTTGTTTAAGCAATTTTCCGCAAGAATCAAACACATTTTTTCGATTATTAATATTAATCTATTATCGGCATCTCGTGTATTTCGTTTCATCCTCTTCCTTCTCTTCCTTTTTTTTTCAAAAACGAGAAAGTCGCACTCGATGCACTTAATACAGCATATTACAGTTGAGATGTTCAAAGTTTCAACCCAACATTTTTCAGATTGTTTTATTTTAAGTTCTCGTTGACGTCGCCAAAACAAAATATCCAGTTTTTGACATTCGATTTCATTAATTATGCGAAATCTTGGCTGTTTGAAAACTTTGGCATTTCGCCAATTTTTTATGTCTCAATGTTTATGTGTAGCAACCAGCTGGCCATTCCGTTGGCACCTTCGGACCTTCTCGGAACCTCTCCAATCGAAACACTATTTATTGAACGATGATCTTTATCGGATTGGCCTAACGAAAAAGCTGACAGACCACACGCACACATTAACAAAAAAAACTACTTTTCCACATTTACTTGTGTTTTCCTCATTTTCAATAGTACTGTAGTTATAGTAATAATAGTAGAAGCAGTATAATTAAATAGGGGGGTCTAGTTTGAACTTGAGCTGTCGGAAAACCGGAATCTTTAAGAAAAATTTAAAAAAATAGAAAAAAATTTCCAATAAAGACTTATTAAATTAATATCAGCATTTGTTTTTTTTTCGACGGCGCCGAAATATTTCGTCTTGAAGAATTTAAACCCAAAACCAACAGCTCAATCAAAGTCCGTTAATCAATCTGTTGCTCGTAACCAATACTACAACGCGTTGTAATGTTTGTGACCCCCCGTCTCCCAAATTTTCTGCGATTTCACTCGTCCATCGGGTCCATGTTATTTTTTCCGTCGTCCCACCTTCAAGTGGTCCCGCGAATGAAAAGAAAAACTGCGCAAAATGTCCTACCTGCATTTGCATTTTTTTTTGCGCTGGTGACTCACACGAAATAGTGTGAGGAGTGTGGAGACGCAGAGGATGAGCTTCTTCGGCGAGATGTTGCTGGACGAAACCGACAAGTGTTCGGCGATGCTCTGCTCGCAACTGTTCGCCTCTTCGAAAACCCCCGCCAAAAATTTTTGGCTTCAATTTCAAATCGTCTCGTTTCCTCTTTGATATCGAAAAGAAATTGCTGACTCCGTTGCGAAAAACATCAAATCGACGCACTTGCTTTTATATTCATTTACATTTGTCGATGATCGCGGCAATTAAGAATTGTGCCAACCATCTCTTTCTCATCAATGAATCAATTTGATAGCAGCTCGTGTGTTGTCTCATTTTGATGTGTACGTCAGTTGAAAAAAAGTTGACCCCGATGATGTCGTTGATATTGAGTCATCACATTTCGTCGAACCTTTTAATTAAAAAAAATAGAAAGGAACAAATATTAAAGTGGGGAAAATACAAAAAAAAACATTGTTTTGAATTTTTTTACCGGAAATCAAGAAAAATTCCCTTTTAAATGTTATTATTTTCTCAATATGTGCCAAATATTTAAAAGTATTTCTATTAGCTTCTTTTTTTCCGAATTTCTTTCATTTTCTCATTTTCATTAATAGGAAGGTTCTTTTTTTCAAAACCAGTTTTTTTTTGTCCAAAACGGTTAATTGTATCCCTTTTCCATTCTAAAACCTCTCGCTCTATCTCAATGTACCATTTTTGATGCCATCAATTACACGCTTCTCCAATTTGTTTTCCCTTCCTAATCATTTGTCGCTAAAAAATGTTGTCAAATAGTCTACGGTTATAACCTATTACACAGTACTCATTTGTCTCTGCGTCTCTCATTCCCGCTCACTCTCTCGCGAGTTTACATCTTCATTATCCAATTTTTGTTCATTGCGTTGTCCTCTGCCATTCATTTTCTGATTTTTTTCGCTTCCTACTTATTATTGTATTGTGTATTCACACAGTATTGTCCGGAAGCTTCATTCTGACTCATTTTGTGTGTTTCAACAATTGTTTTGTATCGCTTCTCGGGCTTCTCACATTGAAATATGATCCGAATCAGCTGCAATTGGTGTCGATTTCATTTCGCTTCGTTTAACTTTAATATGTTTATCATTTCGATATCTCCATATGATTTTTGGGTCCATATTTTAGTAAAAAAAAAACAATTGCCATTAGTCATTGCTATATACCATCAAATGATTGTCTCATTGTTATTACCATCGATTTCGAAATGACTCAACCAAAAATACAGTTTGCCAAATGGGAAATTCAAAAAAAATCGAAGAAATGTACAGAAGCATGTTGAAAATCGTTTAAGTTCCCTTCAAAATTCTCTCTAATTTTTGAAAACAACGATTCAACATTGCTCAGATTTCCATAAAATTCGCCGAATTTCTGATTATGATGCTATTTTTTTGGAAAATTTGTGAAATTATCAAGTATTGTTCGAATCTAGTGGCTACATACGTATATGTCGGTTTTTTTCTATAATGCAATTTCTGATTTTTTTTCCAATAAAATTTTTCCTTATATGTTTTACACCTACTAATTTATAATCACTTCATCGATGCTTAAGGTTGCCCAAAAATTTCAGTTCGATTTGTCGACTTTTCGGAAAATAATGACCAAAAAAAAAGAGAAATTGTATATCTTACTGCACGATACTGTACATTTATCTTTAAATTGTCTGAAACTTTCACTCAATTGCGTAAAAATAGGAACACATATTATCCGGTTGACTAGCTTTATTCCGAGGAGGTTTTACGTCTATCATTCATCCATTTATTTATTTTTTGATTTCATATTCCTTATATTATTCTCGTTAATCTTTATTGTTCTTGGTTGAAAGGGTGGCGAGGGTATTAGTTTGTTGGGAGGCTTGAAGTCCGACCGGATTGATTCGCACTTTCGCCGCGGTTTTCCAAATACATAATTGGATTGGCCAATTTCCGACGATTACGTGACGATTTTTGCAGAAAGAAAAAATGTCCGACGACGACCTTCTGAATTTCAGCGGCGAATTGCCGCCGTCTGAGTCGTTTCCAGACAATGACGTCGGACTTCTTCTCAACGAAACGACGACGACGACGACGTTGGCACCGAATGCTACGACGACTGCAATTCTCAACAACATCATTAAGACGTTGCCTCCGGAATTGCAGCCGTATTCTCCGAATCCATTCCGCATCGGATTCCTCGCCTTCAAATGCATTCTTATTATACTTCTTATCACTTTGTCATGCACAATTCGACGCGACTTTTTCAAATTCTTCGTCATTTTCCTTCTCGTTCCATTGTTCATTGAAGCCGGCTACGATATTTTCACCGAGATTCATGCCAGCACATTGGCCACTGGAATACTGTAAGTCTATCATTTGCTATTAAAATTAAAAGACACTCCGAACTTCTGTCATCAGCCACATCTCGGGCATGTCAGCACCAGCATTTTTATTTAGTTGTTCGGACCTTCTTAATTTTGCGGGCTTCGTCAATTTTAAGAAAGTAGAGTCTTTTTCATGTATTTGAAAATGTAAAAAAATTGAATTTACAATTTTTTATTAGTTTCGTTAGATATTTGATCCCGAATAGATCAGAAAATGATATCGGAGGTTTCCGAATTCAAACTTTTACTTTAAATCTGAACTTATGATCTATGCTTGTAGACCCTTCGATTGGACATATTTGAACTTGAGAATGTCGGACGCCAATGCGACGGCTCACGATTGGCAAAAGTAATCAAAATAGAAAATCAAGTAATTAAAATCATTTTTTTAAGACAAGCTTACGAGAGTTTTGGAATCATTTTGCGGAAATACACCACATATCCATTATATACGTAAGGGTGTTCTCTATTGAACAGATCACGATGATAATCCAACTGCTTTCAGCGATGATGCGATGTTCTCGATTATCTCTTACGCCTTTGGAGATTTCTTTTTTTGGTCGATCTTCTTCTCCACTGCTACCGTATACTTTTATGCTCACAAAGCCGTCGTGAGACCTGATGAAGTCGCTTATGAGCCGGTTTGGTTAGTCGAATTCATTAGAATATATTTCCACAATATTTGCATTGATGTTGGTTTAGCAAATCTTTCTTCAAAATGCAAATCTATCCAATCATGCTCACCACAATCGATGTGCTCCTTTCATATTTCGAGGTCCCATGGTTCGTCTATCTTGGCGCAATGACGATTGTCCGATTAGCCGCATGCATTCTCGCTTTTATCATTTTCACTCAAATGTTCGCGGTAGGATTCGACATTAAAAATTGATATTCGAAAATTGTTTAGTCATTGTTCTTGTTCTGTCGTCGACAAGATGAAATGAACAAGGCATCGCCATACGAGCAGGTCAGGAATTGCAAGAAGCGCCTCTTCTTCTTCATCGTCTTCACAATTCTCATCAATGTGCTCACCATTCCATATTTGGGTGAGTATTCGACTTAATAGTTTTGGAAATTGCGCCACTTGAAAAGGCATAAATATTCGAAAAAAAAACAGTTTCGAAAGCCGCCACAATAAATTCTTAATAACATATGACAGCAATTATGCATTTTTCCTCGAGAAGAACTGCTTCCAAAAGCGGTTATGCAATTAAAACATCGCCACCAAAACGAACGGGATGTGATTTTTAAGTCAATTTGAAACATTTTCAGTTTGGTCTGGATTGTGCTTCGCTTCGAATGTCGTCACCTACTTGCATCTCGGCTGGTACCTTCCGATGCATTTCGCCTATGAGATGTTCCCCCTCCATCTCACTTTCTTCCTTGTGAGACCATTCGTCTTCCTTATTCTTGTCCTCATTTTCGTGAGCCCATATCGACGAAGATTTATTAAAATATTCTGTCCATGCTGCAGAAAACATTAACAAAAAAAAGTTGTTGAAACCGATTTCCATTACGTAGTCTGTAAATTTCGGCTCTTTAAATCAAATTTTATAACAATTATTTCTTTCAATTTCTATAAATCCCACAAATAATCCCACCCGGTGCCTCGTTTTTTTTGCCTTCTACGTATTTTCGATATGTTTTTGTTTCAATTTGCATTATGTATTGTGATACGGTATTCTCATATCAATTAGCCATGATTACAACATAATTAGCATGTATGCATTTATTTCAATCGCAAAATAGTCCAAGTTTTTGTTTTTTTTTTTCATCTCTTTCAAAAATAAAAATGCATCGCTTCAAATTTGTTCAGGAATCATTTTTTATTTATAATTTTTTTATTAAAGGTATTATGTTCCAAAAAAAAATAATTTGGGTCCGTTTTTGCGATTCTCATAAAAAGAATAATTCGTGGAACTCAAAATTTTCCCATAACTTTGTATATTTTTGCTTGAACACAAAACACTATCCAAATAAGGATTGCCCAGAAGGTTCTGATTTTTTTCAATCGTGAAATGAATAATCATTAATGAAAATTACGGCTTTGTCTTGAAATATTCTGCCAAAATGGTGCGAGCAACCTATATTTTTTTGGGTTCGAATTTCTCAAATAATTTCAATGTTCCTATCGCGTGAATTCGATAATTTTCATAGTTTTCATTTTCTGGAACTTGGCATTTATTATTTCTTTTTTCCTAAATGAATAATAATCACAAAATATTCGAATTTCCGGAGGACAAGTTTCCAATTTTCAGTGTTCATGATTACAAATACTGCACTTTTCAGAAATGTTGTACACTTGAATTTCAGTGAAGAGGATTTCCAAGCAATAGAGCAGGCAACTGGGTATTGTTGAAAAACCAGAAAATACGTAGATGGCCAACAGGAAATTATAGAACTTCAACAGCAAGATCTAATGCAAGTGCGGCATCAATTGACAAAAGGTCTTCTCCGACGAATTGCCGATTCCAAGCCAGCATTTATTTAGTAATTACTGTTGGAATATCAGTGTAATTCATCATTTTCGAATTCAAAAATTCATTTTCAATTTCTTTCAGAATTTTCGCTGCAAAATTGCTTCAATATTCTGCATTTTTTGGTACCATTTTTGCGTTTTCTTCAGTGTTGGTCCTTCGTGAATGGAATCGGGTGTATGGCTCACTTCTCACACGGAAAACGAAGGCAATTATCAATTTTGCAAGTGTGATAAGAGAACAGAAGCGAGCAATGCCTATCTAGTGTTGAATATATTTTTATGGACTTTTAGGGATTATATTCCGTATTACGATATGGAGTGGCTACTTGGAAAACGGTATGAACCTTATTATTTTGGATGCACAGGACCATCGATAAACGCTGATATGGATCGAACTCCTGACGGGTGAAACATCATTTCGTTTTTAACGCAATTTCAGATTTTCAGTGACGAATCTAGATCACCAATTGGCTCAAATGAATCTCTCACAAAACAAAAATCTGTTTAATAAAAGCGTTTTTCTATTTGGGTGTTGTTTATCTGGAAGCCACATTGTTTGCTTTTGATCAATTTAAAAAATGATTATTTTTTGGATTTCAAATTTCATGTTAAAACGAAGACAGTTGATATCATCGAAATTTTGAGCATGGTGATCCAACAAATTGCCGTCCACACTGTTCTGGCCGAAGTTATTGGAAAAATTAGGCCACGGTCAAGGCACCTATGCGGATTATTGCGGTTTTAGCCATTTTTATCCTATATTATTAGTTGTAATTTTTCAAATCATCATATTTCAATTCAGAATGGTTATTTGCTGTTACTGTTGCCTTTCTGTTAAGAAACCGTATGTTACGAGAGTACCGGAGAACGTGCAATTGCGAAACCTTTGGGACAAAATCCTCGGAATATCGTTTCAGCAGCGAGCAAATCAAAAATCTTCAGCTTATATATGCAGACGCCATCTTAAACAGCATGGATTTCGATTTATACCGTGTAAAGACGAAGTTGGTTTCTCGATAATCGGTTTCATACGTCAATTTCGATATTGCAGCCGGAATATCTATGGAGTAGTGATTCGTTGGCTCATCACGATTATTATGAATACAAAACACTTCTTGAAAATGAGAATGCCAACATCGATTATTTGATGATTGATTCAAAAAGGCCGAGCATTTTCTGTGAATTTACGCTTTGCTTGAGCGAGAATTGCGTGAAAGTCAAAGCGAGCAAATTTTTGGTTCGAAATATAATTGTCACTATTATTTTCACACAAACTTTGGAACATAAGAACTAATACATATTACGCGCGCATGTTTGCAATCCCTTTCTCGTTTGTTATCTTCAAAACTATTTTCTCAAGTTATTTGAAATCCCGCGGTTGTTTAACGAAATTTCGGTCGTGGACTAGAAAAAAAAGAGTAGAAAAACTCGGCCATACGAAAATCTTCGAATAAAAATGGTGCAATTGCGCTCTATCGAATTATTGATTGGCTGAAAAAAAACGCGCCAACCCCGCCTCTCTTCTAGAATAGTCGGGCGGTGACGTGTCTTGACGGGATTGTGTTATTATAGCGTGTTTTTCTCGTTTGAGCGCAAGTGTCGTCAAATTAGGTGCACTGCGGCCTTTGTATTTCAAAAAAGTTTCGCGTTCTTCTATTCTTTTCTGCTGGTATGGGGTGCTAATTATGGGCCTATTCTGCGAATTGAAAACAAATATTTACTTTATTTTTTTTTCTTAATCATCGATATAAAAATTTTGGGAATAATTAAAGAAAAAATCCTTTTCCATTTTGCAGAATAACTCAATTTTTGCGTTTTCTCTGTTACTTTGGACACTTTTTTCTGTGCATTGAAATGTTTATTTACAGAAACAGCTTCTGAACATGTCTGGAATCGCTGCCGGTCGTTTGGCTGAGGAGAGAAAATCGTGGCGAAAGGTAAATTGAAACTGTGTTAATATGTCGATGTTTTCTTTTATCTCTATATTTGAAAAGAAAATAAATTATAATTTCATTAAAATATAAACTGTTCCAAATAATTAAAAATTCTAATTTTTTTTGCAGGATCATCCATTTGGCTTTATCGCAAAGCCAATTAAGAATGCAGATGGAACGTTGAACCTTTTCAATTGGGAATGCGCCATTCCAGGACGAAAAGACACTATCTGGGAGGGAGGGCTTTATCGCGTATGTTAAGGGCAAGAATTGAACGCATAAATAAAATAATCTCAGATTCGCATGCTCTTCAAAGACGACTTCCCGTCGACGCCGCCAAAGTGCAAATTCGAGCCGCCACTTTTCCATCCAAATGTCTATCCATCGGGTATTTGATTCTTAAAAAACTTAATAATTTTTGTTTTCCTTTTCAGGAACTGTCTGTCTCTCGCTTTTGGATGAGCAGAAAGATTGGAAGCCATCAATTACGATCAAACAACTTCTCATTGGCATTCAAGACTTGCTTAACAACCCTAATATCGAAGATCCTGCTCAGGCAGAGGCATACCAAATCTTCTGCCAAAACAGGTAATAGAGATAATCACTGCAAACGCGCATAATAACAAAATAATTTACAGAACCGAGTACGAGAAGCGTGTAAAAAGGGAAGCGCAGAAGTACGCTGCGGACATTGTACAGAAACAAATTCTTGGCTGAATACTTTCACATTTCTCGAATCCCCTTATTTAGATAACAATTCATATGTTAAACATATTCAATTTCGAAATTTGAACTTGGGCCACGAAACTCAATATTCTCCCATTTTGCTAATGACTTTTCGTGTATGAGGTTGCGCCTTGCCCGAAAAGAATTGGTCCCTGTTATTCTGAATGTGTCCGTGGCCGGTATTTTTTACATGTTATCCTTTGTTTCCATATATTCATACGATGATCCTCATTGACTCGACTAATTTCTTCTTTCTCTTATCCTTCTCCATCTTGATTTCCTGTTTTTCTTCGAATGCATTATTTTAATTTATCTGTATTTTTACTATCAAATCTCTGGATTTTTTGATGAAATTCACATTTTTAACCGTGATGGATGAACATTAAGACTATGTCGGAATTTATGAAAGGTGTGAAATTGTTGAAACACGATCTAACTGAGGTTGATGCTGGGGAAGCTCTTCAGGGAAAGGTTCGAAGAATCATTTGAATCGACGATTGATTTCTTTTTAATTTAGGTGGTAGCCCTCTACTTTTCCGCCGGTTGGTGTCCTCCATGTAAGCAGTTCACTCCAAAACTCGTGGTATAGAACTAACAGATTAGCAATCATGAAAATTCAAGTTTTAGCGGTTTTATTCCAACTTGAAAGCCGCTGGAAAACCAATTGAAGTTGTATTTTTCTCGCGTGATCGAACGAAAGAAGATCTCGAAGAAAATTTCACCGAAAAACACGCCGATTGGCTTGCGGTCAAATTTGGCGATCCGATAATGGCGTAAGAAATTGGAGAATTCGTTTTTATAACACCACTATTTTTTTTACAGAAAATATCAGACAAAATACGAAATTAAAACAATTCCGGTGGTTCGTGTAATTAATGCAGCCGGTAAAATGGTTGTCGCTGAAGGAAAAGCTCAAGTCGTGGTGAGATTCTTTTATCTAAAAAAAACACCTCTCAATTTTGAAGAAGCCATTCTTTAATTTTAAAAATTTTGAGAATACATTTAGTATATTGTTTGTTTTACAACGTAATTCGAAACTTCAGCAAACACAAGCTAACAAATTGTATATTTTTGTTAAATTTTGGCATCGGAACACTCAAATTCAATTTAACTACTTATAGTTTATCGATAAAAATGCATTAAATTTGTTTTTTTAATGTAACATAAATCATGAAATTTTAGGAAAGTGGAAAATCTGATCCAATGGGCTTGTTTGCAAAATGGGAAGCTGCTTGCAATAAATAAATCAAGTTATTTGTCGTGTTTATCTTCTTAATAAATTATAATCTTTTGCACTATTTAAAGTTTATTTTAAAATTTCTTAAAAGCTGGTTCATTCCAGAAGTAATGTATTTTTTAACAATTAATAATAATTACGTGACATCAAAATCCTGAAAAATTAAATTAATTGGATATTTTATTTTCTGAAAATCAGCTGAAACGGCAATGTTTGGTGTATTCTTAGAGATTCTCGATGATATGAAGGTTTTTATAATTAGTTATTTGAGATATATTTTAAAATTCTTCGAATTATAATAATAGTAATAAAATTAACAGAGGGAGATAATGTCATTAGGTAAAGATGTTTATTGCCATCCAAGAACACTTCGAAGAGTTGAAGAAGCTAAAAGGAAGGCAAGATCTGGTATAATGTTTTTAATTTATAAAGTAAATGTATGTATTTTCATTTTAGAGCTTAACAATTTTGGATGGAATACACTAAATTATGCGGAAACATTTAAACTACCCCCGGTTAAGGATAATATCGAAAGGTTTAAACTTTTTATGTCTTGATTAGCATTCATAATGCTTTTATAGAGTTGATGGGGAGAAACTAACAGTAGAAGAGTTTCGCGAGCATTTTGAGCGTTCAAGGATTCCTGTTATTCTAACAGGTCTCACCAAGAATTGGCAAGCTGAAGAAAAGTGGACTCTTCCGGTTTGAATATTTGATCCCAAACCACGGAATGATTTTCAATTGCAGAGGATTGCGAAAAAATACAGAAATCAAAAATTCAAATGTGGTGAAGATGATGATGGGTATTCGGTGAAGCTCAAAATGAAATATTATCACGATTATATGCTTAATAATACCGATGATTCGCCGCTTTATATTTTTGACAGCGGGTTTGCGGATGTAACGAAAATTGGTGAAATTTGAAATAATACTCATGATTAATTTCAGAGACATAAAACGAAACAGCTTCGTGAGGATTATGAAGTTCCGAAATTTTTTACGGATGACTTGTTTAATTATGCGAGCGAGAAAAAGCGTCCGCCGCATAGATGGTTTGTGATGGGACCTGCACGATCGGGAACCGGAATTCATATTGATCCACTTGGCACAAGCGCTTGGAATGCTTTAATTCGAGGACATAAGAGGTATTTTACGCATGATTTTTGATAAATATTGAAATTGTTTAAATAAATACGTTGTAAAGGTGGGTGCTTATTCCTCCGAATGCGCCAAAAGAGCTTGTGAAACCCATGTCTCATGAAAAAGGAAAACATGGATCGGAAGGAATTACGTGGTTCCAAACAGTTTACAAACGAGTCCGCAGTCCTGCCTGGCCCAAGGAATACCCAATCATTGAGTGCCGACAAGGTCCCGGAGAGACTATGTTTGTACCAAGCGGATGGTGGCATGTTGTGATAAATGAAGACGACACGATTGCTGTCACACAAAACTTCTGCTCAGTGGAAAATTTGCATATCGTGTGGCCGAAGACTGTCAGGGGAAGGCCGAAATTAAGCAAACAATGGCTTAAAAGGTGGGAATTGTTTTTTCTTTTGAAGATGATTCAATCATTTGGTTTTAGACTAACAGAGGAAAGACCAGAAGTTCTCGATATTATTAATAAATCTAGCAATGTTTCGGCATCGACGATGTGTTGTTCATCGAGTGATTCCTCAAGTTCAAGCTCGTCATCCGATGACTCGTCAGATTCTGGATGTGATGGCGAAGACGATGGACCGTGCTCAATGGGTCGTAAACGGTTTGGTTTTTCGGCTTTAGCTAAGATTAAATGTTGCGATTAACAGGAAGTACGGAGCGAATCATCCGCGGGAAAACCAATGCGCCGAAAAGATGCGAGCGGAAAAAGAAAGTCGTGCGTAGGAAAAGACGTGCCCATTTTTAGTATACATCTCGTAGTTGATTTTTTTTACTTAAAGCATCGAAGATAACACCTCACTAACGACAATTATTTGTTTTTAATCATCAATTTATTTTGGATATATCAACTTGTTAAGCTTTAATGAAGACATTGGTTTTGGATTGGTTTTATAATTGTGGCAAGTTGAAACTCTCGTATGTTTGCTCCTGCTGATGTTCTACCGGCTCACGTTTTCGTACTTGACTGTTCTCATTGTAGGTTGAAGCAGGAACCTCGAGCTCTGAAGCAGAAGCTTCAACAAATGCCTCGCGCTTCGGGCACGGGCAGTAGGCCGCGTCAGCTCCAGGAAGTCCTGGTTCTCCTGGTTTTCCTGGTGTTCCCATTGGTCCTGGCATTCCGGGCTTTCCTGGTGGTCCAGCCGGTCCTGGAAGACCGTCTGGTCCCTCTTCGGCAACACCCTTTGGTCCTGGTTTTCCTGGGGGTCCTCGTGGTCCCGGATATCCTTCTGGCCCTGGATCTCCTGGCGTGTAGCGAATTCCAGGCATTCCTGGTCTTCCTGGGATTCCCGGCATACCCTTGAGTCCTGGCAATCCTGGATCTCCTCGTGGACCCGGTGGACCGGGTCGTCCGTTGATTCCATTCCGTCCAGGAACACCATCGGTTCCTTGTGCTCCTGGAGGTCCAACTTCTCCTTGTTCTCCTGGTGGGCCTGGAGGTCCAACTGGGCACTTTATGCAGCTGTCGTCGTTGCGCATCATTTTGAGAAGTTCGTGTCCAGTCATTCCGTTTGGACCCGGTTGTCCGGGCTCTCCTGGATCTGAAGTGTTGAAAACGCATTTGAGAAATCTGAGACCAGGAAACTTACTTCCGTCATGCCCTCTTGGTCCTGGTGGTCCTGGTGGTCCTGGTGGGCATTGATTCTCAGTGAGGCAATCTTGAATAAATATATTATTTGGATACTATGAGTTGAAACGTACTGCAATGAGGTGGAAGGTCTTCTCGTTTCCGGCGTCTTATTCCGAATGGCGACTTCACATTCTTGTCGGCAATGTAGATCAACTCGTGCCATGCATCATCAGTCTGCTCTTGTCCGGATTTGAATTGAACGACGGCGTCATCGAGAAATGAATTGACGTCATCGCAAATCGAAGCGGCAAAAAACGCGCAGAACGCGATGACCGAAACACTGATGATGACGCTGGTGTACGTCGCCACAGTCGCGCTGTCCACCATGGAAAGCTGTAAATTGAATTGAGTGGTGAAACTACAAATTTTAAGTTTCAAAAAGCATTTCAAAAAATATTCTTTTTCTTGGTGAAATCTTGAAAATGTTTATTAAAAATAAATCATTATGATATACTCTTCTTATATTATGTTACGAATTGGGATATGTAGAGATAAAAGTATATTATAATTGTTGATTTTGATCAATATCGAATCATTCAGAAAAATGGGAAAATTCTCAACAAAAAAAGATTCGCAAAAACACAGTCACGGCGACGTCTTTTATATGTGTATGTAAGAAGGGCGGTTTTGAGATGTATGCCCAAATGGATAACACATTCGATTTTCCCCTCTTTTTGGAGGTGCGCAAACCAGTTCGAAACGAGGTGTGGATGGATACGCAGTTTTTCGAATGAACAGCATCAACGGCAGGCAGACATTTCCGATCGTTGCGCAATTATTTTTGTTTCCATTAATTTATTTGGAGGGAGATCGAGATTGGACAATTATGCAAATCGAATTCATAAAACATTGATCTGAATTTTTGGTTTAGGTTAAAACGAGATTTTAAATTAATATATTTTTTTTAACATTTTGATTTGTTTTATTAGAGCTGCAACTCGTTTGTCTTATTTTTTTTAAGCGTAGGGTGGTTTGAAACAAGCCACAAAAATTAAATTTAATAATTGTACCCTATTCCAGAATCTAGAAATCCCAAGTTGCTTTTGCTTCAAAAATAAGAATTTCGTGAGCAACTAACTGGACTAGCGAATTGTGGCTCAAAAAAATCGAAACGTGATTCTGAATAATGCTTTAAATATTCTTGTGGTGTATGCTATTCAAGATTATTGTTCTATTTCGTATTTTAAGGCTGCGTTTATTGTTTTCTTAATTAATTTGTTGAATGCGGATCACTAGACTCCGCTCATCGACGGCGCAACAGGCGGCCGAAGATGGGACCAAAATTCATTTGACCCTACCCTCTACATATGGAGTAGGTCGCATGTTTCCTCCCAAGCAGGGCTGGGACCATTGTAACCTCTTCAACTGAAAAATTGAGCAATCTGAACAAATTAACTTTCGGTTAAAACGATTATTTAAATTTATGATTTCTAACAAGTTCACAGCGTAAAATGTTGTAAAAATGATAATTGTGAATTTCTGTTTCAAACGGACGCACAAAAATTTGGGATCAAAAGAACATTTAATTGAAGAAACAAAATGGCTGCAAAGTACAGATTTCAGCTGCATTTTACAGCATGAAATTTCCTGTTCAGCTTTCACTGAAAAATATTGATTTTTTTTGAGTTCGAATGAATTGTTTATCTAGCTAATGAAAACTACATCTGCTATAAATTTTGTCATTCACATCATTTCTTTGAGAATGCTTTTAAAGTGTTTGCCCTCATTCTTAATATACGCTGGATATTACTCAATACCCATATTTGGAATCGCCTTCTTCTTTAGTTTGTTCATCGTTTTTCCGATTTATGTCTACTTGTTTCGTCTGAACCGAAACAAAGATGAAAAAGTAGGTGGTTGCGATCGAAATGACGCAAAAACGGTCTATTAGAAACCACCCCTACTTTTTAACCCCCACCCCTGCTATTCCACCCCGACATTTTAACCCCGACTTTTATTTATGATACCACCCCCACTTTTTCACCCCCAATTTTTAGGTTTCACCCCTACTTTTTCACTGCACTTCAAAATTTGAAGTTTCTAACAGTAATGTTTAACAGTAAAACTTTTTAATATTTTCAATAAGTCAAGTTATCAAGAGGAGATTCGCAGGACTGATGTCTAAATTCGATTTTTCAGGAACTATTGTCGAAGTCAAACGACTTGAAGAAATTAAAAAAATAATTGGCTATGTGCCAATGCGTCTCGAGGCAGCGAGATTGCATCCATTGCATTATAGCGTACGCGCATTAAATATTCAGTCAACGATTAATTTAAATCTACATTAATTTCGCGAATTTAAAGGCTCCGCCTCCCTTCTGTCGTTTGACGCCGACAACATGTAGTGTTCTTATGAAAGGTTGACAATTTTAACAAGAAATTAACTATTCTCGAAAACCCGGTTCAGAAAAATTTCGTCCTTTGTCAAAACGTCAACCTTTCATAAGAACGCTACATAGTTTCTGAAAAATCTAATTTAGAAATCAGTCCTGCGAATCTCCTCCTGATAACTTGACTTATTGAAAATATTAAAAAGTTTTACTGTTAAACATTACTGTTAGAAACTTCAAATTTTGAAGTGCAGTGAAAAAGTAGGGGTGAAGCCAAAAAATTGGGGGTGAAAAAGTGGGGGTGGTATCATAAATAAAAGGAGGGGTTAAAATGTCGGGGTGGAATAGCAGGGGTGGGGGTTAAAAAGTAGGGGTGGTTTCTAATAGACCCGCAAAAACACACAAATCTCAAAAATTGTTTACTAATTTTATTCCAGAGCTTAATTTTTCCGCTAATCAATCATTTGCATTCCCTTATTGTGTTCACTCAACTTTATATATTTTGCGTAGGTTTACTATACGCAGTTTTGCACTGGTTTCCTTCGACTCGTTGGGTCGATGCAGCACAGCTTCTCATTTTATATCTAAGTTATTCCATTATTACCATAATTGGAAGTATGCTAAACATTTCTATATTTCTTCTCGCGCTTCAACGACTCTGCATATACTTTTATCCAAGACAGGTTCATTTATTCACACCTTCTCCGTAGGATTCACTCTTTGCCATTCTCTCAACAGAAATAAACTTACAGGAACAGTTGGAAGAACTTAATTTCGACGTTGTATGGAGTTCTAATATCTTCTCATATTATTTTAAAAGGTAGCCCAACGTTCTATTCGAAATGAACTCCTGCTATTTAAGTGTATTCGTTAATCAATGAATTTCATGCTATCCAATTTACATATGTTGATCACCTTCATTCAAGATTATATATGTTTTTCTATTTTCTTGTGCTTTTCTCCGCTATATTTTACTTTGCCATATTTTTTAGCGTCGTCCTAATGAAACGAGAAATAAGAGTTGTTCAAATTGGGAATCCTGAAAGATATATTATAACGCAGACCTGGCTGATTATTATATCCAAATTGGTGAGAACCGCAACAATGAAAACAATTATAATTATTGACACACATTTAAAAATTCACTTTACAGACGAAGAATAATTTTTAATTTTCAGTTAGCTATTCCGTTTGCAATAGCATATAACACGAGCGAAAGTCTGAACTATTTGGGTGTGATGGTAAATAATTATAATAGTTAGTATATTCCGTTTGTGAAAAAATTGGTCACTAGAATGAGTCGTTGCAAGACCCATGTCGATTTTGTTTTCGCACGGTCGCGTGGACCCATACCATGACAAAATACGAGAACCCTGGGTGTTTACGGACCTATTTTTTTTACACCGTAATTCAAATTTGCATTTAAACTTTGGGAATTTGGGTACGGTATTACGGATAACGTTCAAATAAAACTCATCGTCAGTCTCTACAGGGTTCTCTTAATTTGCGATGGTAATATCATCGTATTTTAAATAAAGAATAATATAAAAAATATGTAACATTAATATACAATCTTCAGATATTTGTTGCATTCGTTGTTATGGATATTATCGTCACTCCATTACTTATTCAGATCTCATATATTTTCACCAACAAATCACATTTTGATTCATTATTTTCGATAAGATTCTTCAGAAGGTCCACGTGGATGGCCATTTGCTTCGGCGCCGAACCTATAATCGAACCTACAACGACAAACTTCGAAATTACTTCAAATATCTAAACAAAATTTGTGAAAATTCTGAATATTGCAATAAATGTTAGAAAAAAGCGAGCAGTACTCTATCGTATTTCCCAATTTCCATAAATTTTATTCGCACGTTATTCGTAGGACAACACATTAATTTTTATTGTATCAATACCATACATGCTATAGCAAAAACAACGATCCCCTTGAACACGGACCATATTTTTTTTGTGTAGGTAAACCACATTTTGATTTGAACATTTCTTTTTCGGATAAAGTATTCTGGATAACCCGCGAAAGTTTTTTAGTAAATGTACGATTTTTTACAAAAAATTTAAGTTTCACAGCTAGTATACGGTATTTAAAAACTCGTGACATTTTTTTATACAAAAACATCTTTTATAAATGGTTATATGAATGTTTTGAATACTCTTCCACGTGTTTTGAAAATTTATTATATCTTCAACATTATTCCATAAAAAAAACGGAATTCCACATTTAACATGGCTTGTTTTCCGATATTCATATGAGCACAGCAACTGCGCTAACACACTAAATGTGCGCCAATCACTGTTGATTGGCGTATTCCGGAAAATGCACCAAAATATTCGATTATTACACAGTTCGCTTCCTACTTGGCTTGTGCATTTTCAGTTTTTCTAGTATTTTAAGCAATTGATAATATTTTAAACTTTTTAAAGATTCATTTTGTCTTTCATGCTCTAGGGATTTCATCATTTCCAGATTTTTTTGTTGACAGTGATGCAATTCTTACTCCAATAAAATAATCCGTTCACATACCAACTTTATTACTTATTGAATTGAACTGTTCATTTGTTTTGATAATTTTTATAATTTATTACAATGTTTCCGTTTCAGAACTTGAAAACTTCTATAATTATGACGAAAGAGACCGCCGAAATTCTTGAAATTGAAGAAAAACTCAAAGACGAACCAGATGACGCTGTTGAATTAGAACAACATGAGGTTTATATTTTTTACGTTCAAATGGTTGCAACTATTAGTATCTAATATCAGAAATCACATAATGGAAGATCTCATCTTATTGGAGAATTTTATTCTCAGCATGGCGGCGATCCTCGCGAAATTGATATTTCATAGTAAAGTTACAAAACAATTATTTTTCATAAAAATGATTATAGTTGTGTATTGCTGAGCTACTTGCCGACAGACTTCCTCGCGGACACGTACAATCAATTTTCCGAATGCATTAAAAACCTTCTGTCGGAAGATTATAAAATCGATCCTGAATCGATCACGAAGGTAAATTGCTGCGTCGATTTCGTGAAATTGATTTTTTTCCAGATAGTACGCATTCCAATTTTAGCCAAGGATGCCGAAAATCAAGTGAGAACCTTATATTTTTGCCATTTAATGAGTTTAAATGTTTGAAAAATGAAACAAAAACTGTTTTTGAGTCTGTCATGATTATTTTGACGATGAAGACCTGCCGCGACGCTCTCAACGATCCTCGGGAAACTCGCCAAACTCAACGAATCCAATTGATTACAGACAAATGCATTGCGTGTTCTTCTGTGCTTTACGGAAAAAACGCACAAGCATCGCATGATGAGCCGCAAGAAAGAAGTCGAGGTCACCGGCTTGAAATTGGAAACTCTCGATGAGCTTCCCGCCGAGTTTCTCGAAATTAGCGATGAAGATGCGCACGCTCTCGAGTCTGGCGGCGATTATGAAATGGCCGATGAGATTGGCGACGAGGAAGAAGAGGAACATCATGATCATGATGATGATAAGGATAATAATGAGCTTGAATATGACTATGAGGGAGACGAAGAGAGCGAACGCAGAAGTTCTAAACGTGACGATGAGAATGCGCAAAACGGAGATAAAAAAGGTTTTATTTCATATTTTAGTTGTGGCTTATGGACAGTTTTCGGGGTAAGACCCAAACGGAAATGGAATAATGATTCCAAAATATCAAGATCGATTTTATTTGTCAACAATTCATGACTGGATTTAAAGAATCCCCACGTTTGTCCATCACAACTGTTTTGCGTTTTTCCACACACGAAGACCATGCCTTTTTCATTTGCTGTATTCAATTAATGATGAATCAGTAAATGATTGGACGGAAGAAACACTAATCGATTATTCTTGAAATGACGTTTTTTTTAATATTTAATAAGGATTGTTGATATTATTGTGCAATTATTTATCTTATCTAATTTTTATATAATTTAGATGATAAATCTGCAAAATCGCCAAAACCTGAGAAGCCGAAGAAGAAGGTAAATAGAATTGTTTCTTTTGAGATTAACTATATTGCTTTAATATCAGATATATGAAGACGAAGACGAGAAAGCACCATTTGAAGTTAATTGGGAAGGAGCTCCGGAGTTCCAATGGCGCCTCTGCGATTTTCCACGCGATGAGCGCAAATTGATTATTGAGAACGTTGTGTGGGCTGATCTTCACAATCCGTTCATTTATCGATGCATTCATCGTGCTATCAATGTTGATTTGACATTCCCTGGAAGATTCACATCGGATGGTTCGCGAGCATTTAATGGGTAAGAGAGTTTGACGTAAATACTCACATCACTCGAGGTGTGCGTTTTGTTTGTCCTCAACGAAAATTGCAACATTTTCGCGTTCCGTGGGTTTTTTGACTAACTGTTCAATGAAATAATGTTTACCTATAAAAATGACTTTGAAAAAAAATTTTAACCAATAAAAAATAGATCTCGAATGGTGAATATTGCGAAATTTCGCCAATAATTAAATTTGAAAAAATTGATGTCTAAAAGTTTTACAATTTTCAGAAAACTCACACTCACTTTTCCGCCTAACGTTCCGATTATGGATGAGGCATTGAGACACTTGATCTACTTCAGAACTGGCGATGGAAGACGTATTAAAGTTTATCTTCCACAAAGTAAGAATTCGGAATTTAAAAATATAATTTTATGGTTTAAGACACACAATCACTTAAAAGGAAAGAAGAGTTTGAATCGAAGTTGGGAAGAGTTATCAAACCAACCCCTAGAATGTTGCAATTAGTTGTGAAGGTGTTGCCGTCTGGTTATGAGGTATCTTATAACTCGCATGTTCTTCAATTATTTTATGATTGTTGTTTTTCAGCCAAGCTTGGATGATGCGTGCGCGTGGTTTCCAGATCAAGCGGTTATTGGATGCGAATTAGTCAACGATGAAATGGGCCAACCGTGTGCTGTTGTGAACTTTGAAACAGCCGAAGAAGCTATCGCCGCACATGCGGGAAAATCATTTGTGAAAATTGAGACGATTCAGAAAAGTACTGAAAACGATGTCGTAAAAGAGGAAAAGAAAACTTCTAATTGTAACGTTTTCATGCGTGGAGGTATATTCTGATTCGCGTGTAATTTACGTGAAATCTTCTTCCAGTTGAAACACATTTTGGTTCTCTTGTTACCATATATGATCAGAGGAAGAAGGCGCAGGATGAGCGTTCAACAAAAGTGAAGCCACGTAAGTTGCTCCTCACGAATATTGTTGTTCTATTATTATTATTTGCTAAATTTTTGAAGCAAGCAGTAAACGAGTTGCGGGATCATCGATTCGCGCAGCAGTTCCACCGAAACGTGGTCGTGGTGTTCCGCCACCGCCAAAAATCACAAAGAGACCACCTATTCGCAAACGATCGCCGCCAAGAAGCAGCCGTCCACCTCCGCGTCGCATTCGTGGGCGTTCTGGTCCCGGTAGCAGAGCCGATCCGAGACCGGCGACATATCGTGCTCCAACATATTCTTCGCCGTCACCGTCGAAGGGTTCGAGTTTCAGAGATTACGGATAGTGAGTTTATTGTTTATTTGTATCTTGGCGCTAAACTAAGTGTCGATTTACGTGAGTATGCATAGGGATAGATTAAAGTTGCATGCCACACACCGAGACCTTTTTTAATTTTTTTTATTTAGCCAATTTTCCGCAGTCGCGCGACGTCGACAATGTGTGTGATATATTCGTAGTTTCTTATTTGCAGTTTATTGATTAAATCACGTAATGGATTACAATTATATTTTCCTTTCATCAATAGTCATTTTGTAAGAAGGAGGTTTTATTTTTTTAACCAAAAATTGTAATACTTCCTGAGAGCTTCTTTTAATTGTTATTTTGTATGTTTTAAGTACTAAATATGGCTTCAGATTTATTGATAATAAGATTGTGATAAGTTTAGGAAAAAAAATTATTTTTCCGGATATTCGTCGCTATCAGTCAGCGGATATTCGGGAATATATGAGATGGTGTTTATCAGTTTATTCACATTTCCGATGCGATTTGATGAATTTATGCTTGCGTAGGCTGACGATATTACTAACGTATAAATAATATATGTATGTATGTCCGTGTGCGTGTGTGTAATTTATTGAAATAGAGAAAATGTAACTCCAGTTTGGATAAATAGGCCCAGGTGTAGAGAATTATTCACGAGGAGCATCATTATTTCTTGAATTTGATTAAATGGTGCCGATTAAATTAAAATAAAATTTACAGTTCGTCAGTTCGCCGTTTTGAAGATAGAGTGGATCCTTTCGGACGCCCAATCTACTCGGGAGACTCATGTATGTGGTTTTTTCACTTTTCGAATGCGGCAAATTTATTATCTATAACAAAAGGACATGTTTATGTCATCATATTGCAACCAAAATGTTGCAACTTTTCTGTCTAATCATTAAACAAACGTTGGCACCTCTGGAAGCGAGATGATAATGATGTCAATCATGCACTTTTCAGCTTATGTCTCTCCATTTGGAAGACCCGAACCGGAAAGCAGATACAATGGACCATCTAGCTACGAGTAAGTTGTTTTTTTTTTTTTTTGAAAATTCCAATTTTGAAACGATCTGACTTCGTTGTTTAAGCATTTTTGAAAGTAATGCGAATACTAAATGATTAATGAAATTCCTTTTCGCAGCTTAAATTTACACAACTAAACCAAATGTAATCTTTCCCAGTTACCTTTAATTTAAATTTGTTTCTGTAAATTATTTCAGAACCTATTGTTATAATAATTTTTTCGTAACTTTTATAAGCGATAATCACTTTTAATTATATGTTTTTCTCTCATATTCCTTGCAAACTGATTCTATTCTTCTCATTTAATTTCCCGCTTTTTTCGCGTCAGTTACCGTATTCAGTAATCCATTTTTAGCCATTCTTGATTAGACGTTTCTATTTTTCGTGTAGGATTCTCGAGAATTAATTAAGATGTCCTTGATTTCATTCAGTTTCTTGTGTTTTGCACGTGCGTTTGTGCACGTCTTCAGCTGGAGCTGACGAGGTTGCCAGGGGGCGGGGCGGGGCGAACCAACCAGACGCCAGTTGCATTCCGTGCATTTTTGGAGCCAAGAAAAAGGTGTCGGTCTCCTTTTTCTTTCGCTGATACCTGATTCTGCGAAAAAAAAATCGATCGCTGTGTTTTCACACATTTTCGGGCACTACCATTAATTTCAATTTTTTTAATTTTTTAAACATCAAATGTTAATAAAGCAAAACGTCCGAAAATTAATGATATTTGTGACATAATCCAAAAAAATATCGCAAGTCCACTAACGGTTTTTTCTTGTTTTTGACACGTTTTCGCACAAGTCTTGACCTTTCATCGTTGAACAACGAGGTTTGACAAGAACCAGTCATCTGCGCTACAAACCTTGCTTGCCTCGACGCACTTGAATGTGCGTCGTCTTCTCTTTGCCGCGTCGTTTCTAGATGGTCGGCCTGTAGCATCTTTCCCATAGAACAGTAGAATGTGACGTCTGTATATTGTCGCAGCACGAATTATCATCATCATGGACGATGAAAAGATGAGAGATGCGAAAAATACTCTGAGGCCTCTTCAATTTACCTCGTTTTTCTTGTGAAACATGACTTTTTCATCTAACGCCTCGTGGTTCGCACGCGTTTACAACTTTTTTTTTACCACGTTTACCCGTTTTCCCACGCAGCTTGGCTCTTTGTTATTTTTTCTCGTCGAAATGATGCAATTCGTGCCAAGAATTGTTATCTTTTTAATAAATATCAGTCATTTTACATTTCTTGTATCGTCATTGAGAAAATCACTAATTATAATTTGAAAACACATAATTAGAAATAATTAGTCATCATTTTCGTTAAAATCGTCACCACAAATGACCTAAAATTTTCTTTAAATAACCGTCTCTTGTTCATTTCCTTCTGATTCATCTCTAGGTATCGTCGGTCTCATACGACTGAATAGAAGTACTTTTTAGTATTTTCCATATTTAAAAAAAATATTTCCTCCAGTCGTTTGAATCAGGGCTGTGCGGCAATGGAATTGCCGATTGCCGAAATTGCCGATTTTTCAAATTGCCGAATTGCCGAAGAGAACGTTCGATCGGCAAATTGCCGAATTGCCGGATTGCCGAAATTTTGATTTTCGGCAATTTGCCGAAATTTCCGATTGCCGCACAGCCCTGGTTTGAATCTAACAATACGTTAACTACAATGTTTCTTAAGCACAAATCAGACAATCCAAACGATATCAAATCATACAATTTTATATGTCGACGTTGTCCAAACTACACTTTAATCGCGTCATGTGGCCCAATAATGAAATTTGAAAACAAATATGGTTTGACTTGTGGGCGGATGGAATCTGTTTGATCAAATGCCCATAAATATGATGAAAGCCCCCAAACTTGTCGAAGTATCCAATCGTTTTCTATCTTCCGAATAATTTCGGCTATGCCGATTTTTTAATAGTCTTCAAATATATATGTATAAGAGTAAAAGTTTACCCGTGTAATACCCGAGTTATTGTTTTTTTAATGAAATTCTAATTTTGTTAAATGTTTATTTCCATTCCGGGAATCATTCATTTTGCGTGCAATATCTCTATTTTCTCTTCCACTTCCTGGTCCGTATTGCATCCTTGAGTTTCAATTATTAATAAAATATCAATTTTGTTAAAAACCGGAAGTCACATCGTTTAATATTAAGCGTTATAATAATAGTAATAATAATAGCTATAATAATATTGAATGGGAGGAAAACCAGTAATTTTTCAGCAGTCGCCGTCGATATTAGCGGTGCGAAGGAGCGATGGAATTCATGAATTGGCTTCCAAGTTTTCACTCTCCTTCTCGCTTCGTATCGCCTATTTTCTGTGTATATACCAGATCTCTCCATTTATCCATTGTGTTTGCGTGCGTGTGTATGTGTTTTTTTTTTTTGCATTCATTTCTTTGTATGCAATACGTTACTCATATTATTGATGTTCTGAATTGATGCTTCTCGCAAATTATTTATTTTTTTTATCTGGCTGTTCTATTCATACAAAATTGTTGTTTCCCAACTATTTTTAACCAAACTTTTTTGTTGTTCTGAGAATTATTCCTTTGCAAACCATTTTCGCTTTACTCATCATTTCATATCCATTTTGGTTACGTTAATAAACAAGCGATCTAAATCAACCGCTTTTTATGATATCAATGCCAGTTGATCGCTATCTCTGGTTCGTATATCTTATTGTTGCTCTTTTGTGTTCTTTCATTCTCACAACGTATTTTTTGTGTTTCAGGAGTATAATGGGCCAATTGGTGGGCAAACAATGCCCCATGTTACTTCTCCTGCGTCTGTTTCTTCAGGTGATAAACTAGTTTTGTTAATTTTTGAAACAAAAACTAATTAAAATTTTTTTTGAAAAAATGTTTCACGCTATTGAACTTATCAATATTTTTTGTAAATTTAGAATAATTTAGATAACAACGGCGGTTTCTTCAGAGCTGACACGCTCAATGAAGGTTTCGTTTGAGCCTTCAAACATCCATCAGCTCGAAGAATACACGTCAGCTGACGTCAACGTCACATTCAGATTCCCACAAAAGGAGTTTGAGCAGGACAATTCGCAGCGTTTTCAGCTGAGTGTTGAGTGAGTTTGGGGATTTTGAAAAATACAATTCAATTTGTATTTTTAGCTCATTTCGTCCTGAAACCGCAACGGCGGACACGAAAACATTGGAGATTAGGAGGTCGAATTTTAAATTGGAAAATGCGTATTATACGAGTAATGTACGTTAATGTTTGAATAGTCTAAAAAAATAAGAATTCTATTTTAGACAGTAATTACTGTGAAAGGGCATCTTCTTGGAAAAACATCGATGAAAGTTCGCCTCGTACCTGCAAGCGATTGGCTCGAAATGAACGAAACGACACCGTTCGATGGCCTAGTGGCTGCTCGACATGCTGAAATTGTGCACGATGGCTCATGGCTCGATGTTTGGGTCATACGATCCGCAGACTCCACTCGACTCACCAAATATTTCGTTATTTCCGTAGTTCTTTTGATTTCGATGGCGAATATCATGATGGGCTGCGAGCTTGACATTGATGCCGTTTTCGGAACTCTGAAGAAACCAGTTGCGCCTGCAATCGGACTGTTCGCGCAGTTTGTTATGATGCCAATTGTACGTTTCGGACTTATTGTTAGATCTTAATAGTAGAACTGATTTCAGCTGTCATATTTGATAGCGTACGCTATTTTTGTGCCTCGCGGACTGTATTCGATGGCACTTGGACTGTTTGTAACGGGTTGCACACCCGGGGGAGGAGCTTCCAACTATTGGACTCTACTGTTTGAAGGAAATTTGAACCTTTCGGTTTCTATGACCTTCATATCTACTGTGTTTTCTTTAGGTAATTTATTCAAACTCTGACATTTGACAGTAAATCGTATTTCAGTTTTGATGCCGACATGGCTTTACTTTTTGGCTGGTCCATTTCTCCAGGGTTTCAATTCGCATGCCGTTATAAAGGTTCCATATGGCAGAATTGTGAGCTCTTTATTCTCACTCATTGTTCCTTTACTAATTGGAATTGGAATCAAGAAATGGAAACCCGAATGGGCAGCGAAGTCAAGAAAGGTACGATACGGTATAAACAAAAAATAAAAAGTCCGATGTAATTTTTCAGATGATGCGTCCATTTGTCATTATTGTGATGATTTTTGTGATTGTGTTCGGATCTCTCACCAATCTTTACATGTTCCGTCTTATCACTGTTCCAGCGCTTGTTGGTGGATTAGCTCTTCCATGGTGTGGCTTCATGTTCGGATGTTTCTTTGCGTTGCTAACCAAACGATCACCTGAAGACGTTACCGCGATTGCTGTTGAAACTGGAATCCAGAACACTGGAATTGCTATTCTCCTTTTGAAAGCTTCGTTCGATCAGCCGGATGCCGATATCGGATCGCTGCTGCCTGTAATCGTTGCCGGATTCACACCGCTTCCTCTTTTGCTAGGAGCTGCTGTGCATTTGACAATTAAGGCAATGCGCAAGAGACGTCTGGCGGTAATATTAATATTAATCTCGATCACAATTGAACGTTTTGATTTCAGACTGTCGATCTTGAACAAGCCGAAAAGGCTGCAATTGAGTTGATCGATTCGAAACCAGAAGTTTGTGCCATCGAGAAGAAGCAAAAATTGGTTGATGAGAGCCTTTTGCCACAACCTCAAAAATTCTAATCTCTTTTTTGCAAAATATTTAGAACTCACAGTGATAGCGAGTTTAGGAGCTTTTATTTTACCACCAAGTATTAATTTTTTCAGTTTAAATTATTTATTGATAGATTTCTTTGTTTTCTTCTCTCAATTGTAGTTATTTAGTTTAGAATAGGTTTCTCCGCAGAGAAATATTGCAAATTAGGAAAAATGTGATTTTTATAAGCATACCGTATCCGGTTAGTCGATCAGCTTCATTATCCCGATTGCACCAAACCCCTTTCCCTATCACCAAATACATTTCTCATATCTCAATGGGCTTATGTTCCCGCTTTTGATCTACCGGTATATGTGTTATTAATTGCTGTTTGATGAGTTTTTGCATAAGATTTAGATTTTCCCCCTCTTTCCGCTTCGCTGCTCTCCTAAACTTTCTTCAAAGATCTCGGAACTGTGCACAAGAATAAAGAGTTTACTTTCTTTGGATGTTGTCTCTTTTTTTTTTTAAATCTTTTCTCTTCTCAAACTAAAGTGCTGCGCGTAATCAAAATTAAAAATTTTACTTGCGCTGCTTTGCATTCGAAAATCTTTTTTTTCGTCGTGATTTTTTTGTTCGAATTGTGTTAAGGCTGGCCCTGTCGAAAAGCATATCGGCTAATTACATTTCGAGAATGCCTTGCCAAGTTTCAGCAGTCTTTTACTCGATCCTGCGTAAAGTCGGTGTTAGCCCCCCTCTCAACAGTTGTCTTTTTCAGCCGAAAGGTGAACGAATCGAACAAAAATAATTTTAAAATGTTTTTTGGACCTCTAATATTTTTTTCAAATATTATGGTTTTCCATTTATTGCTTTACGAAATATGAGACAAACCATTACTGGTAATTATGCCCTACCCTGTATTCTAGAACTTTTCGTTAAAATCCTTGTGGAGGTATAATTAAATCGAGTACTGTATAAGGCTATTTCCTGTTATTATCCTTATTATTTGTAGAATAGCGAAGTATTCGAAGAAAACATCCCACATCCAATTAATTAGCTAAACACGATGTAATTTTGCACGCATAAATGCATAGATTTCAAAGAAGATGATTAAAATGTAAATAAATGGATTCATATGATGAAACACCAAATTTCCTTTAGACTCGCTTTTTTTGTATTGTTGAGAAATGACAAATGTAACCAGGTGTCGTGGAATCCTGCGTTTTGTACGCAATGAGGCAGTTACCGTAATGCTAGTAGCGATTTACGGGGTACTTTCTTTTTTTTTTTTAATTTTTCGCTCAACTTTCGTATTTTTTTTCGAAGTTGTTTATTTTGTCGAACCCGAATTTAAAAATTTATTTAGCAGAATAATATTATGCACTTTTAAACGATATTTATCAATGTTATTTCACGCTCTAAAAATTATTTTGAAATAGAGAATTCAAAAACAAGATAGTAGAAACGCGTATTAAGAACCCAACACGAATAAATAATTTTATTAACGACAAAATATGGTTTTTTTAATCGATGATGTTTTTATCAAAAAATATCGATAAATACCGTTTAAAAATGCATATTTCTGCTAATTAAATGTTTAAATTCGTGTTCTACAGATTTTAAATAAACAATTTCGAAAGAAAATGCGAAAATAGAGCGAAAAATAAAAAAAAAGAAAATAAGAAGTTTTAAAAATGTACCCCGTAAATCGCTACTAGGATTACGGTAACTGCCTCATTGCGTACAAAACGCAGGATCCCACGACATCTGGATACATTAGTCATTTCTCAACAATAGATATTTACTCTAAAAAAAATGCCGAAAAGAGAAACATTGCTTCAAGAAAATGCGTTTTTTTTTACAGCAAAGTTTGATTCGTAGTGATTTTTTTCAAGGAAAATAGCTTTTCAAAAAACTGTAATAGAAAAGTTGTATCTGATTTAAGATTTAAAAGATAATTGTTGAAAAAAAATTTGGTCAGTGTCGAAATAACAAATTAATACAGCCAGTAGATGCTCGTCAATCTCGACTCTTCAAATTTCAATTTTTTCCATCCGAATATTTTAGACCTAAATAGTCGGCGTCCGGCGACTGCTGTACGCGGGTAGATTTACGGGAATGCGTCTTTCTGTTGGTCTCCCGCGGATTAACTGGTTTTTTTTTTCGCATTTTATTAGTCGGTTCGATAATTTTTATATCGAATGACGTTGGACATTCAAGGAAATGTGAAACTCATCAAGAAAAATGAAGCAGTTCACGTGAAAACAGCAAAATAAGCATTCACGAGTGGCGAGACCTTTTCAAGGCGCATGCGCGAAAATCTACCCGCATACAACAGTCGTCGGACGCCGACTATAAATAAAAACATTTTGTCACTTTTTCTTAGTTTCGCTATACCTTTTGATCGAAGTAGTTTATTTTGGTGCCTTTTGTTCGAAATTCATGTGACCTACCATGTGAGTTTGTCTTTTCATCGGTTTATTTGTCTCTTCTCAGACAAGGGTTTTATTTTGAGTTTCTCGACATCCAGCAAGTTCATTGAATCAATTCTGCTCAGAAAAAATTTCGATATGATTTCATGTTTAATCAAGCAAACAATTTTATGCGATTCCTATAACCAATAATAAATGGTATATTAAACTTAATGAGACTCAATAGTTCTTTAAAAGGTCTTATAAGATTTTATTTAACAAAATAAAATACATATAACAGACTTCCTATAAAGTTTTTGAGTTTGCTCAATAAAATTTTAAAAGTTTTTAAAACGAGAATATTTTCTTAATTTTTTTGAAGAAATGTTTGACTAAAAAAAAGATTTTAATATTTTCAAAATTATTATAATATTAGATGATTATCCTGAAGTCCTCTTCGATAATTCCATCAAAACCAATTATTAATATTAAAAATACGCCAAAACATGCCCACTAGCTTTTGAATCATTCTTGGTTTATTGGTTTTCCGTTGTACGAGAACAACCGGTTTATGAACGATCAATGTTTTTTTTTCTTAAAGAGAGGTGTGGTCGTGTCTCATTATGATATACGAGTTCTGTTGATTTAAGGTTCCCTCAAAAACCAACATTTCTTTTAATGTAACCATTTTCTAATTAAAATTAGATGTGACTAGTTGATCTATGTATTACCATGTTTTCGGACCATCGAATGCTTTCAGCGCGGGAATTCAAATTTCGATTAAACTATGACAATTAGTGTACCGTACTACAGATGACTCTGAAATTTACACGACGTCTCTCTTCGTTTTTTGGCAATTGTAAATTATATTGTCAACACATAACCAGAAAATGATTCTTTCATTAATACTCGATCTTCTGATTTTGATGGTCTGATCTTTGAAGAATGGGATTAACAGTTTCTTTCGACGCTACCGTTCCAAATTAGCATATCCACTTGTATCAAATCATATTTAAATGCGTTTCGGTGTACATATATGCTAATTCGAGCCCCCAAGTTCCGCGCTGTGAATTCAGTTGGTTGTATTTGTTCTGCTGGTGTGGTCCCCACGTGTTTTTGATTCGCCTAAACGAACGCAACACACTGGCATAATCCACAAAGGTCCCCATTTGTTTGTGTGCAGCTCTTTTTTTTTGCAAAGCGGTTTCGCCGTATTGCTCTTTGCAAAAGTGCAAATATTGCGTCTGCTTTGTGTTTGTTGCGAAGTATTTATATTATCGCTCGATGATAATTCACACCGAAATCGCGGCCAAGTGTGTATTTATAGAGTCGAATGATACGTCGTCTCCGATTTTTGGTGCATTAGACTTTGAACTAGACTATAGTCTTTGATTCGGATAAAATGGTCCGAATTTTGTAGTGATAAAAATAACGATGACTATAATGTGACTTCTAGTAGTTGTGACCAACAAAATGTCACACAAAGGCTTTTATTTATTTTGACAAGAAAGGAGTACTGTAGCACTTAAATTCAAGAGGAAATTATTGAAAGCCTACTATGTTTTTTTTTTGTCTTAAATAAAAACTGTAATTTGACGGTACAGAGAAAATTAAAAAGAAAAATCGGCAACCATGAAATTCATGGAATTTTTGTTTTTATTAGTATTAATGTAGAAGCATGAATTCGAATAATAAGCTGGAAAAACCTAAAATGGTAAAAAATGAACCGTGACATTCTGAAAAAGCAGACATTTGCATTCGAAATATCATGAAGGTGGCAGCCAAGCAACGAATATCTACATTCTAAAATGTGATTTTACTTTTTGAAAACCAATTTATTTTATAATTCTAAATGATTTCCGAATTTCGCGCCCTCGCTTCATGATTGCTACCGATGTTGTATACTCATTAGCATTGCCGACATTCCAATGTTTCTGTTCGATTGTTTGCTCTTGCGATAATAATTATTGACTGGCTCAATAAATGCCGATAAGATACTGTAGACCATAATTCACTGATAAAAACAAGCGACGTGGGGAAACCCCTTTTCTAGCAAACAAATATCAAACTCCAATGCTGGAGTCGATTCGTGTCTTACAGTGACCGTTGGTCGACGGATCCGTCCGTCTTTTGAGTACATCCATCCACTAGCAAATGTTGCGATGGGGTAAACAATGCGGGTTTGCAGAAAGGGGAAAAAATGATTTTCCAAGAATAAATAAGTCCAGTTGTTTCCCTTCCCGATGGATATGCGCCTGTACTTGGCGAGAAAAGAGCGCCGTGCAACATACTTTCCGGATTATCTTTGTACCCGATCTGGTCAGGTAATGATGATAGTAATCGTGGTGGCACGCGCAATGATGATTTGTAATCAAAGACGATGATGATGAATCGGCTCTTCTTTGTTGTCATTGACGGTCTGTTATCGGGATATTACGATTGGTCGTCTGTAGGTAACGAATCGTTGTAAACAATTAGACAAGAGGCCAATTGTACATTAATTGTGCCATTCAAGTTGGCGCTGATCCCCCCACCACGCGCGCGCAAACCATTTCGTTATTTATTTTCTACCCACTTGTCATGCGTCATGAATTTATTTGGTAAATTCGGTTACTGTTTGTTCAGCAAATGATTCA